CTGGAGAGGAGGAATACAGCATTAAGGATGTGACTACAATTTGACCACAAGCTGGTGCAGAACCTGACCATTGCATACACTATATGTTTTATTTATGAAGGCATATGTAGAGTACACGTGTGCCTTTTTTCCTCTGCTGATATACCTATGTGCAAGGGCTGAACAATTAATCAAAATATTATGGAAATCAACATATGGCCAAGTGCAATACTCAAATTGCTGGAGCCCCAATTTTTTGATAAAGGTAGAATGAGTTACAACATACAATTATAAATGGCCTTGAGGAGGTGTTGTGAGAAGGGCACACATGTTGCTTACCTGTGCATAATAGTGGGAGCATTTAAAGTAAAGGCAGTCTAGTTTATTCTATATCACCAGTCGGCATAGTAACACTGTGTATGTGGTTAAACTTTGCACCCAGATTGTGAGAAACGAAAGTTTTATTGCCTTCAAAAATGTGTCTTCTGGAATTAAATTTACTGTTTCATTCTACTGTTTCATTCACGCATGATGTTCACCAGATGCAAACTTGTGTGGTTGCTCTTACAAATCCATCCTCGTTGGTTTTTCAACAACCCGCCCAAAAGTGTTAACGCAAAAGCGGTTACACCCATGTACAAGCTCAATTGCAACACACATAAAATAAACTTTGTTTCTCTAAACTCTAATTCTTGCTAGTTGCCGTCTTGGTGGTTCCCAGTACACATAACACCTTTTTTCACATAATGTGACCGATGCAAGTTCGTGGCTTACTTCCCTTATATGTCGTATGTCAGTCATTATATACCATATTTATTAGGTACAACTAGCTAAAACGGCTAAAACGCATATAACTCATATAATGGTTAAGTTTTTCTGTTTTGTAGAGGTGTTGATTCAACTGTATGGTAAATTGTGAGGCTGTAGTTGTATGCTGAGAGATTTTTCTGATCTTTAGTCTAATTTTTAAGAATGTTACAACAGTTTCCCCAAAAATTTGACATTTAATTTTATTAGATTTATTGCCGGTCAGTTGTATTAGATGGCAGCAGTTTTAGCTAGATGTAGCCAATACGTGAGCAACTGTGTGGAACGGCATTGATGTGCATGTGAACATAGCAACACACGTATCTTTTATGTGCTGGAGACGTTTGGGTTTTACTGTATGGTCACATCAATTTAACACTAGCTTTCACCAGCTTTACAGTAATTCACGAGGATTTAATAATTAATCATTAGGCTATTTTAAAGAAATTTTCACAGTGAAGTGATCTAGCTTAGCCCGATGTTAGCAGCCGGGGATCAATGATGCACCACTTAAAATGCAGCCACCGGCCACTATAAGATTCACCTAGATTGCAACATCCTGAGTTGCAATCTAGGTATGTTGGTACGTCCTTCAGCTATATCAGTGGTTGCTATGTTATGAGCCGCTTTTGTCAAACAGCAACACACTGATTAGCTTCTTGACTGACGGCCCCTGTTGGTGTTGCTGTGGCAACTACAGATAAACCTGATTGGTGGAACCGGGGTGTTGCACCTCGCTGTTATCAGGTAGTTCAGACCTTTACACCCTCTTTGTCTGTTTTCGTCTTCCTCCTCAAGGCATTTCTTTTGTTTTCTACTCTTTTGTGTCGAGTTCCTGTTTTTTGTCATTTCTGCATTGCACCTTTTTTGCATGATGTTTTTTGTTTCTCTTTCTCACTGCTCGCCGCCTTCACAGCTCTGTTTCTCTTTCCTATCGCCTTATGCTGATGATCCATACCTTTGCGCTATCTATCATGGTTTACACCATAAATCCTTCCCCCTCCTCTTCCTCTATTCCTCTTCGTCTCACTTTCTCTGTAACAATGTGACAATATGAGATTTGCTCTCCCTCAGCTTGTAAAAGCACATTAATTTGAAGGGAGAAACATGCACTCTGAGAGCACAAGAAGCCATATGTGCCATCACAGGGCGGGATATATCACCGACAAGTGTATACAAACACACACAGAGATGCAGTTGAGCAGTGAGATACTGATGGAGCGATGAATTAGATTCATCAGTGGTTCAGCGGTGCTTCTGCCTTGTAGTAATACCTCTGTTCAGACCTTGAAGGCCAGTAGCTACTGCAAACGTGGACAGGCAGAGAAATTGAGTCAAAAACACACAAGATTAAGAGAAAAGAGAGAAACCCAGATGAGTGAAAGTGAGATAGGAGAGAGATGGGGAACTAAGAAACAGTAATGTACAAGATGCTAGCAACACAGCTTACAAGCTAATACACAGGATAAAATACAGGTAACATAAAAATTAAATATGTACAAACACAAAGGCAGCAGCTAATACAGACATATTAGCAAGCAACTGCACTAGCTAGCAATAGGGCTGTGTATCGTGTTTGACATCTTAGCCAATACAATACTTGGGTTTCAGCTTGATACCTGAACAATACGTTCTGATACTTGAGGAGTAAACATGTTTATTCAACATTAGCCCAACAAAATACTCCAAACTGCTCAATCCATCTGTGTCAAATAAAGAACATTGCCCACAATATCTCACTTTGTAAAGGTTATGAGATTTAGATCTTGAAATATCTTATCAAAGAATAAGTAAACCAAATTACACACTTGACCTAGCCCGTTTTTATTACTTTGCACTTTTTGTCAATCCTTCTGTAAAAAAGTGTTAATGTTTGATATCAATAGCTAGCAACTGTATAATCTAAATACTCAACACACTTGTGTTTTACCTTCTGGTCAATTGAACTTCATAACAACTGTAATGCATTAACACGACTATTAGAAAGTCATCGGGTTGTATCTGTAGTTTTAGTAATCTTTTCCAAGAGCACAAAAGAAAGTGTGGTTGTTTGTTAGGCTACTAAATTAGCATTGTGTTTGTGAGACAATGAACATGTGAATATACATAGTCCTACATATACTTTTTGAATTAATCCGAAACCTAGAGATACACTGAATTGGGTCATTTAAAGTGTCTTTTATCCAGATAAAACCCAGTTGATATTGAAGCGTGATGCTATTATCACATTGTATCTTTTGCTTTGTCACAAGCACTTTCACTTTCTGTCTGACGTTTAAAGGTTCACACACATTCCCGTGTCATGCAGTTGGCAAACCTCCTGTCTGAGTGCAGAATTTTCCTTCAGAGCAGATCTGCGGATCATGCACTGATCAGGAGACCCTGCCAAGTCTCTGCCGAGCCAACTGTTCTGGTTCAGTCTGTTTGAGAAAGCTATAAAAACAACATACCTGTGTTATGGGAAGAATATTTTGTCATTGCCTGTCACGTCTTTTTATTACAGTGCTATTTAGCAATCTGCTTCTTTGGAGATAGCAAAAACAACATCTTCTTTAACACTGAGAGCTTTCAATGTTCATGATATACGAATGTTGGTCTATTGCACTGCTAAATTTAATCTCAAGCAAACCAAAAAACAACAAACAACCAGTCAGCCAAATTACTCAAATTTAAATACCATTACTCCGTCAAAACTACCAGTTGATTTACACAAGTAATATTTTTAAGTCTTCTGTTCAAACATCTTTGACACATGTTGTCACACTAAATCGCACATTGTACCTTCGCCACAGGTGGTAGGGGCAGTGGCAGAGCAGGTTGTGCAAGCTGTTCTGTTACAGATGACGTTAAGAACACGGAGACCTTGGTGATAATTAGATTACCTCATTCATTGTGGTTTATTACACTTAGCACACATTTGTCCTTTTCTTTTCAAGAAGAGCAACATGATCACCATTCCTGTTGGATCATGTAATCCATGTTTTCAAGTTTTATAGAAACACATTAAACATTTTGTGCTTCATTGTTTCCTCTAAAAATCTGTGTAAATATTATCCCAGCACAGGTTATTGTAATTTTTTTTTTACAAGAAATGTTTTCAGTATCTACCTTCCTGTTTTAAGGAACTGTTGGATTTCGCTATTCAAACACTTTCAGTTGATCCATTCCAGTTTCTTCAAAATATGTTGATACAGTTGATGTTGGTTTTAAAGTATGCAGCTGGCACACACACCGATGCAGGAATGTTATCTCAATGGGAATGTCACAGGCATGTCAACCGAAGCTGATCTTATTTTAGCTGTCGTGGCGAGGAATGTTGCTACATTAGGTGATAAATGTGCGGGTATGGCGAGAGCCATCAGTTACGTGATCAGACTTCTAAGATTGTATCAGTGTGTGTGCGCGTGCCTGCGCTGGTGTCTCATCACTGGGCCTGGGTATCCTCTTGTTTGAGAAACTGTCCTATCTCAAATTGATTACCCATGGTGCATTCTGTCCTCTCAGGGCATGTACTCATAAATTGAGAGAGAGAGAAAGAACGAGTGCATGATAAACAAAGGCACAGACAAAGATCAAGTCGAACACCAGCCACCATAATAGAATCAGTGGGGAGTTTCTGCTCAGCAAATCCATGGTATCAAATCACGCATTCTGGCCGTGCTCATAATTTTCATGCGGACATGGACGGCTGCACCTGCTACCTGCTGCATCACCTCATCACTGTTGCTTCAATGCTTATCTCTGACGTTTGTGCGACATTAAATCTCCTATCGACACACACCGCATAATGACACACAGCCAAGCGTTACTTACTTACTTATTTTTGGAAACATGAGGGAAAATCTGATCATCTGATCATTAGTAGCATACATTTCAGAAAATCACTGTAAGGTGTTTGAAAATACAAACACCCTGGTGTAGTCCTTTTAAGTAAATGTTTCTGTCATTGACTACTATCTTGACAGATTCAGTCAACACCTCTTTGTTCATCTGAGCCGCACTCTCCATCTCTGTTGTGTGTATCACTCGAAACAAATACCCAAAACATCTTAGTGACACTATCCACACTGATCTCCTTCTGTTTATGTGTGAACTCCAGGAAGAATGGCTGTCACTTTAGTAATTCGGAGTATCTGGATGCACTAACGTCTGGTTTTTCCATTCCTCTCTCTCCTCCCATCTCTACCCCTTTTTGTCTTTTTTCTGACCCACAGAAAAGTGTGAAGGAGGGAATCCTGTTAAAGCAGACCAGTTCCTTTCAGAGGTGGAAGAGGAGGTACTTCAAACTCAGAGGGAGGACCCTCTACTATGCCAAAGACTGCAAGGTACAAAAAATGTGTGAAACTGCATACATCAGCTTTAAGTTAACTACATTTTTTTGGAATTTGTAAGCATCGCAAATGCAATTCAGGGTGCTGTGAAACCAAAGTAATAAGTTGGAAAGATATTGTATTAATTTTTATTACATCTACTGTATTACCTTACTAGTGGTTCATATGTGTTTGAGAGGTGTCAGGGGAAATAAATGGTGTAATTATATGTACAGTACCTGGATAAAATACAAAATAAGATAAGATGATGTTTGCATTGTTTGTCTTTATTCCCGTCAGTCTCTGATTTTTGATGAAGTGGACCTATCAGACGCCAGTGTGGCCGAGACCAGCACCAAGAACATCAACAACAGCTTCACGGTAAGCAACAATACTGGTCTTAAAAATGTCTATAATGTGGATTAAAGCATTTCAGAACTGTACATTTGACTTGCAAAAGAGATTAGAATATTTTTAAGTCTAAGACTAGCGTTAATTCAGAAACACTGTTATTAGCATTTTGGGCATACTAGCGCCGTAGGTCTGTGGACGGCAATACTGGTCTGTCGGTCAATCTTTGGTCCAGACTGAAATATCTCAACAACTATTGAACAGATCGCCATTCAGTTTTGTACAGACATTCATGGAGTGCAGAGGATGAATCCTAATAACTTGGTGATTCCCTGACTTTTCCCTAGCACCTCCATGACATTATCACTTGTGGTTTTGAGAGAAATGTCTCAAGAACAATTGGATGGATTGCCATGGAATTTGGTACAGGTGGTCATGTTGCACTCTGGATGGATCTGGTGATCCTTGACATTTTATCTAGCACCAAAATAAGTTGTGATTTATCTAATACTTTGGTTTATAACCATGAGTCTAAGCTTTGTGTTTAGTGCTAATGAAGCGAGAAGCTTCTGGTCTGAGAACTGAGGCGAACGCGGAAATCCTTTATACCGGCATTATATTGAGCGGCCAGCAGGGGGCGACTCTTCTGGTTGCAAAAAGAAATAATGGTAAAATGACCCTGATTTATTACCTCAGTAAACACTTTCGTGATGAGTTTATGGTCTCATTTGCTAGTTTCAAGTCTTCTGCAATGTAACATGATGTTGATTTAATAAATTATGTTCCCATTTAGAGGAAAATAGACCATAAAGCAGAGTATGCTTCAGGGCGGGATTATCTATGATTGACAAGTTGTTACCATTGCAACCTGTCAATCAGGTGAATCCCATGGCACCGTGTAAATTTAACCAGTGCCGTTGAAAAAGCATATTAGGAGTTGGCTGTTTACTTTCTCTGGTGAGTAACGTTACATTTAGTTTTTAGGTTAGCCCTGTTAAAATGACAGTTAACGTGAATTACAGATGCACCTAGCTAAGCAAGCTAGTTACCTTCACACACAGCTGTTAGCTCCACCGTCTCTGGTCAATATGGTCACGTCCGGTGGGGCCCTATCGGCCAAACTCGAGGCTTCAAAACGGCAGTCCACAAACCAACGTGTGACGTCACGATGACTGTCCACTTCTTATATACAGTCTATGGTGCTAATTAGCAATTGTTAGCATAAGCATTACACCTCTCAACATCAGCATGTTGGCGTTGTCATTGTGTGTTAGCATGCAGATGTTAACATTTAGCTCAAAGCGCTGCAGTGCCCTAGTACTGCCTCACTGAGCTGCTAGCGTGGCTGTAAAAGGCTGTTATTCCCAATAATGTGACATGAGAAATGAGTACACGAAGTACATAGATTTGACTGACGATATTCTTACATGTATTGAAGAAAATATTTCACTTCCAAGCTCCATCTTTCCTTTGTTTCTTTCTCTTTCTCAGGTGATCACTCCATTTCGCAAACTTATGTTATGTGCCGAGAGCAGGAAGGAAATGGAGGACTGGATCAGCGCTCTCAAATCCGTCCAAAAATGGGAAACCTATGAGGTATTAGCGTTTTAATCTCCCCAGCAGTCTCTTCATATTCTGACATTGTTATTTATTCTGCTGGCTGACTGTCAGAATATCAGAAATGTGCCACATTGATAATCTTTTGATAAAAGCTAGTCATGAGTGTGTAGTATATTTTAGTGAGAACAGGCTTCACACCTCACTCCTATATTCTTCCTCAATCTGTTCTTTTCTCAAAGTGTCCACTTTTTCGACTTTCTTGGACGAAAATACTCTCCTCCTCCTTCTCTCTCGTTCCACCCTTTTATCGCTTTATCCGATCTCTCTTATCTGCCTTTCATTTGAGCTCTTTGCCAGCAGATGGATGTCTCTCATAAAATTAGATCCTCTGCTTTAATAGGCTATAAAAAGAGCTGAAGACTGTGAGCTGCTGAGCGGAACATCCCTGAGGATCCTGGCATTTTACAACAGTGCATTGAGGGTTTTAACTTATGTCATTGTTGTACACCACTCCATGTGTTGTTCCACAGCGTTCCTAGTTCTGCTAGATCAAATTGTGGAAAGCATTTTGGCCCTTATTTCGGAGCCGGCATTTTGATATCTCTAGAGTTATGAACACTTTCTGAAAAGGAGAAAGGCGATTATTTTGTCAGGAAGTTTAGTGTGATAGCACTGAAGTCACAGTCTTATCCTGCTATCTTTTAAAGCGCCGGCTTATGCTTATATTCTGCCTGTGTGGACCTGCTTTGCCCAGGCCAGTCAGCTGTAGCATCTCTATCCTTGTATGTCTTTGTCCTGGGGCCACAATGTACTGCTGATGTCATTATCTTATCCTTGTATCCATGCTTTCCCTGGCTGTTTAGTTCAGCATGAAGTTAAAAAAGGCATCGTCCCATCTTGTAGCATCTCTCCTCCCCCAGGCTAGTTATTTGTGATGTAGTGCCCTGGTGATTTTTGTTTTGTCCTTTTGTGTTTTGTCCTGCGTTTCCACCTCTGAAGCCCATCCAGTTTACACAGCCTGCTGATGTCGTTGTCCTCTCCTTCCATATTTGTCCTTCCCCAGGCCAGCCAATTCAACATGGAGCATTTCTCTGGGATGCACAACTGGTACGCCTGCTCGCACGCCAGACCGACCTTCTGCAACGTCTGCAGAGAGGCTCTGCCAGGCGTCACCTCCCACGGCCTGTCCTGTGAAGGTACATTGACACACACACATTCAAAGACAATCCTTGAAAGATTGTGCAAACCAACCGTGATTTTCTGAGGGCCAATATCAAATATCTTTGGTATAACCAGAGCAATAATCTCAATTACCGTTACATAAACGTCAGGGACATTCTCCTTTTTACTCACAGTGTTAGTACTGTTAGAAAAGCATTTAAAGCTTGTGGAAGTAAAGAAGTAGGTTTATAGCTCTTTATTGCAGGATGAGGCAGGTTTCATCACAGGTCTGACACACTGCACCTTGGAAACAGTTGAGTAAAATCAATTCCTCACCCCTCTTGTATCAGCTGTAAAACATATGAACAGACGTGCTTTGTAGGGTTTTTAGGTCAGTCAACATTAACACATTTTATGGTATTTAACGTCTTTAGCAAATTTCTGTTTTGTTGGTTATTAATTAAAATGCTTGTTCTTGATTTGTCCTTTTACTTAATTCCTAAAGATCCTAACAAAATAATTTGAGTTACCAAAAAAAAAAATTACAAAGAAATGTATGAAATAAAAACTTTGTCAAATGTTTAAAAATGCTGTAGCTATTTAAGCAACATTTCGTCTTGATTCATATAAACTACACTGGTGCCGAACCAAAGTTCTGATAACAGCAATACATGGTGGCAAAACATAAACATCAGCTCTGAAATAATAGGCAGTGAATAATTGAGTCATCCTAAAAATATTTTTAAAAAGTTAAATTGTCCAACCAGTTGTGACACAGACCAAATAGAAGACATTTGGTGGGTGCATTTATCACAACCCTCTACCAGAAGTGCAAACCTTTTGCATTTGAGTAGATCCACCAGAGATGATGCTGTCGAACTTAATCTAAGTTGCAAAGGATATTCCAGATAACGTTTTGGTAAATTACACTGTGAATGTGCAAAACCTTTCCCAGCACTTGTGTTGATGCGCTTTATGTGTTTTAACTGTCATGGCTGTTTATTTAAGTTAGCTTAACATGACATATAATGATCTTTCCCCTGCAGTTTGTAAGTTCAAGGCTCATAAGCGCTGTGCAGTTCGCTCCACCAACAACTGCAAATGGACCACACTGGCCTCCATAGGAAATGACATTGTTGAGGATGAGGACGGGGTGAGTGATTAGGCTGTGCTTTATGCGTTTAAGCGCATGTAACCCAATATCCAACTCATTCAGTGAGAGAAAACATGTCAGAGCTTTAGTTTAAATTGCAGGTTGTGTGCTAAAGCTAAAAAAAGATATCAGATTTCACTTAAATGTAATTATAAGTTACCCAGGATGGAAATAGGAGGAGTATGATGCATTGTTATGGGTTAAAATAATTCCTGTCTGACCTGATTAAATTTGTTTTGAATTCAAGTCAAACGAGCCTTCTGCACCGTGTTTTTCCCATGATTTTCCCAGGTGTTCATGCCGCACCAGTGGCTGGAAGGTAACCTGCCGGTCAGTGCCAAATGTGTGGTGTGTGACAGGAACTGTGGCAGTGTGCGGCGGCTGCAGGACTGGCGCTGCCTCTGGTGCAAAGCCATCGTGAGTGGGATTGCTTGTGGCCTGTATCCTGTCAAATAACTGTCGTGTCAAATCAGTGTTACAGTTTATTTAGGACATCACTGCAAGCTGAAAGTTATTCAAGATCTTACCCGTGACAGCTTTTAGATGAATCTGATCAAACATCATATCATAATCCGTGATATAAAGGTATTGATATTCATGGTAACAGAGTCGACAGAGCTGTCCCAATTAATTATCGTACTGGTGGGAGGAAAAAAACAGCCACGTCTTGATCTAAATTTCCCAAATTTTGACTCCCAGCTGTTAAATCTACTTCAGACAAACTATTCAGGATACTACAGGAAGTGTTTTGATTCAGTCTTTAAAGGAAATGTGCATTCAAACATTTGTCACTGGAAAATGTTTTCATTTGCTACAGCGTTTCTAATATGCAGTATATTTCTTCTGATTCAAAAACTGAATGAAACAGGTTGAAATTGCATTTTCTTTTGTTTGCTCGTGAGCCAGTCTGACACGTTAATATTAGCACAGGAAAATGTGACTTTCAGTGCACTAAGGATGGCAGCACAGAAGGGGAAGAGGGCTGGTAAAAATAAATAGAAATAAAACAGGGCTGATAGATTTCTGTCTTATGCTCTGACCGCATCGAGCAAGAAAAAGAGAATATTTTAATTCATTACAGATTCTCAATATGTCCCATTACAGGACACTTTCACAGGACTACCACAAACACTTGAACTCTGCATGTTGTCAACAAACATAAACAAAACTTGTAATTAAGGAATAACAAGATAGTAAAGCTAATCCACATTTCAGGTTTAGACAAAAGTTCCTTTAAAGAAATGTTTGAGATAATTAGTTTTTGCTAATTGTCCAAAGCTGCGCTATTCAATATTTTTATATTGACAATGAATACATTTTTTAAATTACTGTGTGTAATGTAAAATGTTTCATAGTGTCAAACCCACAGGGAATTGACCCTTCACTAAGCCACGCCCCGAAAACGCAGCTGGCCAATCACAGCACATTATAGGACTCGCTCTAACTGAGGTCCGACACTTTCATGGCTGCGCTCCATGTAAAAGGCGTCCCACAGGTCCGACAGTTTATTGTACTTAGTAACAGGAAATAAGGGAGGCGTGGCTTAGCAAAGGGTCAATTACCACCCCACTATGCAACTTCTTAGAGTTGCATTTTAGTGTCTTTCAGCTCATTTAATTGGTTGGGCAGCCCACAACTTTACTGTTTTGGTTAATTGTTACAGCTCTCATCAGCATTGTTTATCTAACAAAATCCACTGTACACTAGCTGCCAAGCACCAAACAAAAGGGAGAAAGTCAGCTGATAGCTGGTGAACAAGCAAAAAGCAGCTAAAGAGCCAGATGTTTTACTCAGGAGTTGATGGAAACGAAAACAGAGCTAAAAGGAGAGTGAGAAGTGGACCAACATTTGCCGGGCAGCCAGAAACACGACTCCAAATAAATAATAATGTTGCTTTGTGGAGGATATCAAGCAAAGCAACTGTTTGTACAACTTATTACTTGGCAATATTTTATGTTTACAGCTTGTTAGCTATCCCCCAGAGGCAATAAATTATTGAAAGAATGCAACTTTAATGTAAAGCTATTGACTTGGTTTTAAATGGATTCACCATGATTCAATATATATTTAAACCAGTTTTGCTGAAGGTCTCATTTATTCTCATAGTGTTCAGACCAGCACAGAAAACGATCAGTCAATCCAATTCACCCGCCTGTAAGCCTTCACTTTAGTAGGAGTACACAATATAACATTCATTTTAAAACATGTAGTTTATGTTGTTGAAAAACAGCTAATGAAAAATTGCACTGCGATGTGATTTAAGATGTAACTCGACTCCGTCTCACAGTTTCACTTAGCAAAGGCTGAATTTCTGTGTTTAGGGCAAATTAATCCTCAGCACACACACAGGGAAACACACACAAACGAATCAGAGTGGTATTTGTAAAGGTTACAGAACTGACATTTGGTGGGTTTCAGAGGAATGTAATGACCTTTCTGCTTCTACTGAAATATAGAATTACTATGGAGACCACTAACTCTGTGTGTGTATGTGTGCGCGCAGGTCCACAACAGCTGTAAAGAACAAATGGGGAAGGTGTGTCCCTTGGGTCAATATCGAGTGTCAATCATCCCTCCCACTGCACTTAACAGCATCGACTCGGATGGTAAGACACACACATACAGAGACACATATACAGGCTCTCTGGTGGAGAGTATTGCATGTACAGTAGGATCGAAGTTCACAAATGTCACCTTTTAACTCCAGTGGTGTCGATCCTTTGGATGCAGAGGGCTTGACTGTTCCTACTGTTGCATTTCAAGAAAATCGTTTTTATACCTTGTATTATTCATGTAAATAAAAATAAAAATTTTGGCATGCTTGGACAAACATTTTTTATTAGAAATTGTAAGAAAAGAAGGATATTTGCAGCGTATTTACCAAAAAAAGGGCAGCATTTGTCTTATTCAGACATATCTTAGACATTAACACAAATAAAGTCTGTCCCCTGAATTGCACGAGTTTCTTGGCATACAGGATCCACAGCTTTCTCAACATGATTGGTGTGAGTGCCAACATATGGACTTAAATGTTAAATGTTTACATTCATTTACATTACCTTATTTTCAGGCTTCTGGAAGGCCGCCTCAGCGTCGTGCACCAGTCCTCTCCTGGTCCTGGTGAACTCCAAAAGTGGAGACAACCAGGGGGTGAAGTTCCTCCGCAAGTTCAAGCAGCTTCTCAACCCGGCGCAAGTCTTTGACCTGATGAACGGAGGACCAGAGCTCGGGTACTTTTTTTGAATCATTGTAATTCTAAATTGGTGATTGATGGGGGAAAATTAAGAATAATAATAAAATAAAATAAATAATACGCCTCTATGTTAGGTTACAGCAAAGCAGAAAAGTCTTAGATTTTCTTGTTAACAGGCTGTATTCTTACTCTCGTATTGCTTCACTCGTGGGTGTTTGCAGTCCGCCACGACCGGTTTAATGGAAGTGCTGATGCTGTAATTCCGCTGCCTTTTCATGACATCTACCTCTTAACATTTAGTGCTTTTCTTCCTCCTCTTTCTCTCCTCATTCTCCTGTCCCATCCCACTCCTCTCCTCCCTCAGCCTACGCCTTTTCCAGAAGTTTGTGACGTTTCGTATCCTGGTGTGCGGAGGAGACGGCAGCGTGGGCTGGGTGCTCTCAGAGCTGGATAAACTCAACCTCCATAAACAGGTGAGGAGGAGGAGGAGGGGACAATGATGTAATACTGAAGGTAACTGTAGAGAACACTGGGCAAGAAAAAGCAGCAGACTCTTGTACTAATGTTGATATGATAGAAAAATTATTAAAACTTTTTTTTTTTTAACTGTGCTCACTGGTGCTGTGCGTTTTCCTGAAACCTGAAATGGAATCTGAAAAATGCACTGTAGTTTTGAACATCTGGCGAGTACATTTTGTTGATATTTTGACCAAACTCTAGCCGAAGTGAATTAGGAAATACAGGGAAATGGAACAATAAAGAATGAATGTCAGGGAAGGATAATGTCCCATGATTTACTGTGTGAAAGATGACGCTACAGATCACAGGAGGTCTGGACTGTTTAACAGGTTTTGGTGTCACAAATTCTGTCATGTAGAGGCTTAAAAAAGAGAGAACATTCCAACTAATCAAAAGATAAAAATATCCAGTATACAATTACTGGATATGTCAGAGTATTAAATCAAACAGTTATTGATGGCGTCATTAAAAGGGCACTGGCTAGACTTTGGATAGATTTCAGCATCTTCCCTGGAACAAACTAACATTTGATACAGAAAGACTGAAACTGATATCTCTAAGCACTTCACCACTTTATAATATGCTTATTGCTTTTGACTGTTTCTTTGTGTTTGGGTTCATGCATTTTATCTTAATATGAAGAGAAAGTGAGGGCGGCAATGGGTAAAATTACCAATGATACGCTGCTTACCTCAACTAATTAGTCAACATCATGGAATTAATCCGAGTTAATGAATACCATGTTGGAAAACATGGTTTTTAATTTTAAATTAGTGTTTTAATTTTGATAAGTAAGTGCTGTGTCAAATCAGTTTGAATAATTTTAATAATAATAAAGAGGTTGACCCATTAATGTCAAGGGCGAGCCAGTCTGATGTTTCTGTCCACACACGAGCTTGCTTCTGCAATCACCATCAGAGATTAGTCTTTATGATGCAAGATGTTGCAGTTTGATTTTGTCCTTGAAGATGACATTTGGGACACATTACCTTTCATAACTCAAGGCACAAGCTTCAATTATTGGTCGAAATAAGGTTTCTGTATTTCACTTTACTGCTTGACTACTGTTGTCTCATTCACTTGACACCCAAGATGAAATAATTTAATGTGTAACTGTCGAGGGCATCTTTTCATATTTGTGTCCCTAAACATCAGTGTAAGGATGCTGTCATGCTGACTAAACATGACTCCTGTGTAATATCCTGCACTCTTTGAAGAGGTGGTATGCTCGTTTTCAGGTTCAAAATCCTATTTAGGTGTTGTACCAGTTTACATGGTTTAATTTTCAAAAAACACCATATTTTTTGTCATACTGCACATTTCTGCAGCTCCTCTTTTCACCCTGTGTTGAAGGCTTCGTTTTAGATATGGAGCGATACATCTTGTCTCTAAATGATCTTTGTTGGGAGTTGCACATGCGCAGTTCCTAGTTAAGGACTACTAGCCAATCAGAAGCAGAGAAGGGCGGTTCGGCAAACACGGCTTTGGTTCAGCTGTACATGTTGCCGACCAGCTTGGCAACATGGACTGGAGCAAGAGTTTCAGAGTGGTTAGTTATTAATCTGTAACAAATGTATCTTTCATCCATAAAGTTTTAACTGAGCTCTTTCTCTACATCACAGTAACAACTTTATGTCCATTGACTGCCTGGAGGGTAGCTAGTGTTTGGAAGGGAGAGGAGAGGTGTGGTTATATGTTTAATTATTAGGGCATTTGATTTTACCCCTACATTTTGTCTTGTTGGTTCCTGAGGCGGAAAAGAGAAAGTCCATATCCAACACCAGAATTGGGTTTGTGCAGATAATTCTCAGTCGTTGCAGACTCTCTTTGTGATTTAAGCTGATGAGACTGGTATATTATTACAAACATAAATCATTTGTCTTCTGCTGCTTTATGATTAAAAATGGGATTTAATTGATTTGTTTTGCGGATTATAAACTAATTATAATTTCTGTAATATTTTGTGCTGTTGAAAATTGATTATCTTCTCTCTCCACAGTGCCAGCTCGGTGTGCTGCCTCTGGGCACAGGTAACGACCTGGCTCGTGTTCTGGGCTGGGGAGGCCTCTGTGACGATGACGCTCAGCTGCTGCAGATCCTGGAGAAGCTGGAGAGAGCCACCACCAAAATGCTGGACCGGTAAGACCAGAGGGAGAAGAGGGTGGAGGGGGGCAACAAAACAGTGTCAAACCAGGTTTGCACATGCATGTTAGCTTTGTTTTCCTTTAGCTTCTTGTCATGTTCCTTGGACTTGCAAGCAAAGTCCATTGCAGGTGGACTGAGGACTGAATTGCTTATAGCTGCTGTAAAAATGTGACTGAGTGCCTTACGAAATCATCTTCCTCATTCTGCAACAGTCTGAGGCACCTAAACCTTAGTAAAAGGAATAGTGTGATATTTTGGGAAATACATTTTTTTGCTTTCTTGCTGAGAGAAAGAACAATACCACTCTCATGTCAGTCTGTTTTTAAATATGAAACTGAAGCCAGAAGCCGGTTAGCTTAGTTTAGCATGAAGAGGCTACTACTCCCTGCCAAGAAATAGCCTGGCACTTAAAAAAACACACCTAGTCGTTTTGTACACTTCAACATGTGTACGAGCTATAAAATGTTAATTTGTTAGCTTTAGATGTGCTGGTAGGCGAATTTTGTCAGGCTAGCTGTTTTTCCCCCTGATTCCAGTCTTTGTGCTAAGCTAACTGGCTGCTGGTTGTAGCTTCATAATTACCGTACAGATGAAAGAGTAGTATCAATCTTAACCTTTGGGCAAAAATTCTTTAATTAAAATGGACATAACTCAAATAGGTCAGAAAGTTTACACATGTTCTGCAGCTGCTTAATGGTTTATTTGTCCTCAGCACGGTGGATTTTTGTTGATCTGCTGTTTTTTTTTATATTCAGCGATGCAATCACAGATAGAAAATTCCGATTCCCTGTCTCCTCCCGTCCTGATCTGATTAGCTGATAATAAAGTTTGTTTTCTGGTGCTTGACATCGGCGTGTGTGTGTGTGTGTGTCTTTAGATGGAGTGTGATGACGTACGAGGTGCCCACAACCACTAAACGCACGCCAATAGTGAAAGAAGACGACTGCCTTGATTATCCTCTGCAGGTAAATTACTCTGCAGAACATTTGGGAAGCTGCCTGCTTTTTGACAGATGGTATCCATAAATTAGCCGCAGAAAGCCAGATCTCACTAGCTCCAAGAAATTATTTTGGAAAACATGCGCTGATAATCAATTTAACCTGGTAGCTGGAACCCAAAGCAATCAGCTTTGTTTTTTTGCTCATAAACAGGAAAGAAACCATACAATCACAACATGAAGTCTATCTACCAAGGCAACACATTTCTAAATAACCTAAGAATTGAATAGTATCTCAGAGACTCATTTGATTATTAATTCTCGCTTAGGAAATCCCATCGTGGAGCTTCAGAACCCTAAACCTGAGGAGTTTCAAGATGATTTACAGTATAGAGAGAAGACAAAGTACCTTTCTGCTGAATAAAATAATGCGTTATTGCTCTGATCAAACAATCTGAGAAGAAAAAATTAATCTCACTAAAATATGTGATATGTGCTTCCTTTTGAAGGGTCATAGGTAAAAAAGTTGGGAAATGCTGATATAAAGATTCAAAGGGTGTTTTATTTTCAATTTTAGGTTACATAATTGACAAAGTATGCCGTGTTTATCAGTACCAACATAACATCTGGTTTCCAGTTGTGACGGCAAAATGCAGCTCAGTACTAACCATGTTTTTTGTAACAAACAATATGTTTTGATTAAAACCAATTATCAAACGGTAAACTGCATTTAAATCTCATTAAAGGTCAGTGATTTCCAGCGGACGACTGTTGTGCCATTAAAGGAAATTTCAAGTGCAACTTGAACAAAGAATAATTCCTACGTGAGGTTATACTAGACCCTTTCAACTAAAATGGCCCCGGAAACAAACCCATCTCTCTCTCTTTCTCTCTGTCTCTCTCTCAGACCCACATCACTCAGTATGCTGACTCCGTGGCCTCCCACCTCGCCAAGATCCTGGACTCGGACAAGCACAGTGACGTCATTTCCTCTGCCAAGTACGTGCCACGAATGCCTTCGAGAACAGGGGCAGGAGAGAAAAGTAGACGAGAGGAGGAGAGAGCAGGTCAAGGATAGGAAGGCAGGGAAGATGAGAATAAAGATGGCAGGAGGGGAAAATGAGAAGAGCGATGATGAGAGAGAGAGCGAGAGAGAGAGGGAGAGAGAAGTGATTAAAATGGGGAGCGTGAGCTGTTGGTCAGTGTTTATTGATTTTTTGCATTGGTCTGCTCCCTAAGGAGACACACACACACGAAGAGGACAGTAAGGGCTGCTGGGTTGTCAGTGAAAGAGACAGATGAATCAGTATTTAGGGGTCATCCTCAGTGCATTAGTATATTAGTAGTCTTCCTTTGGGAAAAGTCGAGCGGCCATTACAGAGCACTTTTCTCCAACGCTCTGTGTTGCTGCTGACTGTAGTGGAGACCTGCAGCACATTTTAAATGCCTCTGGGACTTCAGGACACACTCACAGTACGAAACACAACACCAGTGTTGTCGGACAAAGAAAATCTGTCTTTTCCTTTTTCTTCCTTTTTGAATTCACACGGTGGAATTTTAACAGGTTTCGATCGGCCAAAGGTCAAGAGAAACACTCGAAATAACAAACGAAATCATAATGTCCCCTTGGGACGTCATCTCGATCAGCAAGTTCAGTGAGACACTTTCTCTTAGCATACTTTCTTATGAATTTAGTGTAATTTGTTAGTAGTTTAGTAGTATCTTTAAAAAGAAGAAAGAAAACATTGGTGTGGACGGAGTTCATGTGAAAATAGCATCCAGATTCAGGCTGTTTTGTGGCTTTTCTTGGTATTAAGGGATATGACTTGTTGTTATCCAGTTTACTGTATGAACTATGTTGTTTTTGCCAGCAAAGTCACTGCAGTGACATTAAGTAAGACTGCTGTCAGACTCAAATGGTTCCCTTTTAACCATTAACAGTGATCTGTTACTGACACAAGTGAGTAGAACGGTGCTCCAACAGAAAGAGCTCATACAGGGGGAATAGTTTAATAATAACACTGCTTTGCCATTCAAGTTAATATTATTGCACAAAAATGTAATTAAAAAAAGACACAAACAAGACAGACAGACAGGCAGACACTGTTAATCCCCCGTGTGAAATTCAGCTATACATTAGCTCAGACTGGCAGCATACAAGCATAGATCAAAAGAAAAAAACAGACAGTAGCAATGAGTTAAAAAAAAAACAATAAATAAACAAATAAGATGACGAATAAAAGTGCCAATAAAACAGCCTTGAAAGAGTATTGCACAGACCCGTGGGGGAGGATGGGTAGGTAAAGAGAGAGAGGACAGAGGTCTGATGGCTGTGGGGACCAAAGATCTCCTGGACCTCTCAGTCCTGCAGCGAAGTGAGATGAAGCGTCCGCTGCTGCTGCTGCTTTTTTGGCTTCACGAGGATGTGGTGAAGGGGTTGTCGGATATGTCCAGGCTGAGCACTGAGCCGGCCTTATTAACCAGCTTGTCCGTCCGCCGAGTGTCTCTGTATGTCACGTTGCCTCCCCAGCAAATCACAGCGTAGAAAATATTTGCCTCCACTGACTGATGAAACATGCGCAGCACTTCATGGCAGACATCAAAGCCGGCCCTTCCCCTAACAAGGGAGCTGGGTTGCAGTTTCATCTGGAATCTTCATAATTAATTAGATGTTAGATTAAGAACGGCAGCCTTTTAAAGTGCTATGGGGCAGTGGAAATCTTGAAACAGTTCAAACTAAATGGCCTTGCGTTGTGCAGTCACACTTTTCCAACAAAAACTGCCATAAATTTGTTAGGTCAGTTTTCTATCATACATCTGTAATTTCCAGATATCTCATTTGGAAATAAAACCCACTGAGCTGTACACGAGGATGAAACGGGACAGCAAAATAAATTTTGCAGGGTTCAATATTTGCTAAAAAAAAGTGTGAGTTTGGAGAAACCTCCCTGCTGAGTCATACAGCAGCAATGTAACAGCTGTGAGTAAATAGTGACTGTGCGGAGGCAACGTAGCTGATAGGCAGGTGGGCGGCGATGAAACGGGAGCGTGTGCGCGCGTGAATCACCAAATCTGAAACGTGTTCACCTGCTAATTTGTTACATTATCATAATTAATCACATTAACCCTCATCCTCCCTCTCTCTCCTCTCCTTTCCCTCTCTTCCCTCATTGTGCACACTCTCCTCCACCTCCACGCCAGGTTTCTGTGTGGGACGGTGAATGATTTTGTGGCGGAGGTGGGGAAGGCGTACGAGAGAGCCACAGAGAACAAGGAGGAGGCAGATGCGATGGCCAAGAAGGTAAATGGTTTTGTGTGTGTTTTGAATGTGTTATGCAAGAGCTTGTATAACAGAAACTAGTGGGCAGTGCTGATGTGTGTGTATAATAGAAATAGTTGTGTTGAAGGTTCTTCATTCCCTCTGGTTGTCCATATTTTCTATCTATTCTATTATTTGATGCATTATAACAATCCAGTTTAAAGAGCAATTGAAGCTGAAGGGCTGAACATAAGTGTTAAAGAGGTGTGGATGTGTTTTGTAACAGAGTTGAAAAAGTAGGTTAAAGTCACTCCTCTGGCTAAAATGCTGCCGTTTCATAAAAAAGAAATAAAAAAAACTCCTTTGAAACCCTTTTTTTTTTTTGCTCAGTTTTCACTCTGTTTATATAAAGGCTCATGGCAGAGCGACTACATGTCATATAGTGTTATTTTCAGGTCAGGTAACTCAGCCGTCATTACATCTCACTGACTTACGGTACATAATGTGAAACATCATAGACCTCATCAAATTAACCATATACACTTACTAGTACATGAGATTTAGTGTTGTACATATTGTATGTAGCCACGTATATGTCACATCAGGGCAGGAATTTCAGTTAGGCCATTAAGGCCTGTGTTTATGGACAGAAGAGTCAACGTGATATGAAAACTTTCTTTGATCATAAAGCCTATTGTTCCTCTGCAGTTGTGTCTGAACTACACTGCAGACTGGAGTCTCTGACAAACAGACAGACGCGCATTATATAGGCTACACTTATCTTCTCACTGCGCCGCGTTATAAACTGTGATGAACTGGTCGTGGGTCGCATCTCTCTCTCATCCAGACGTTGTCTCAAGCTGCTGTGGCTGCTTTGACAAACAATGTGCTGGTATCTGAAGTCTGCTTGCTGTTCCCAAATTATAGAAAACTATTGGATATAAGTTATCCTGGCCGTTCAAATTAATATAAAAGACATGAATATCACTTTAGTGTGACATCATTATTGGGCAACTGTCCTCCAACCTAAACGACAACATTGTTTTGACAAACCTCCAAATATGACTGAGTGTATCCTACAATAGCGCATCACATGGCCTACGTCACATGACATAAACATGTGGATACTGCAGCAACACAAAGAAGGTGAACCTGATCTGCTAACAGCTGTTGGGTTCACCGGTCAACATGCATACAATCACTGACTTAGGTTTAGGCACACACCCCTGTAAGGGTGAAGGGTTACGGGGGGCTGTCAACGCCTTTAAGACTAATATAGTTAGCTAGCTAGCGAACGCTGTAAATCTAATATAGCTAACTGAACTTAATTGAACTTAAAAAACGCGGTTCAAACGGGAACCAAACGCTGGTTACCAAGCATTTTTTTTGCACATTAAAATTTAAAAGAAACATCTCTTCATTAGCTGAAAGTAGTTTGCATCCATAATTTGCTTTACTAACCTCAGCTCCACCGTGGTCACCATCCTTTCCGGTTTCCATTGCGTTATAAATTGCATTTTCCCCTAGGATGGAGTTGTAGCAGTGGAGGTGAAGCCAAATTTTTGTCTCAATATAAAATTTTTTGGTCTCAATATAAAACAACACAAAAACATGTCTCAGCAACATCGCTCTTGTGTCCATGAGCATGCGATGCACATTAGAATAGCTTAAAACTTCAGTGTGTTCATATAATTGAATGTGAGCTTAATTTTTTGGTGTTAGTCAAATGTTTTTTCACATAATATTGGGCCATTATTTTCACCATATCTCTGAACAAATAGTTGGAAAAGCTAGAGCACTCACCAAAGATCAGTCTACTGGAGGAACTGCAACCTTTAGATCTGGAGAAAGTAATTTGGTTGGTTCTGATGCTCCACAGTGATTTTACATTTACGGCACCCCTAAGCCTTAACGGCAGGAAAACCCTGTTAATATGATCTCAGAATCATTATAGATACAACTGTTCATGTTTGCCTTTTGTGTCTTCATTTTACAGCCTTTGACATTTATCTGTAGACGTTAATATAAAAAATGGGCAACATGAGAAACCTCCTCCCTTCTGAGGTGCATTTGCATATTTGCACATTAAAATCCAAACAGAAACGTCTCCTCATTAGCTTAGAAGGACTAGTTTGCATCACTAATTAGCTTTACTAACCTCAGCTCCTCCACAGTCACCTCCGTCCTTTCTTTTCCTAACAACCACTTTCTCACACTCATATAATTGAATCAGTCTGTACAGGACAGAGCTGCAGGCTACGCCAGTTTAGTCTGTTTGTAACTGATGTTCTCAACATTGGACTAGTAGGCAGTAATAAAATACAGCTACCAGTTACTTTCTATAAATGGAGCTAATGTTCAGTTACACAGCAGCCAGAAGACGCAGCCTAGGACACTGTATAAGCTTCCCTGCTCAGCTGCGCAGTCTGAAGGGGAGGGGTGGTGTTTGCTAGCGCCAACAGGCTTCACTTTTCCAGCAGGTGGGAAAACAACAGACAAACTTTTCTTGGTCTTAAGAAGCAGACACACCGTAACCGACACCGTACATTTACTGCCAGAATATTTTCCTCCGCTCGCGGCCACCGTCACTTTCTGCCGCTCGGAACAATCAAATAATCGCTACGCAGGAGTTACGCTGTTCTTATAACACCACCTGTCACGTAGATGGTCTGTATAGAACGAGGACAAGAAGCGAGCCAAGCATTGAATGTTGTCCGTGCAAGTGAAAACATTTGTAGCGCGTAATGATCGTGGGAAATTTTAGTAGCGGCGGTCATGATTCAGCAGCGGCGCACAAATGCATATAGAGGAAACACCGAATTAACATTAAGGGGGAACAAATCGATTTTTGACATTTGTGAATTGATTCAGAATCGTCCGTCCGCATCTTGATGAATATATGAATCAATTTCTTCCCCTACCTCCAGTCATTATATAGACTGACCTTCTGTCACCACCCCCTGTGACTGACAGCCAGCGTTCCTGGTGAATGGTTATGATTATTGACAAGCATTAACAAATTAGAAAAAAATTGAATAAAAATATTATGGCTTTGCTGCCCTGGCATTTGGTCTTTGTGCCCTTAAAATATTGACAACGGCAAAGGCCTTGTCCCTTAAATAATCAACAGTAGCTGTCTGTCACCAGCAGGTGAAATAAACTCATGCTGAGAGCAAGAGTGGTTTGCCACCAAAAAAAAAAAAGGTTTTTATGAGACATTTGTTTCCAAACAAAGAGAAAATCTTTTCACCCAGCAGAGGCGTCTCCAGCCTTCACCAGCTTCTTGTCAGAGCGCTTTGAGCTCCATCCCGCTTATCCGTCTTTTTCCAAATAAAGTGAAAATAAAGCTTTATTGTTGCCCGGAGGGAAATTTGCCTATTGTTTCTGCAAATAAAAGATCTCTATGCGCTGTATAGGTATTGATTTCACGCTGTTGTCGGGTGTTGCTGCAGCTGCATTTCTGCCCAACATTGATTTGTACCGTATCTCCCAATTTACACTCCTCTCATATGATTTTGAAGTGAGCAAAAGAGCCATATAAAACTAAACTATAAACATCCCCTTCTCACCGTCTCTCTGTGTGTGTCTCTCTCTCTCTCCTCCCAGTGTGCATTGCTGAACGAGAAGCTCGATTCCCTCGTCAAGGCCTTAAGTGAGGAAGCAGAGGCCCAGGTAATAACACTGCCAGTTATAATCGATATGAAATAGTCATAGCAAGCAGTGCGTAGTCTTACAGCCTGATTACAAGTTCTAAATATCAAGCAACACCAAAATGAGATTTGGAAAAAGTGGCAAAAAGTGTGACTAACAACACAAATCCTGCTTGTTTAAGGACACCAGCCAATAAAATGATGTAAAGTTGCACTGATTTGACACTTTATGGATATCTGCCAGAACACTTAATCTATATTTACTGTTGAACTGAGCTGTGGTCATGGGATAAACCTGAGGGGTGACAAGATGAGTAACAAGTTGGGAAAGGAGGCAAAAATGATTTTTGACATGTAAATCTGTGACATTTTTCTTATCTTAGCTTTTTGCTTGTAGTTGCACCTCCTCTAACAATGTCAGAAATTTCAATGTTTTGAACAGTTTGTCATCATATTGGCAGATTGATATCGGTGCTATAGGAGAAATAGCCCTCAAAAATGTCAGTATGTTTTCAACCTTTTGCTCAATAAAAATTTTAGCCTTGTATCAAGCATGATTCCATAATTGACAAATAAAATATGGACATTCCTCAGTTCTGCATGTAAATGAGCCGCTGCCTCCCTTTTGTCAGAAACGAGAGGGAGACGAAAGATGTTGCGCCACTGTGACGCTCCACAGAGCATGAATTGTAAAAATGTATGAATGAGGAGCCATTTTCTGGTTTAATTCTGCTGTTATTGTGATAATATGCTAATGCTGCTCTCAGAATTCAAGAAGTCTCATATGGGAGTTGGATAACATCAGGGATTAAACAAAAAGGTCACTGAACAGGAACATGCGAGGATGGTGCAGATATCATTTTACAGATGTATTATAACAGCAAGAGGGTGTGTTTGCTTTTCTTTCCCTGCCACATGCAGGTGGTGCCAGCTGGTTCGGTGCCCAGCCAGGAGAGTGGCGGCTCCAGCCCCAGCGAAAGTGGCGGCGAGTCGGGTTCAGAGGGTAAAACGTACCGGTCCAAGGAGCAGCTGATGCTCAGGGCCAACAGCCTGAAGAAAGCCCTGAGGCAGATCATCGAGCAGGCCGAGAAAGGTAAGAAGAAGGCCTCTCGAATTACAGCTAGAAATTATGTTCTTCTTTAGGTATCTTTTTGACACAGCCATGCCTTGACGTGCAAACGTGAGTGTGTTGCAATGTCGTCATTTCAGTGGTGGACGAGCAGAACCGACACACGCAGGTCCAGAGGATGTCATCCTCGTCCTCCATCAAAAGAGAAAACAGCGAGGACCTGAAGGATGCTGAGCCGCGTAAGTGTCCCTTTAGTCTAAACTCAGCAGGGTTGCAAGGGGAAGGGACATACTCTGAAATGCTGTTTATACGTTTTGGAAAAGCTACATCAGATTTTTAAAAAGTCTTACTATTGCGTTGAGTCAGAAAAGTTTGAGGACGACTCATTACATGAAGAATAACCTGCAACTTTGGTGTTACATTGTCTAAAGATCAACTGATAATTCCAATTTTACAAGGAAACTTTGATCATTACTATTGGACATTTTTGAATTGTTCCTCTGTCCAGGCCAAGGAAGCTTAAGCCCCACCTCCCCCATTGTCCTTGAGAAACCAGAGAGCCTCAACACTGTCGCCTACAGCGAGGAGTCTGTGTAAGTCTTTGTGCGCTCTCATCTGCTACATACCAGCCGTGGCTAAATAATGTGCTTGTGTGTGAGCATGTCGCCGCATTTTAAAGGTTCAGTGTGTAAGTTTTAGTGGCATCCAGTGGTGAGAGTTGCAAATTGCACCCCTGGAGCGCTGGAGAGAGAGAGTAACCACATGAAATTAATCAGACTATATATTTTACACCACAAGCCAAAGCACAGCGAAATACATCCAACTACATGTGTTTTCTACCAGAGCAGTAAAAGTTTAGCTGGCTGAACATTTCATTGCCAATTACTGATCAGCTGATTGTCTCGCTAACGTAACCGGAAAAGCCAAACCACAGCGCTGTAGCACAACATGGGTACATGAAATTAATCCAACTACATATTTTACAGAAGTGGACAGGAGAAACACGCCACGTCTGTCAGTGATTATGGCCAGCTTCTAGCTAAAGCTATCAAACAACAGCTTTCATTTGCATCGCTAAAGTCTGACTAACTTAATTACCTAGAAGCAGAAAACAGACAACTTCAGCTCCGCTTTGAAAACATCTGTCCCACATCAAAGCCTTCCATCTAGGAAAATCCACACCGATTATGTCCGTGATTTTTTTGCCGTCAGATGTCTGCATCTCTCCCGACTCCCCTGGCTTCATGTACACCATGAAGCCAGAGCTCCAGAGGCTGTTGGCTCTCGTGCTAAATAACAAGTGTGCTCGTTCATTTGTCCCAATGTAATAATTATTATTATTATTATCATAATTTCCTCTTCTTATACGGACGCAATTAATGTAGTGACAAGCGTCTACACTGCCGGAATTTTACAAGCAGAAAAAGAACACTGTGATGACGAAACGCGCTCTGTAGCGCTGTTTGTACGGTCGGCTATTGTAGAAACATGACGACACAATACTGCGACCTCCATAGATCTCAGCGTTTAGGTAGATAAAAAAGGCTCATTCTAAGGTAATAAAAACACAATGGTTCATTATGTAAGGTCTTTATACACAACTGAAAACAAAGTTATGGATATTGTATTGCATTTCTGTCAAAAATCCTCAGAAATATTACACACTGAACCTTTAATAAACAATCAACGCTTTTTCTGTATTCGTAGGCAATGTTCAGAGAAGTGTGTGATGAACAACTACTTCGGCATCGGCCTGGACGCCAAGATTTCCCTCGAGTTCAACAACAAGAGAGACGAGCACCCAAAGAAATGCAGGTATGAACACAAACGCACACAGAAAACTAATTATCTGTTCACAGAGCATTTGATTAAATTATGTACCTCAGCAACTCTCTTTGCCAACAACTAATTGAAGTGTCACATCTGATAAAAATGTTTTTTTCAATTTCTTCACCCGAACAGCACCCAGCATTGATTTAATGTGTGACGTATCATACATATATTTAGCAAATACTTTTAACTTTCCTTTGTTGGAAGTCATACACTCATACAATACTGCACATATCTCACATTATGCACAACTGTTAAAGCCACTTAAAGAGGTGGTATTGTGCTTTTTGGCTTTTTCCCTCTCCTTTACTGAGTTATATCTCTTTTTTGTGCATATAACAGGTTTGCAAAGTGAAAAAGCCCAAAGGGAGTTCCCATCTCCCACAGAAAGCTCTGCTCTGAACCGCTTGAAAACGGCTCGTTTGTAGTCCAGCCGTTTCACTTCCTTTACTTGTGACGTCACAATGAAAACGCATCATAAAGCTTGCCAAGTGGCTAGCGGGTCAGGCACGCCTTCAAACCAAGCCAGTCTAAGCGGAGGCCCTTTGGCTCGACTTGCCTTCGTTTGGTTTACATTGTAGAAATGTTGCACCTGCTTCCAGGTACTTTTTTTCGTATCACCTCCATCGAGGTTCCAAGAGAGCTGAGGGATACTAAAATGTAACGTGAAAACACGACAGACTGCTGACTGGTCAGAGAGAATATTCACTATTCAGTGCATCATCATTACGTGCACCAGACAGAGGCAAGCAACAGAAAGTTTTACAGTTTTCGTATGGAATTTCATCACTAAATCCACTTCTGAGAAGTATTGAGGTGAAATCAGCTGTGTAGATTTCGAATATTGACAGTTTTACGAGAAGTGATGGCGGAACAAAAATGTGCTTGAATATTGAGGCTGGCCAGCCGCCTGCTCACAGAGCCCTCTGCTCTCAACAACGGCAGAGGAAAACACAGCTGGAAGGTTTTCATACCGCTTATCTGTCTTTATATTCTGAGTAATGTTGAAACGTTTTAACTTAAAAAAGAGAAAGCTGTGTGGATCGCTGGTGTGTGTGTCGCATTCAACATTATGTCGCAGCAGTTGTGTGTGGCGTCGCTATGACGACAAGCTACGTACTATCTCTGGATACTGTCTGCAATGGAAAACGGAGCAGGGCCGAGTAGAGTTGAGTCTATCGATTTGCGCTTTGGTAGCATTTTTCAGCAAGGCAGCATAGATCGTCAGAACACCGGCAACAGTTCAACGTTTAGTCTTGATGGTAAGATGTGGAACAATGATGTTGTGTGGTTGTGGACTTGAGAGCAACTTATACCATCTGCTAGGTTACGGTCTCAGTCTGAAGCGGCTTTGATTTGGATCACACTACCTTGTTTCTTACGACCCGCCCTTCTCTGCTTCTGATTGGCTAGTAGTGCTTACCTGGGAACTGCGCATGTGCAACTCCCAACAAAGATTTTGTACAAGTAAGTTGCATCACTCTGTAGCTCAAGAGCGGAGCGAACAACACATAGGGTGAAAAGAGGAGCTGCAGCAATGTATGTAAACCTGTTCTGGTACAACCCCTAATTAAGATTTTGAACCTGAAAATGAGCATAATACCACCTCTTTAAACAATGGATCATGCTGTTACGGCACCCCCACGTTGTACATATTGTTAATACTCATTGCTAGTATTATTTAAGCCTTGCCACTATTGAACTATTTAAATATTTACTCCTGCTACTGCCAATACTTCTGTTGCTGCTATTACGGTTATTACCAGTATTATTTAACTACCTCTGCTTATTATTACTGACTTCTGCTGCTGCTACTTTCACTTCAGTTGCTGTGGTTCAGTCCCTCCAGAATTTTGCAGGCATTTTTAGTGATTGTTGTGGCCTGAAACGCCTGATTTTGTGATGAAAGTTGAGATGTTTAGGGGCTTTTTTTGTATTGAAATTGTAGGAATAAGTGAAAACTGCAATGATAGGGTTTTTTTTTTTAAACCTAAATTAAATTTTTCACTTGACAATTAAGACGCGGTGTTGTCTCTGACTTCTGCTCCAAGGCAACGGCGGCTTATGTGTATTCTAGTATGTAGAGATGTCCGCCAAAACATAATTTCTCAGACGATAAATTATATTTGGTGGTAGAACTGGTGACCATATCATAAACCTGTATGATTGTCACGCTATGTGGGAGAGTCCTTTGTCTCTGTGTTTAGTAACATTTAGGACAACGTGAATAGGGAACGGCTTTTTTCTGTCACCAACAACTTTCTTCCTCCTGTCTCCTTCTCACAGCAGTCGCACCAAGAACATGATGTGGTACGGAGTGCTGGGGACTAAAGAGCTGGTCCAGAAGACGTACAAGAACCTGGAGCAGAGAGTTCAGCTGGAGGTCAGACACACACACACACACACACACACACACACACACACACACACAAAGTGATGAAAGGTGAATGTTTTGGGAAACAAAGTGCAATCAGCTGTTACCCTCTAATCTCCTGTGTTTCCCACCCTTTCTAACTTCCCCTCTCTCTTCAGTGTGACGGTGTTCCCATGTCTCTGCCAAGTCTGCAGGGCTTAGCTGTGCTCAATATCTCAAGCTACGCAGGCGGTATCAACTTCTGGGGAGGCACCAAGGAGGATAATGTGAGTGTTGTGAAAGAAGTAGCATCGTGAGTAAGTCAGGAAATCCCCTTTTCTTTGATTCAGTTAGTTTGAACTGAGAGATCTAAAACTAGAATGCTCTCATCTCCTATTTTTTAGAACTTTGGTGCTCCATCATTTGACGATAAGAAGTTGGAGGTGGTGGCGGTGTTTGGCAGCATGCAGATGGCCATGTCCAGAGTCATCAACCTGCAGCACCACCGCATTGCACAGGTAGCACACAACATACATCCCTGAATATCATGGACACACCTTTATAATCACAGTTACAGTGTCAAGGTTTTCATTAAAGCAGATGTGGTGAAACCCTTTGACATTGTTCCGTCACCTTGGCCAGTACTTTGGTTTAGGACCAAATACCTGCAACACTAATGACATTCTGATCATTTGTATTTTATGTTTTGTGCTAAATGTTTTAGCATGCTGCATTAGCATTTAGCTCAACGCCTACAGAGATGCTAGCACTGCTGCAGACTTAGTCTTTAGATATTAGATATTCAGCTAACGTTCTCATCAGTGATTGAAAATGACTACAATGTTAAATTAGATTGTCTGAACACAGTCTTGAACAACCTTGAGTAGCTGCGCAAGGGTTCGCAGCTGTACATCTTTGCACAAGAATATATTTACATGTACTGGTGTTTATTTTAATCTTCTAAACCTGAAGTGAATGAGAAACACAATGTATTTCAGTTATGTCTTGCTACTTTAAATTGATAAAGTTAGAGTTAAAACAGAATGTCTGAGCGGAGATAACTTGACAACTTGGAATAGAATAGACAAAACTTTGGCTCATCTGGCAATTCAACACCAACTACAAATACTCCATGTAATATAATACGCTGGTGCTACTTATGTAACTTTTAACGGTTCAGGTTTTCCATGATCACATTGAAATGCTTAATGTCCAACAGCAAAGGACAGATGAGGTCAAGCTGGGAATAACTGGTTTAAAACAAACATCTGACAGACGCTGTTTCTGCTCTGTTGCGTCTCAGTGCCGCCAGGTGAGGATCACCATCCTCGGGGAGGAGGGGGTTCCCGTGCAGGTGGACGGAGAGGCGTGGATCCAGCCGCCTGGCATCGTCAAGATCGTCCATAAGAACCGAGCGCAGATGCTCACCAGAGACAGAGTAATGTCCAACTAAAAGATGAATCGTCTGGTGTATAATGTAGTCGGAATATAGAAGATCTACACATGATTTTACGTTATACTTAATTTAAAAAAACAGCCTAGTTTGATTTTTACAGTATAAAGGTGTGTGTCTGCTATATGCATATGAAAAACAACCGTGTTGACTTTAAATAGTCTTCCATTCATAAACATTGGAGCCGAAAATCCACTCTCAGCTGTCTGCCCGTGTTGTTGACTGAGTCTATTTCGGGATTCACTCTTCACGCTGCTCAAACTTTGGCTGGCTCTCTTGAGCCAAGCACATTTGGGCACTTTGTTTCCATGGTTTCCCTCCTTAAGTACTGCAGAGGGAGAAGACTGTTGGCTGTCTGGTTTTATCCTCCTAAATGGAGCTTTTCTTCAGTCAAATGGTGATGGTAATGTTTCAGGTGAGCATTATCTCTGCTTGGTGCCTGGTTGAGGCCTGAGTATTGACAGGTTTATAAATTAAATTCATGCCTGGATGCAATAAAACACACAGATACTTTTTTTCTTCCTTTTCTTTCTATTTTCCTCTCAGTGGCCTCAGTTTTATTTTAGTCCAGACTTGAGGTAAAGTGCACCTGTGTTTACTGGAGCCTCTTCTACCTATTCTTGTGTCTTCATTCAGATTTACCTTGAATATTCACAGACACAATACGCGAAGAACCGCCTCAAATCAGGTGTCAGGTGGCTCTTGAATTCAGTATGAGTTTTGATGTTTCAGGTACCGACTGAAGCAGACTTTTCTTTTAAAATGTACGGGAAAAAAACTTTACATGATGTGCTTGTCGTAGTGTTGAACGGTGAGTAAAGTCGGTACACGACTTGTGCCTAAATTTTTGCCATTTTTTTTGTGCAACCAGGCGTTCGAGAGCACGCTGAAGTCGTGGGAGGACAAGAGAAAGATCGACAGCTACCGCGACACCAGGCCCCGCCTTAACTCTCAGCAGTCCATGGAGTACCTGACTGAGGAGGAGTGCGCTCAGGTGCAGCAGCTGGGCATCGTGGCCGACACTCATCGCCAAGTAAGAAGCACTTCCCTATTTCTGTGGCGTGTACAGGAAGCAGGTCGAGGTTTAAAGTCTTGCTCAAAGACATTTTGACTGCGGAAAAAAACACTGAGGTCCAAATTGTCATTAATAAACAGTGTATTTGATCCAACAAATCTTCTAGAGACTTCTAGTGTGCAAGAATATTGTAGTAAATGCTACTTCTAGGACATTTTGACTGGACCATTAAAAAGAGAACCTCAGTGCAGCTGAGGGGTACAGTAAGTACAACATGACATATTTATTGTATTATAATGTTCAGTGCATTGTCTTAAATTTATCAATTTCCCCCCCAAATGAATTATAATGGGAGCAGATCAGAAAAAGGGGAGACGTCTTACTAAAACCTAATAAAATCAAATTATCTTCGGAAAAAATGTAGAAGAAAAGAGCCAGACAATAGAAAGACAAAGGGTATTTTGTAATAATCCTTTTGTTTTTTGAGCCAGTACCTGGAAAGGTTTTTTCATTGTGCAGGCTACACTCTGTCTCTAAGTATAAGTTTCAGTTTCAGGTATGTTAAGGCCTGGTTGAGAATTTACAGTACTACAGGAATATATTTAAAACACTACCAGAGATGACTATGATTAAAGACGCACACTTGGTCCATTCACATGATCTTTGCAAGATGATAAATTTGTGCAAATTGCAAACAAACAAACACAATAAAAACATAAAACATTAAAGCAAGCTAATCGGCAACCTTCCTGTTTCATTATCTACTATCATCAGTGTAGTGTTTTTGTGTTAAAGATAAAGGGGGCAAGGGGGAATTTTCCCCTACATTTTGGGATTTGTTTATCCCACTGTAATTAGCTCGCTTATTTGCTTATTTCTCTGCTGCACTGATGAGCTATTTTATTTCTCTTTTTTGCACTTATAAACCATTTGTGTGCCTCTGAGATCTTCTCCATTTGTCTGGTTTATTATGATGATCTCAATCATCACCCGTCATTGCCTTTCAGGATGATAAATTATTTAATTACATTTGCAAACTCATCTCTGAAGCTGAGAAATGGTCATACAGGGGATTTCGGGGGGAAGAGATTTGAAATGGAGAATTTGGGAGCACAATAAAAAGGCCTGTGATTTTCCACCTACTGCCAACATATGAAGACTCCAAGTGGAGATGATCAGAGGTGAAAACAGCAAGTGAAACAAAGGCAGTTGACTCATTTCAGCTGTGAACTTTTGTTGCTCACTGGTCAAACTCATGGCGAAGTTTTCAATCGAAACATCTTCTAAACTAAACTCCAAGGTGGGAGATGTGGAGAGAAAAAAAACGGCCCGTCAACAGGCTGAGACAACTTGTTGGAATAATCGCCTTAATTCCAGCTTGTCGAAATAGTAATTACAGCTCTTTCAAATCTGTGATCTCCTCCTCCCCAGGATCCGTGAGGCAGCCAAAACCCACAAGCTGGTGGAGCAGGAGCTGGCTCACGCTGTCAACGCCACGGCCCTGGTGCTCACGGAGGCCAAACTGTCCAGCCCTGAGGTAAGACACCGAGGGGGAACAGACGGACGGACATATGGCTGATTTGATTGACAAAAATGGAGAAAGCATACAGATTATCAGTCAATACGCTTGGGTCTCATGTTAATTTACAGGCTGTTAATTTTAAAGCCTATTAACCAGAAATGCATCAGTAATGTCGCTTCAAGGACACAGCTGGCTTTCGCCTTCAATATTGTGGAGCGCCGAAGTGTTCAATATTAAAAAAAATCAGCACAAAGCCAGTTATGTGATTGGCTGCTGCTTTGGTCTGAATAAGCGGACCGCCAATCACGTAACTGTCTCTGGCCCTGCTGACCATTTGTCTTGATTGACAGGTTAGGACGCAGTGGTGAAAAGTGGCCTTGAACTAAAATAAATGGTCATAGGGGAAAAGTAGTGTTGTGAAATAAAAAGACCTGGAATTAGATAAAATAGAGATGCCATAAACTGTGTATGTGTATATAGTAGATGCAGATAAAATATAATAATAAGTGAATGAATTTAAAGGTTCAGTGTGTAATATTTAGGAGGATCTATTGACAGGAATACGATATTATATACATAACTACCTTACATAATGAACCAGTATGTTTTTATTACCTTAGATTGAGTATCTACAAACACTGCAGGTCCTCTTACGTGGACGTTGCCATGTTGTGCTGCCATGTTTCTACAGTAGCCCAAAAGGACAAACAATTGTACAGAGCGCGTTACGTCACTATGTTGAATACGTCTGAGAAGAAGAAAAACAAGTAACGTTAGTAGTAGTCCTTTGGTTTATTAGGAATAAGAAAAGAAGAGATATTTGGACAAATGGAGGACCACATGTGTTATTTGAGTGTGTCGGCCACCGTAGCTTCTCCTGCGTGCTTGGAAAGGGAAAGGTGAGAATGCATGATGGTGCATTCATGTGATGTCGGAATAATCAGAATCTTTTTTTTCCTCCTTTAGTCTTTATTGCAAAAAGATAAATAAAGTGGACATGGGACATAAAGAAGTATACAGAACTTTGATTCGTGCAAAATCACACATTGCGTATTGATATTTTACAACATTTCATAACATCTTTATATTCAACTAGTATTGAACAATCCTTTTTTGAAAATGAGTTAACTGATATATGACTTTCTTATTTAACCATCTTTGCTTTAACTGGACAGTCTGCAGAATCCAGGCTTGTATTGCAGGTTGCGTGTTCATAAACCATTTCACAAATACTACATTTTGTAACCTCATGCATCTGAATGTTTGAAGAGTTTCGTGTTATAGTAAAATGAGCCATCAAATTTCGAAGTGCAAAGATTAAACGCAAACAAATATACAACATACAGTTGTTGAAATATTCATGTTGCACACTGACTTGAATAATATATCATCTGTATCCTCCGCTTTAGGCTATGTGTTGCACATTTTATTAATGGACGTCTTTGGCCTTTGATGATGGAAACTGAAGTTATTAATTTGTATTTTCAGTGTCTAAGTCGCACCACGGCGGTGGAAATCGTCAACAGCAGTAAAGTTCTCCAGGCCGAGACCAGCATGCTGCTTGATGGAAAACTACTGGTACAGCTCAGCAATTTCATCCATCTCTTCTCTCTGTTATTTCCTTTGTTTCCCAACCCCCTATTCTCTCTTCTCGCTGTCTGTCTCTTCTGAAGTCTTGGCGTCTCACATTTCAATTTCTGCCGTCTGTTTATTGTCTTTGTTCAGTTTCTGTTTTATAGCTTTATTTGCCCTGTTCACAATAGGCCTATGTGCAGAAGAGCAAATAGAATGACAGCACCAGTGCAAACTGTGATGCATGCAACAATACTGGGGAAATTCATCTTCCTCTCTGTTCTGTTCTTATCTGCTGCTTTAAAGAAAATAAAAATCATCGTCAGTTTTGAAACTTCCCTTTATTGGGCTCAACTTTCACTGATTCCATCTCGGACACAGAATGAACATCCCTAAACTTACTTGCAACAAGAGAGATGATATTAAATGAAACCGTGATGATTAGACACAGGTAAATAAAGCAGCAAAAATAATACATTAGCATAATATTCTAATTACTTTTAGTTTGAAAGGATTTGCAATACGCCCCAGTTGTTGACAGAGTTACAGGTTGACAGGTGTTTACTGTTTACAAATCTGTGAAATTTGCATAATATACGCAGGGTGTCACAATCCACATCAACTTCAGATGGTAGGAGAACAGAGCAGATGCTAGCATTTAGTATTTCCAGATGTAGGAGGAAAAATGTCTTCAGGCAAGCTATTTTACACTGACACCCCATCTCGTCATCCACCACAGTCAGAGTCTCCAGAGGAAGAGGAGCTTCGGTCAACTCTGAACAGCCTCAGTGCCGAGCTCCACAAGCTGGATGACATCCACTGGATCTGTCCACTCATGCAGTGCTCCGAGGAGGTGAGTGGGCGATACAATCTGTGTTACTATGTGTGTGAGAGAAAATCCATTATATTATCACAGTCTAACAACCAACAGCAGGCCGGTTTCACAAAGACAGACTTTGACTACAGCTTAGACATAGTAGATAGTCAGACTTCAGATAGACATCTAAATCAGACCGTTGCACACAGTGCTTGAAGTGGGGAAAAATATAGGTGCCAGTACTCCAAAATATAAAATATAATGGACTATAATAATGTTTTCCTGTTGTGCATTTCTTATTCAACATTTCTTGTTGCAAGCTGTTTTTCCAGAACCTTTTTAACAAAAAGTGATGGAGAGATTCTGATTCTGACCCGTCCCCAGTGTCCCCAGCGTAAATGACACCTATCTGCCAATACTTTTAAATGTCCCGCCCCATCCAGGCTGTGATTGGTTGGTTCACGACAAGTGACATTGACGAGCTACATTCAGCACACGGCTGCTTGAAAGGCCCCGAGCTTCTCTCCTCCCTCGTCTCTCTCCGCCGACGGAGATTAGCAGGCAGGCGAGAACGGGAACAGAGAACCTGATATGGAGAGGGCTGAGGAGAGTACCGGTAGCTTGGAGGAAGTCCCGGTACGCTAAAGAGTAAAATGTCGAGGCGCCGGCCCACTTCAAGCACTGGTTGCACAAAGCAGCACAAAGACCCTGACTAACTTATGTAGGACTACACTGCAATGCATTCTGGGTAAAATGAGGCACTTTTCAAAACAAAAAAAATGGCGGATTGAGTAGGCTCATCCAACCTCAGTGCAGTTTACCCCAGCGGGAAAATGTGTTTGTTGAAGCAGTATAATGTATAAAAAAAAAAAGAACATTTTACTTGGAAAATTTAGCGGAGAGTGTAGTAACAAAAAGAGATCCACAAAGATGGTACAAGCCAAAAAAGAAATATTTAAGAGGAAATATCCTAAAATGGGAGGAGGCAGGGCGCTAAGTACTTCAGGTAATTCATCTGTCAGACCTCGGGTAAACGAAACAGACTGATGGAAGTCCTCATTGTTGTATATTTCTAGTAGGTTACTACGGTCCCTAAAAACTCTTTCCCTTCTCGTAGCTCTCTCCATAATATTGTCAAATTATGGAGAAATCATAGCAAACCATAAATCATGAGCCATTTCTCTTTTTTTGGCTGTTTGTAATGTAACTGATTGTTAGCCTGTTGAAAAGGTGTCTAATTTTTATGGTCTAAACTTGGTCAGACTTTAATTTTGTGAAACCTTGCATTAGACTAGTCTATGAGCAAAATGTAGACCAGTCTAAAATAACTGTGTGAAACCGGCCCCCGGGTGTCACGGTGTCATTGCTGTTGCTCAGTTATAACTAGTAGCAGCCCATCTGCCCTTTCTGACAACCAGCCTCAAAATGTAGACTGTCTTTTGGTGTGTTTTCCTTTATTTAGGACTCGGTGAGGGGCAGCAGTAAGAGCAGCAGCAGCATAAAGCTGAAGATAATACCCAAGGTGAAGAAGGAGAGAGAGAAACTCCACAAGCAGAAGTCCAACAGCTCTCTCTCAGGTAAGAGATCAAAGCTTCAAAGCATCACATATGCAGTCATGCCTCAGTATACAAACCGTATTAGCTGCCTATGTCTAGAAGAAGAAACCAAGAGATCACTTGGGCCTGATCCAGACATTTGTTGATAGATTGGGTGCAGCTATATGGAGCGCAGTCCATTTCCGATTCTTCTGTTTGTTTGCCCTAGGTATGCGGGCTGTCAAAAACTCCCCAATGTGTTGTGTAATCATGCGTCAGAGCTACAGTATCCGAGAATTTACTTTTCAGCTTAGGATGTTCTGAGCCCATCTGCCAAATCAGGATCGAGCCCGATCCAGGCATTTGTTTATGGATTGGTAACCTGGTCCTTTACCGATTCTTTTTCTGTCAAAAACTCCTCATTGTGCTCTGCAATCGTATCTTGGAGCCATGCAATACTTAGAAACTACAGTTCAGCTTCATGTTCTGAGCCGATCTGCGGCATTGGGATCGGGACCTGATCCAGGCATGTATTTATGGATTGATTACAGTGCACAGAGCAAGATCCTCATCTGATTCTTCTTCTGTTGGCTCTGGGTACGTCAGCTGCCAAAACGTATCTTTGTGTTTGTCACTATAATCTAAAACTGGAGCCAAACAAACAATGTGAGCAAGTGAACCATGAAGTTTATCAAAATAAAGTCGGCAGTTTCCATCAATAAAAGTCGAGGATCTTTGACGGGCTCGTTCTCCAGAAGGAGATTTGCTACAAACGTGCACCTACTCTTAAGAGAAGAAGAAGAAGTAGGCAGCCATCTTGGTTCAGGTGTGAATCCAGATCCAATCATTTTGGGGAGGTAGTTTCTTGCGCTTCAGAGCTGAAATACAAGCTGAAGCCCAATTTGTCATTTTCATTTAGTTTTTCTCTCTCTCTCCCGCAGGAAATTGGGATATCAAAAGTGGGGCTGGTGAAGTAGATTCGTCTGGCAACTGAAATCCTGCATGAGGTGCTTTATTACTGCCCCCTGCTACCCTGAGAACCAGGGGTGAGGAGCACCCCTCCTGTTCTCCTCCCCTCTAATCGCGATACCTAGTGGCCTGACAGAGGTGTGAGGAAGAAAAGGAAAACCATCTTCCCAACTTTTATGCTAATTCCTCCCTGTTTAACTTCTTTACCCTCCATTTTTGCAGGGAGGAGTTTTCTTTGTTCTATTTCTTCTTTTATTTCTTCTTTTATTTTTTGAAGGGGCCTGGCTTTGCATCGCATTGCTTCTCCATTGGCGTTCTGCTTTTGGCTCTGCTTGAATTAGGAAGTTGTCGTGGCCAGCAGCGAATCAAACAGGAAGTGGGAGGCGTGAAACATTTGCACGTTCTCGCAAATGCTATTTTTTTGAGAAAGAATTGTGTTTACGTGGTGCTCTCCTTGCATGTCGAGTGCAGCTATCTTATTTTATATTTATCATACGTTGTTACAGTCTTTTAATTCTCTTCTCTTCTTTATTTCTCAACTTATGAATAGCCTTTAGACTTTGATTTATCTTGAGACTTTTGAAGAGTATTTATTTCTTGTTGCTACTGCCATGAGAACTCAAACGGCAACAAATCAACAAAAATGAACAAACTGAAACATCTCAAACTTCATCTACTGAACTGGAGAATATCTTAAATGTTGCAAAAAATGTAAGGAGGAATGTACTTGTGTGGACTTGTATTATCCTGTGAATGATAATGTGTAATGATAAATCATATAAGATTTGACAAAGGTTCTGCTGTTGTGGTTCTAAAGTGGTTCTTAATAGGCTGTTGTCTGACTTGTGTTAACCAAGGCTATGCAGTCACGCTGCAAAAATAATGTTCTTTATGATGAGTCATTTCATCTGGAATCCAGCCTTACGGAAACATCCGACTCTGGGATTTAAGTATACATCACTCAGTTATTATCAAGGTCTAAAATGTGACTTCTGTGGGAGTCAAAACATCTAATACACTCAGTACACAGTTTTTCACTTGTTTTAAGAACCATTTTGAGGTACAGTACCAGATGAAATGACTCCATAAGTCAGTTTTTTTTGGCAGTATATGGTGGAGGTGTTTACAGAAGGAGGAAGCATCAAGGATACATTAACAAAACATTACAGCTACTCAGTATATTACTCCTACTTTGCCATACTCCTGATTGTATATGTAATATAAGAATAAGAGTCAGTCGATATTTGATTTTGCCTTGTCCGTGGTTAAAAGCTATTATTATTATTACAAATATATATATTTTTTTGTATATCTTATTTTCCCAATGGTAATCTGTGAAGCTGTCCTGGGTTTGCTGCTTCCCCCTTTGACAAACTCCTTGGCCACTGTGCATATAATCGAAGCCAATTAATGCTGTCCTGTGTGTCCCTGCATGCATACTTAGCCTTCCTTCGCCTCACAGTGACTGCAGAAGTTGCCTCAAAATAGCAAATTTTAGCTTGATTGTTTTGTTTTAACCTACTTTCTGCACCAGATGGTCTGAGTTTTACTGCAAGAGAACATTTATACTAATACTTTACTGTGATGTCCAAACTTTAAGAGAGTATATTGATTTACACCTTGTCTATTCACAGGGCTCTCTGTGCTGGTTATAACAAACAATCTAAAAAACAATATATGTATGTATCTAATTATTATTTGCTTTGGCCAAAGCAAGTACGTGAAATGATTTTGGGTATATGTGCGGCTCTTCGGAAATAACTAAAATATTGATGTTTACGAGTTCTCGGGGCAACTTGCACCCAGGTTCAACAGTAATGTTCTTGAAAGAAATGGTCAGACATTTGGGGAAATTAGCGTATTTGCTGTGTTAACTCAAGATAAAGAAGATGATGAATGTGTTTTTCATCTCTGTCAGAGATAAAGATCACTCTTAGACATGCTTAGCTTAGCAAAAAAAAAAAAACTGGAAGAATTGGGAAACATTGTCCGTCAATCCATGTATCTTATTAGCTGGCAACTGAGTTACCAAGAGATCCTAGAGTGAAACTCAACTTTACTATGAGGACAGGATTTGTGAGAGGCTGTGTCTGTACTGCATGCAGTCAAGAGAAAGCTCCAACATGAAAGCAATTTCTTGTTGAGCAGCTTTTTCGTTCAGATGTTAAATATACACACAGAATAAATAAGACAACTTCGTCATTATTGGAACTACAGGAGCTAGGCAAGCCGTTTCCCCTGCTTACAGTGCTTTGACATAAGCTAGGCTAAACACGAGGCTAACTCCAGACTGAATGGACAGATTAATTTTAAGTAATTCTTCTCTATATCTAACACTCTATAAGACAGCAAAAATGCGGACTTCTTTAAAAGTTAAAACCTGCAGGATGTAATAAAAAGCAACATTCACTAGTCATTCACTAGTGTGTTCCGTAGTTACTACATAATGTAAAGGTACGATGAAGAATCACAAAAGATTATTTCTTTTCATGATACACAACTTACCTAAAGCTGTTTAGTTGTGATGCAACTCCACCACTTTCAAAAATACAAAAAAGCGACATAATATTAACATTAAGAAAGGAAAAATATGCTTTAACTTCGCAGTAAACTTGTAAAGAATCATTTCTCAGATTTTCCCATTCATGTAAAGGGTTGGCTCTTGAATTTCTCAGTTATTTACACATTTGTCGAACTAACCCAAACTAACCCTTGATAGTGCAGAGTTACTGTGAGGCGTTGTAGATGTTCAGCTCTGGTAGGATTGTGCTTCTGTATCCATAGTGTGCCAGCTATACGCTCTACACCTTAGAGGCTTTAGTGGTGTTGTGCCAAGTTTGTACTGAGTTCAGTGGGTTATGAGACGTACAAGGAATGTGTGTGTGTGTGTGAGAGCGCGTGTGAGCTTCAGATGCAAAAGTTGTTGTATGTCGTAAATTTCAAAGTTTACTGTATCTTGCCTTGCACTTTACGAAGAAGCAAACTTAATGGTTGAAAAAAGACATTTGTAAGCATGTGTGCGCGCGTGTTTCAAGATTTCGAGTGCTTACGAGTGTTTTTTTTTTATTTGATGAAAAAAGAAATCTTATTTATGATAAATGTATACGAACAAAAGTGTGTTGAAAAATGTAATATATCTAAGCAAATGTAAAAGAATGATAAATATTTAGAGCTGTATACACAAATGTTTATCACATCAGTGGTTGTACAATTACTCCCACAGCAGCTTAAGATCTCCCGTTTAATGCCAATGTTATTGCAAGCGATTTCTGTCATTCCACTGCCACAGCAATGCCATGAAAATGTCTTTCCAATGCTACACCAATTGGTATTAAAATAGTATTCTAAAAATGTAACTAAGATTAAAGTTATTCAAACTTTAAGCCAAAGCTTTTGGAATTCTCCAGTGTTATTACAAACTACTGATGAATCGTTTACACACACAAAAATAGAGATGTCATGCCTATGTTTAGCCAATATTTGGGTGAACTTTTTGTGTATCTTATTAAGAAAGTCTACCTTATGCTTCAAGTAGCATTTGTTGCGCTGAAAATGAATGCAAAGATGTGTCCAGTTTTGGGGAGCACACATTCGCAGAAGCCATTTTGGGATAATAATAAAAAAAACTAGTTGCCTATGTTTAATGGTCTTTTAACCGATTTGTTTTTTCTTTCAAATCATAATTTGTCACTCATTGTTATTAATTTTTGTGAGTGTTGATTTTATTTTCCAACATTTTTGGACTGAAACTCTTCCAAGGAGTAGCGTGGAGCTGAGAAACTGTAATGAACCCACAGATTACAAACAACCCCACCATGTTTGTGCAACAGCATTCCATAGACAACATTTGTGAACACACCCCCTGATCTGAACAGCCTGTATATTGAACTGTGTGGATAATGCTGGAAGCCAGACTAGATGTTGCACGACCTTGTAGATTGCGAGGTGTTTTATTGTGTTATCGTGTGCTGTGTGTAACAAAGACAAAGTCAGCGCAACCCTTTGGAGATTAAATGAACTATTGAAGTGTGAATCTGGTGTCTTTGATCATTGAGTGATCATATAAAATATCTTTTCCATCTCCAAACATCAGTGTTTCTACTGGACTCCTACTTGGTCAAACGTGAACAAAGGTACACACGCTTGAATTTGTCTGTCGTGCTGTCTTCAATAGAATTGAATCGGAGACGGAACAAATATTTAAAGGACGGAAATGTGATCGTAGCTTTAGTGAATGAAATTGCAGGTGTTAAGCACTGAAATTTAATCTTTTTCTGTGTGTTCTTTGTTTACCTTGCAGGTGGTGAGTAAAGTAAAAGCCTCGGTATGCATCAAACAAACCAGGTTATTAATCCGACCACGTCTACAGGTAGAAGAGTGGAGAGCTGTTCTCAGTTGGCCACATTCAAATTCAAACTCTCTCTCAAAGAGACGTTTGTGTCCTTCTTTGTCATCAACATGAATAATCATAAAAATGCACTTTCGGATGGTCTTTCCTCAAAGACAGTCCTCGTCACCGCATAGTCTGTTTTGAAAAAATTAGAAATGTTTTCGGACAGTGATTGATTACACTGTTGGAAAGGGGAATTAAAAGTTCGATTTACAGTTGTGCATTAAGGGTTTATGGTGTAGCTATATAGCAAGAACTTAGTCGATCGCAAAGTCAAACATATGCCGACGACTTCGCGTTTTCAGTAACACAGTTCTAGCAAAGACGTTTCCCCTGCGAACCTTCTTCTCACCGTTCTGTCACAATGAAAGTTTCCAATTCAGTAATTAGACGAGGCCAAACTGAAGTTACCTGGATGTGACTGAGGTCCCTGCATGCACAGACCGGACCGTCACGAGACTCTTGTCAGCCTTTAGATGCTCTGATGATTGCTTCATTTGAAGCATACTGAGGCATTAAGACTACAATCTTAATCTTTGGTTGTAACAATCACACCACATACTCTTATCAATCTTTCTTTGCCTGAAGTAAAACTGGTCAGTGAGTAATACAGCGTAGGTTGTGTTTGCAGATGTACAATAGGCTTTATATTAGTGAAAACCATGCGTGGAAGTACAATTTCAGCATGACTCATGAATTAAAAGTTTATCCAGCCCAAAGTGTTTTGTTCACAACTGCAGTCTATAAATTAATCAATCTTAATCTTTCTGCTTAAAATGCGGGGGACGTGATGGATAACAAGTCTTTATACCATTGATCTAGCCATTTATGTGTTGATTTTGTTTGTTTTAGACATAAAAAGACAGAAATTTAAACCTTGAACAGTCTTTATTTCTTCTTCTTCTTGAAGTTGCATCCAGTTGCGTCTGAGTATCTAAACACATTTTAAGAGGAAAAAACTCAAGCTTTATCATTAAATTTTAAAAAAAGGATCCAGTGAGTTTGTTGACCAAAGATGTAAGTAAGTAACTCAATGCTTCAAGAGACTTGACCCCTAATACAGAGTTGGAATTTAATCATTTCCGGAATAAACATTTAATTTGCTTCATTACAAAAATCTATTTCAATTAAACTTTTTTTCTACCTTCTATTTAATGCAAATCAGTGTTTTTTGGAGGAGTTACTCGAGCTCTGGCATGTCTTCGTATCCTCCTCCCTCCTCCTCCTGTCTTCTCTCCTCCTCCAGCTTCCTCTCCTCCTCTGCCCTCTTCCTCTCCTCCATCGCCCTCTTCATCTCCTCCTCCACCTCCTTCCTCTTTAAATTCTGGATCTCTTCATCCTTCTTCTTCTGCGCTTCTTTTTCCTTCTCCTCCTCTGTTTTATCCTTCGGCGGCGTGCTGTAGGCCCACTCCTCGTCCGAGTCGCTGATGTCGTCGTCGTCGATGTCCCAGTCGGGCTGGTAGGACTCTGTGGTTTCGGTGTCCTCTACAGGCTCGGGCTCAGGTTTGTGGTTGGGGTCCTCCAGTTTGCCCCAGGCCACCTGGTCGGCCTTGCGGAGGGTGATCTCCACTTTAGATGGGACCATGTTGACCGAGCTCTGTTTGACATTGATCACCTGAATGAGAACAAAGAGTGTGGGAAAGATGAGCATCAGTGTGTTGAAATGACACTTGATTTCAGACTGTTCTTGAAAATACGCATGTTTAGCAGGTACTCACGCCCCAGAGGTGGAAGTCTCTCTTGAAAATCTTATTGTCCTCAAACTGGATTTGACATGAGAGCTAAAGAGAATAAAAAGCCAGTTAGGAAGATGAACAGGATGATTGGACTCTTGCATTTATTTGCATAAATGTGTGCATTGTTGACCTTTTAAAGCAGACTGTAAGGTATATATTATTGTTTCTTGTATGCCAGTTGCGAGGTTGTATTTTAGGTCAGACCAAAATGTTTTTTGTTCTCAGCTGTTTCTTGAAATATAGTTGTCTGCTGTAAATTGAGAAAAGTTAGATGTATTAGCTTAAGCTAACTTGCGCTAACTTGTTTTTAGTAATAGTTGCTTGTCTTTTGTGCTAGAACTTTCTATTTAGCTAGCTTTAGCTTCCTTCAGCTAACTTTGTTCAAAAATGCTTTATAATTTAAATTCATAAATATATCATATGTCATGAGACTTAATATTTATAACAGAAATCCAGTACCCATTTATAAAGGGTGTATAGCTGTAATGAATGGCTCTAAATTGTTAATAAATCAGTTAATAATGCTTTATGGATCAGCTAGAAACTATAAATTAACATTTTTGACTAGTGGATCCTCACCATGACACTTGCTTTATGTTCTTAGCTAGCTCTATCCGGCTCATCAGGAAGACCCTTTCAATGAAACGTTTCACCCCTGACCTTGTGGGAAAGTTTAGCAGAGAATCTGCAATGAATCAATTTATTAACATTTAGAACTGCAGACGTATTAGAACGTGAGAAGCTCATTAGCTTTTATAAAATATCACTAACAGAAATATTGTGAAATAGAAAGGATATGCACCAGCCAATGGGATTGTTCACAGTTTGGCAATTAAAAACTTCTTATTAATAACATCTAACGATCTATAAAGCATTAGTAAATGATTTCTTAACCATAAATAAAGACATTTGTTACTTAAAACTTATGTGTTTTCAAGACAAGCTAGTATACCTGCAAAGGATATATTAACTTAGTGTTGCGTGTGTGTAAAACTCACCACTGTCTGGTTGCCTTCTACGCAGGACAATTCTGGGTTTGTGTTCTTGGCGTAAATCGTTATGACGACATTATTTCCTGTCTGGTGCCAGTCATGTCGACATGCCACTTTCTTTTTGTCCTGTAAACACACAACACACAAAAAGATTTGATGTTTGAGCACACCCGAGATGAGATATGCCCAAATGCCAAATGTTCTGAATCTAGTTTCTAACATTTTATAAAGCTGATAAAGGATCCAATTTTAATCCTACTTTGTTCTCTAGAACATGATTTCAAGTTGGAGATGAGGATTGTGTTCCGTTGATAATTATTAATTTAGAAGAAATGGAGCTAACAGCATGATAAACCTCATTTAGATGACGAATCAAAATAGTAAACCATGGTCAAAACAAGCAACTGACTAAATGTGTACTGAATGTTTTGCAGTGACAATTTACCTACATAAAGACAGTTTAAGAGACTGACTTCCTTTTCCAGTGAGCGTCATTCTGATCCGACGTTGACGTTCTTCTTATTCTGTAATAAACATGTGACCTGTACCACTACGGTTTTATTTACAATATTTAGTCTCCTCTCAATTCTTTAAATGGGTTGGAGAAAATTTTTAGAAACACCTCTCAATATAACACTGGATGATACAACAGCACCGCAAAATAAAGCGTCCGAAATGATGAAGTGAAGAAATGAAACCATTTCAAACGTTAACATTATTATCATCACAGAGGTTGGCATTATTGCATTAAACTGCATCAGCCTGGTGTACCTGACTATCAAGAATAGGTGCATACTTGTTCATTTCAGCTTGTAGGGGGGGGGACAAACCGGAAAGACCGAGTTCTATTCACAAATCTTCATACAAAAAATGCCTCATTTGTTTCTTTTGTTTTTTTGCATTGTCATTTCTGCATTTAAAATAGTATTCTGTCAGCTTTCACGGTCATGTCCAGCTACATTTCCTTCCAACTTTGAACCAGGATCAATCTACCCTCCAGGTGGTGTAATACCTGCTTTGCGGTCCAGCGGTGTTTCCCTGTGGTGCAGCCCTTCTGGTCGAGGAAAGCGTTGAAATCTGTTGTCTTTATGCAGCAGCAGCTCCAGTACTTATATCTAAACAAAAGAAATGGTAACAGGTTACAAACACTATCTGCGTCATTCAGGAAATGGACAACCTATCCGATTTTCATATAATGATCAAAATTCAACAAGCAGCGGTTTTAACAAATGAATGGAGAGATGAAAAGATGTGAGTCATTGCCCACTGGCTGCACAGTGTTGGAGCGATGCTCATATAGTTCGTGTGATTCAAAGAGCAGCTGCAGTTTAATTCACGTCTAAAATGTGTTTGCTATGTTACAGATTTGTTTTCTAATTACTGATCTTTAATTAATTGTCTGTTGTTTTGTTTTTTACATTTGAACTTTTACACTTAATGCTTCTTGCTTACATGGCCTTCAGTTTTGTTTTGTTTACATTTCTCCTTTGTAGACGCGATCTAATTATGGTTTGAAAGAGATATGCAAATAAAGATTGCAATTATGATTTTGTTATAGTGGATTATGCATAATGCCTTTGTAATATCCGGGGTAAGGAACTGGAAACAGGCTGCAGTAATTTTAACTCTCTCTGTGCATCTTTGCGCCTTACCCCTCGTGGAAGACGGGTGCTCCGGGGTGGTGGATGCAGACCTCCATGTTCGTCTCTGGGCCTTGATAGACCTACACACAAAAACACATTGGTTACGGTCGCAGTGTGAAGATCAGCTCCTCACGCCTCTGGTCATCAGTCACATGGTATGGTCACCAGTCAAGTGTGTGTGTGTTTGTTTGAATGCGTTTAAAGGTTTCTCAATCAGCTTCTTATTATGAGCAAAATATTCTGCTTAAGTTAGAACAGTTGTGATAATTTTACTTGTGTTAAACTCATGATAAATGTACCTTAATCTATTGCTTTACTCCCCCTCCAAAAAAAACATTTTAATCTTTTCAATGCAGGCCTCCGTCTATGGTTTTAAAACAGTATTAAAAAGTATGTTATACCCAAATTGGCATGACATTGCACTAGTCACTGAGGTCATGTGGTGGTGGAACAAGTTTTCAGATCTTAAAAAAAAGAAAAGGATGCAATACTGCTATGTAAAAACACTATTTAACACAAGTAAAAGTCTAGTTCACACAATTTTACTTTATATTTGCCTGAAGTTTTAAAAGTAAAAATAAGCATTGGTCAAAAAAATGCCCCCTGTCAGTCTTTTTACTTATTACTAATGTCTCATAAGTAAGCAGCATTTTAATGTTGCTGCTGGATGAGGTGGAGCTAATTCAACAACTTTATGTACCGTTGGGTAGTTTTAAGATTTAACAATGCATCATATTTTAAAAAACAATTGTGTGGGTTTTTGTTTTTATCTGTAAAGTAATAACAGCAACTGTGAAGTGGGTTGAATATTACAGTATTTCCTTCTGAAAAGTTCAGAGTCAAAGTAAAAATAAGCATAAAGCGGAAATGGTAAAGTAGTATCTCAGAATTACATTTAAGTAAAGTACTTCAGTAAGTGTAATTATACATGGTCCAGCACTAGGAATAGGTGGCAAGAACAGGTTGAAATAGTAAAGTATAGGAACATGTTGTATATGTTGTTACCTCTTTTGTCCACTAGATGGAGCCCTCTAGATGTACAGGAATGATAAAGGCTGAAGCACAGCTATAGTGTATTAATTTTTTGTGTGTGTGTGTGTGTGTGTGTGTGTGTGTGTGTGGAGCTCCTGTCAGTGCAGCTTTTGCTTATGTCAGATAGTTGGCTATTTTGGGCCGGGCAGAAGTTGCCCACAAACATACACACACACACACACTCGCAAATAATAAAAAGACACCCACTGTTTTGCATCCTGTGTTCTTGCATCGGGTCCCAGATATGACTGTCTGACTCTCTGTCGGAAGAGAAAGACAAAAACAGAGAGGTGAGATGATGAAATCAGAACAGCAAAAATATTTTGTCTTTTTTTCTTTAAAAACAAGTGAGAAACTCCACCAGTGTATTAATCTCTCAACATGTTCAATGCAAATCAAACTGTTTCTTTTTCCGCCCTATTGAATTGTATTGGGTGAAATATTGTTAATGCACAGGTAGATTTTTTTTTGTCAGTTGTTTCCAGAAAATGGACTCAATTCTACACAGAAATATTCTGATAAGATGATTTTTACAAAAATGTATAAACTGTTAAATCATGCATCAAACTTACACAAACACACTTCCTTATGTGCATGAGCAAACACAAAATACACACGCAGAAATGCACAACAATGATGTAGCCTAATTATAAACCCAGTAAGTGTACACATGTACTGTGTAAACTTGTTTAAAAAAAATTTTAATATCAAGTTTAGTTTTTTTTCTACTTTCAAGATTCACTAAGCTTAAATATCTCCCCTGAATTGGCAGATTTTTTTTTTTCCACTAAACATAAAACAAAAGAATGAGCCGAAACGTCTGTTCTGTAAATGAAGAAATGTAGAGAAATGCTCACAACTAAACTGCAAAGAAATCACCTTCTTGTCAAGTAATCTTTGTCACAGAACTGTATTTGACTGTAACTGTTTCTAAAGTTTAAATATCTTGTAACATGTTGCAAAGTCTGTGTATGAATATTTCAACTTGTTGTCAACACAAATCAACTTGTTTCAAGTATTTTCTAATATAACATTGTTTTTCCTTTATATTATAGCACTGAAACCTGCCTTATTTCTTCATGCTTCAAGATACGGTTTGTGAAACTTATTGAAACAAATTGAATTTTATGAAATATTCATGTTGTACTGTAAGGCTTTCTCATTTTTACTGAGCTGATAATGTTCTAGGACTGGATTATAGTCAGAAAAGACTGAATAGGAATAGAATTGGCTTCTGTGCACAAGTCAGAGATGTGTTCAGGAACATCGAAAAGTAAGTGCCACAATATGATTTTGAAAAGAAAAAGTAGGTAGTTTTACAGCTTAAGGCCTCTCTATTAAAACACACACACACACACACACACTGACCTTGCTTTTCTTTCTCAACTCTCTTGCTCATGTCCAGTTTCTCCAGCACCTGAGCCAGTGATGCAGACACTTTGTGGGGCAGCTTGGTCTTAGGCTTGTCTGAACTGCACACACACACATAAAAACCACACACCCGTGTTCACGTTACCACAAAAGTGGTTGCTGGGAAATTAACACACACACAGACGCTCAGATTCAAACCGAGGCATCAGCACAGGCCTGCAGACTGATAAATGATGTTAGCCACTGAATTATTTATTCCAGGAATGCTGCAGGCGACCTCCTCCTGACCTACGTGACTGGATGCATACACAGAGGTGGCTGCATGCGAGTGGCAGGGAGGTTTATGCAAAAAGGCAAATTCCAGTTATCTTATGCAAATTAGAAAAAATAGAGGAATATTGTTATAAATGAGAGCCGCATGTGAATTACAAACACACACCTGGGCCTCTCTTTCTGCAGTTTCTCAGCAGATTTGGGTCCCTGGTAGATTATCTCTTGGTCGTTGGTGTGTTTAATCCCGCCCTTATCTGATGACACATCCGGCCGCAAAGGCTCCTGGGGTTTCTCGTTGCTGTGGAGTCCGCGGGTGCAGCCCTGTGTTGAAAGCAGAGCGGTCACCTCAGTCTCAGTATTATTTCTCTTCTCAACAGATTGTAATTTTAGTCAGTGTGCACTGTATAATCCTTCACAGGGGAAAATGACACCGTACAGTACCTTACTATGTATCTGCACTCACAAGATAAATTACAAGATTCATGCCTAGTTTGTTTATATAAAACATTAGCAACTGGATCGTTTCAAAGTGTAACAAATGAGTTACATGTTTTAAAGTGGGTTAACTTTAAGAGACATAGTTTGATCAAGATACCTAAAGCAGGTATGGGCTGGTATTATGTTTAGAAAGTTAATTCAAGTGAAACATTAGTACAGGCATGCGTTTCTTGTTTTTAACTAGGAAAAATGTTAACCTGCCCTGTAATGCCCTTTAATTTTAATAGAATGTGATTAATTTCTGATCACAATTTTAACCTTTTTGGATAACTCCCTGCTCACAACTCTAGCTAGTGCTGTTTTTATTTATTTATGTCCCACATTTGCTTTGCAAGTCGTTCACTACTACACTTCACGAACACCTCATATCCATCAGTGTGGAGAAACCAACATTTTAAACATTAACTGCATAAACATGACATTACGACAGAATCACATGGACCACATTAGTATATTGATACCAAGTCATGTTTTAAGTATTGATACTAGTTTAGAGAATTAAGTACATTAAACATTTGTTATTTACCATTAACATGCATGTATTAATGGTCAAAAGAAAAGATGTCTACTGTTTGGCAAATCATTTGGTGATAATGAGAATGTATTCAGAAGTTATTTATTATTCTTCGCCTCACACACACACACACACACGTCTCTCCCCTACATGACAGTATGTATATTAATAAAAAAGTAATGATACTCAAACTTATATTAATACTTACTTACATACTTAATTACAATTCCCAGATACTAATTGGTATCAGATTGAAACTAAATATTTAGTAAATAAAGGTAGCAATACCACAGTGTAGTAAAAGTAGAAACATATACTTATTATTGAGATTGGCCCATTTCAGAATGATGTATATTATACTATTGAATTATAATTATCAATGCATTCATGTGTACTCACTTTCATTGTACAGCTGGTAGAGGTGTTGAGCTCATTGTAGTTACTTTATATAGAGCTGGTTAGCTTGTGAACTTACCCCCAAGGATCAATAATGAAAATAATCTTAACCTAAACTAATATGATAATTCATTTGTTGATTATATTCTGTTTTATTAATCTCAATCCACAAACAAAATGGTAAATTAAGTTTGCAAATAAATGTAATGGACTAGAAAGTGCAATATTTGCCTCTGAATTAAAGTAGAAGTATAAAGTAGCAGAAAAAAAATCTGTACTTAAGTATTGTACTTTCCACCACCACTAAGTCTTCCACTCAAACTGAATATTTACAGGATCTTGAATTTTCTGCAGGTGCTGAGAGACTGTTTGACCCTGAGCTGCTGTTACCTTGATGGAGAGAAACTCTGAGAAGTCGGTCGTCCTTTTCTTACAGCAGGACCAACCCTGAGAAAGGCACACAAGTAAACATGTGATTTTTATCCCATCTGAATAAAAATGGTGTTATTAGTGTACTTATATATTAGTTCTACCTTCAGAGCATCGTGGAAGATGGGGACACCTGGATGGAAGAGGCAGGAATCTTTTGGAGGAAACAGAAAGACACTGTGAGTCTGTATATGGACACACACACACACACACACACACACACACACACACACACACAGTCAGCAGGGTGAACCAGCTGCTCATGGGGGTCACTCGAGTTGAGCAGTTGCGTCCCATAAAAGGAAGTTGGTTGCTAGGAAGATAGCTGTCGTCCTTTTCAGAGAAACGTGGCCTACGGTACATGCTAGGCTAGCTCAAACTGTCTCTCTCTCAAACACACAGCATATACAACAATAATGACAATTTCTTTGACGGCACACAAACCAACACTTGGTTTATCCAGCTTTTGCCAGTAAATCAGATTGTTTATCCACCTGAAATGTTTAGTTAAACATTCAGATTAATCCCTACAAACTTGTACTGTATTTATCTCATCTTTTTGTAACACAGTGTCACATTTAACCCCTATTTGTATATTTAGACCAGTGAAAAGAGCATACTTTTAAACTAAATGCAGACATTAACCCAATCTCAGACTGAAATGCTGTTCGTGGTGGTCAAATACAAATTGGAAAAGTTGCATGTTTGTAAAATTTGAATAGAAATGTCAGGAACTAAGCAAAACTAGTCCCAATTTCAGCTTGCTGGTGATGTATTTTTGAACTGTTACAAGTTTTGAATGTGCCATTTTAGCTCAGAAGTTAAAAAACGGAGAAAACTGAACCTCCTCTAAGAGATTCAAAGCAAATCTATACACTGTAAGAACAAGCAGGCTGACTTCCACTGAGGCCTGATGACCAAAATATTATTAATAACCAACCATCAGATCCAGACTGCATTTATTTAAATTAAAAGCACAGATACAGAAAGAAACAGGCAGGATCTTACCGTCCTTGTTCTTGTCAGCGTCAAAATTCAGTCCACAGCCTTTGTTGTAGCACAGCAGAGCCATGTTGGTCTGTTGGGTTTGTGTGACTTCTTCACCTTCACTGTCTTGTTCAGATATCCTCCTCCAACCTGGCGGTCTCTCCTGGTCTTAATGCTGTGGTCGGACCTCCAGAAGTTTCTTAAACCAGATCCAGAAGGGGTGATCGCCTTCTGGAGAGATCTGAAAGAGAGAGAAGGGGGTTCTTTTCTCGCTGGTTTGGGCCTGGCTGAATGAAAGATAAAAATAGCAGCCCACCTCCCTCCTCCATTCCCTCTCTCAGTTTACAGCTGTCAAAACGTATCTGAAGGTGGGGGTTGACGCTCCTCCTGGTGAGCGTCGGCTGTCACAAACAGGCCTGCTGTGGCCTGGCATAGGACTGACAACTTCTGGATTTCTGTCACTTTCTCTCACTGGATCCACTGCAGTCAGGACATGTCGTGGGTTTATTTTTCCAGGAGGAGCAGCCTCCTGGGAGGTTATTGTTATAAAAATGTTTAAAATTTAGCTAAGACAGTTAAAATAAAATGTAATTCCATCATTTGCTCTGCCAAATTAGTGACAAAATGACATTTTAGGAAACAGCAAAGGTCCTGCCACAAAGTTTAAGGCACACTATTGTCTAAAATATCATTGTATAACTTAGCATTAAGCCAAACATTACATTTATTCATTTAGCTGACGCTTTTATCCAAAGCGACTTACAATTGCTATACATGTCAGAGGTCGCACGCCTCTGGAGCAACAAGGGGTTAAGTGTCTTGCTCAGGGACACAATGGTGGATTGAACCCTGGTCTCTCACACTAAAAGCATGTGTCTTATCCATTGCGCCATCACCCACACACCATGAAAACCAGCTCCAGACCAAAAGAACACAAAAGTATTTTGAGGATTGTGTCCTTAGCCTTGCAGACAAGAGTATACTCGCATACTTTTACCAGTACCACCTCTGAAATGTCCCATATTCTCTGTAACTAGTCATTTCCAGTGGATAGTTACTGTTTTGTTGTTTTTGTATATACATAACTGTTTGTCGTTGTTTGCTGTGACATGTTGACCTAAAGTACTTCTACCAGCCTACGGTATGGCTTTGGTCTGTTACTACAACAACAACTTCAGCACTCCCACGGTGGAGGATTAAAAATCAGTTCCCACCTCCCGACTCCCACTGAGCTCTGAATAATGAAACTGTTTGCAAACATTTGTTCTACAATCACATCAACAGGCTCTCACGGATGGCAGGGGGTGATGTATTTGGTGGTGTTTCAGGGTTTTTGACTAAATGGTCCTTGGTAAGAAATATATCACTCAAAATGTACCGTGCCTGACAAACAGCAGTTCTGTTTTGTCTTTAGTGAATAATTTATTGTCAAACCACCTGCAGTCGCAGCATGGCAATTTTCCTCTCTGTGCCCAGGGTGAAAATTACATTGGTATGAAACCAACAAAAACACTGGTCTGCTACAGGTTAGCCTTTATTACTGATAAAAACATTCAACCACATCATTTAAGAACTATAATTATTACTCGCCTCTAATTTTAAGCAACATTATGTAGTAATGTTATCTTAACATAACAGCTTATAAATCCTTTTGACAGTACACTTGTAATGTGTACTTGACTTGTAATGTGGTGAATGGCGTGGACATTAACATTTGCTAAAGGCAGAGGATAAGAGACCGAAGAGGACGTTGTCAGAAGAAGTGAGGAAGGGCAAAGGAGAGGGTGACTGAGCAAGAGAGCGGGTGGCAAGCTAGCTAACAGAGCTGGACAGCAACCAATGCAAGAGCACGTTAACAATGTCAGAGTGCGTTATCTACCAAGTTAGCTAACATCAACTCAAGATTTATAGCTAGCGGTCACTCTAACTTTTCTGCCATCAAATAATAACCAGAGCCGGGCAGGTGCGCAACATAACTGGGCCCAACCTCCTCTGTGGACATAACGTTAGCTAATGGCAGAGGCGAAGAGACAGAAGAGGACGCTGTCGGAGGAAGCTAAAAAGAGAAAAAGAGAGTGACCAAGCAAGAGGCTGTTGGATATTAGCCCAGGTTTTGTGAAATAAAAGGCTGCAAGACAGCCGCCGAGCTAGCTTCCTACCCGTTGTACTAGTAAATAATATTGTTACGTCTCGCGTTGTTGCACTTGCTTGATATTTGGCTGTTAGCAAAGTTTATTAGCGACCTGGTAGTTTTTGATCATACGTAAGAATAAATGCACATACAGCTGTCCTTGTTTACTATAGCGATGAATTACACTCTGAAACAGTAGGTGTGCCAAATTACACAAAAACAAATATCAAACAGCTAACAGTATATCGGTCTATAATTGTTATACTTCTTAGTTTAGTTTTTTATTTAAACAAAAATGTTCTGGGATTATTAAAACTCGTTCTACTGATAGCAAGAGTAGGAAATAAGATATCAGTGATTTAGGACAGCAAACTTCACTGAAAACATGAAAACAGCAAATATGTTTTAAACTTGAAAGGATTACTTCGACATTTAGGGAAATATGCTTTTAACCTTTCTTGGCAAGACTTAGATGAGAACATCCATACCACTCTCGTCATGTGTACATTGAAAGTGAAGTTACAGCCAGGAGGCAATTAGCTTACTGTGATTTTTCTCCCCCCCCCCCCCGATCTTTCTGGAGCCGTTTCACCACCTGCCACAGTTAATTTACTTTATATTTATTACATTTCCAGTTGTGAGCAGCTCCTCCATTTCCTCTGTGCATCGCATTGTGGGAGAACAGTATGCAAAAACAGTGGTAGTATCCAAAACTCCACCATATTTTAGTATGCATACAGTTTGGTGGGAAAACAACACGTGAGTACATTAGTTACACATTCTCCTCAAGTACTTTAAGTACCATCAATGTGACCTTGAGCAAGGCATTTACCCCCGCCTGGAGTCGCAGTGTCTGACAGAAGACGACTGGTTCTTTCAGGCAGATTTAAGTGTTGATTTGTTTGTTCTATGAATCTGAAGCAGTCAATTTTTCCAGGATAAACAAGGTTAAAAAGTGACCATAGAATACCGGTGTGCCAATTTGAAAAAAGTTAAGACACATCTTGTGGCAAAATACAAGACTGGTGAAATACATATTGGATGGGTTAAAACATGGGTTGAGAGCTCACTAGAGGAGAGGCTGAATTAAAAAACACATTCTCAAGCCCTCCGGCGCTGTAATTAAAAATCAGAAGATACACTGTTTGACATTTCAAGACCTTGACTTTTTACCACCTGAGACGTTAAAGTACATTTGAAAGGGCTGTAGACTTTCTTTGCAGTTTGAGAAGTAAGTTGAGACAGTAACTTAAAAAAAGAGAGACAATCCTTTAGGAATGGAAAATGACTTTTTATTTCTTCCAAAAAAAAAAAAAAAAAAGAGAAAACAGATCCCTAGAATAAACAAATATACTGCTGTAAAATAAAAGCCTGTGATTTTTTTTGTCAACTGTAGCATTTGTTTGCCTTTCCATGCTTGATACAATCCATATATTTCTGCTTTAAATAAATAGAAAAAATGTACAAAGAGATGGGGGGAGGGGGAGACAGAGAAGAGAAGAGAGAGAGAGAGAGACAGATTAAAAGGTGTACTCTGCTCAAAAAACATTTGGCATCATTGAGAATTCATGGCTGATCCTGATGTACAGGGAGGTCTGCAGCCCTCGAAATCTGCATCGTCTGTCTGTTTAGCCCATCCCCACTGAGTAGTATTCATATACTGCTGTAATAACGCTAATATCTTTCATGTTCAGAAAAATAAAAAGAGTAAATGAAAAATAATGCAGTTGCAGATTATGAGTGTATGTCTTTAAGCTCTGTGTTTGTGAGTGTGAATTTCTCTATATACAGAATAGTGAGGCAGCAATCAGAGGGTTCTTACCAAAAAACACAGATGTAGAAAAAACAGAACGTTCACAAGAGATCTTCAACACACCGACGCACTGACAAAATTTATCTGTTAAACAGCCTCTCTCTTTGATTCGTTCGTTTCATTTTTGAGGATTTTTGACTCTGAATCGATCTTGAATTTCTCTTCTAACACTGCCATGGCAGCAACGCGCGCAGCGACCCACAGATGGCACCAAAACAGTGAAGAATCCAAAGGACAAATCTGCCATGTGCTGCCAGTAACAAATGTGACATCTTTGGGAGAACACAAAAAGTTTGGCGCTCCATTTTGCTACAGTCGCTTGGCAGTACAGACATCTGTCAGATTCAGTCCAACAGCTGGTGAAGCTGCTGTCATGGACGGCAAATGATTGGTCAAGAAAGTGTGATCCATCTTCACCTTGCCCCGGGCGCCTGGCAGACGATACGTTTTAAAAACAGGGGCAATAAGAGGAGAGAATTTATCTTCATTGTCACTGTCATATCATGCTTCTTTGAAAAAAAAAAAAAAAAAACGACAACGATACAACCATGCACTCACCGACACCTAGAAAGAGAGAAAGATTGCTCGCCAGAGAGAAGTCTGCTCTCTGAATGTTTGATACACTTGGCCTTAGCAGAGAACAGACATTTTAATATGACATCAAGGTATATCCGTGTATCCTTATCCACCGGGATTCATGCTACAACAATGCAGAGAGGTGTGGTAGCAGCTTTGAAAGTTGAGAGAAACTTTGCCACAAGGTTTACCTGGTCTGATCCCAAATGGAGCAAGGTCGGTAGCCAACACCAAAAAACAGTGGTTGTCCACTGGGAAACTCCCAGCTGTAAATGTGAGAAAGTGTCTAAATTTGAGGAAGGGAGTTGCCGAAAAAAAGAGCCTGCATGCTCGGCCAAACCCCTCCCTGGATAAATACCGTAACAAAATTACCTACATGATGAAGCTGTAATAATTACTGGCAGTTACATCAACGCTAAGGAGACGAGAAGACGAGCCAGCAGCATTTATGAGACTCAAAAACCACAGTAGTCTCCTCTTCTACGCTCGCTCTACCGCACATAATCTGACCATTTTGAAACCCCTTGAGAGACACACAGACAAAGAAAACCTCACCACAACGGGCAGGACGGGATCCCATGCAGAGAAATTTTAAGTTTCATGAAACAGAACAAGAAACACAAAAGGAAAGGAAAGCCAATTACTGCCCAAGAAAAACACAAATTGTAGATTTAGCCTGAAAGAAAATAAGCTGTGTTCACTGGAAAAGGAAGTCAGACTGGGTAAAACTGCATTCATACGGTTTGATTTCACCTGTCAGGGAAGTTGGCAATATTAAACAAAACACCCAGGCATTGATTTTACTGTCCTTCATACCGAAGCCAAAACATTTTGTATTCTAAGAGGTAATTACAACACATCAGGAATGATCAGATCTGCAATTAGATGTGATTCATTGTTTGTAAGATCCAGGGTGCGGATGATCTGATTCTGGATCAGTGCAACGATATACGGCATCTCTTTCTGAAGTGCAAATTCATCACACCATATCGGAGACACTAAGACAGCTGTACCAGAAAATAAAGAACCACAATTAGAACTCTTTTGGTGCCAAAAGCTCAGACATTCTTTAAGAAAATTGAGCGAGCGTCCAAGTTGTGATCCAAAAGTAAAAGGTACCTGTATTTTAGGCCCTGAAGGGGAGGATTTTGAGGATGGAGAAGCTCCACAGAGTCCCTGTTTAGGACACCAACGGTGTCCTGGGGGACTTAACAGATCAGTTTTCGGACAACAGAAACACCAGAAAGCAGCTGTTTGTTCAATGATGGATAAAAGTTTGACTGGGCACGAAAACCAAAGATAACCTACATCTTTCTTACAATCAGAGCTTGCAACCAAACTTTTGTTCAAGTGTCCCAGTGATTGATGGATTCCCTTGCTACTTGCCACATTTTCCCCAGTGAATGATATTTAAAAGTAGCCCTGAACAACAGCTGGTCAACCGTCAAAGTGTCAAAACGTCTAAAACCTGTTCGGACTATAAATGTACTGTATGTCTCTCTTATAACCAACAAAGTATCCCATCTGTCATAAAAGACCTGGAAACCCAAGCATCTGATTCCCTGTCTAGGTTCAACAGTCCAATCAGAGACAGTTTGTAGGCTGCTGACATCAGAACGAGAGACGGAGATGGCCGACGTTATTGAAATAGTAGGGGAAAAAATGAAGACGACCTTATCTACCAGACACTGGAGCATGTTAACAGCGAGAAGAAAGAGCGCTTAAAGCGAACCACAAAGCCTGAGAGCCTCTGAAAGGTTTCGTCTACAGCTAAAAGACAGAGACACCAAGAGAGATAATAGAGCTATAGTTACTAGACACTGGCAGAGGTGAGGACAAGGTGGGAAACCTACTGCAGGAGGATACTTCGACGAGAGGCTAAGCTAACACAAGACTGACAAGAAGCGCCTAAGAGCATTATCTATCCAACAGCGACAGCGATGGGTGGGGGCAGACAATCTAGACAGAAACTGGTTATTATTACTATTATTTCTTTTCACATATCTACACATACCAAACAGTGACGAGGCAGGCTAAAAAAAGCATTCTAGAGATTAACCAACTAGACAGAGTTGAGAAGCGAGATTCTAGAGATTTTAATAGCAGAGTGGTTGATGAAGTGTAACACACATGATGACTGATGACTGGGATGTAGACGCTGGACTGGGACCGGGTATGGGACTACAAAAAAGTTTAAAGTTGTTAGAATGGCAGGAAAATCATTTTTAGTTACCCGCCACAGTGGCTGGTAGATTAGACAAACTTCTTATTGTAAAACCTCAAACAATTTCCACAAACTTCAATTCTCTTTCTCAACTTTTTCCACACCAGAAAAACTGGCAACAGCTCCAGTATGGCAGGATAGTCACTTCAGTGCAACATTTTTGCATGTGCATTTTGCAATAAAATTTGATTTTACAAAAACAAAACAAGCACATTTCGCGTCAAACTCGCTGGCTCAAATTTGGCTTGAAATCTGACACAATTTCACCCTCAAAATTAGTCCTCAATGGAAAACATACACATAAATGTGCAAGCACACACGTGAACGCATAACTAAATGTATTATGAACACATATACCTACAGTCAAACTCATGGGTGCTTTGGCTGAGGAATGGCCATGACCTCTTACATGAGTCAAATTTGATCCCCTTAATTTCCTGGAAACCGCGGAGCGAGAATACTGCCAAAAGATCAGTGTTGTTTGGCTCTCGTTGCAGACAAAGTTGCACATAAAGCCACTTGATTTAGTGCAATTTAAAGTGAATTCAACTTGATTCAGTAACATTTAATCACTCACTCAGTGCTGCTGTCATCAATTGTTGGCACATAATGTGGATCTGCTAATAGGGTGTACCTGATGAAAGGTTTGTGAGCTGATGAAGACAAGAACAGATACACACAGGTCAACCAGGTGCTCACAGACTAATGATGCTAACAAGCAGTCTCTTTAGCATGACAAAAATACAAATGTCTTACATTTTACCCTCAACTGAGAGCAATGGCAGCCAAAATGTCAAGATAAGGGAGTGTAAAATTACGTCTGGCTAAATTCTTGGTCACACCAGCATTTAAAATGGTGAAATTTAGCGGTGAAATTAGCCAATTCCAATTCAACAGCCCAAATTAGTGGATTCGCTAATTGGGGGGAAGCAAATCTGTGCACATTTTTCACGTCAAATTCAACTTTTGTAAACTTTGACAGACAACTTGGTGCTGTTAACCAAAAGCAAGCAGTCTTTTACTGTGTAGACCTTTGGCGAAATAGAAATAAAATATTTTGAGGAATCGTTGTAGACCAAAATATGTCTTTTGAATAAACATGACAGTAACAAACTTGCTAACTGACAGTTTAAACACTAGCTAGCTCAGACACCATTTTTCCCCCTCTTTTATTTATTTCATTAATTTAATTTATTGAATTAAATGATCCCGAGAATACAACGCCAGGGGAACAACACGTTACAGAGAAATAGAAAATAGAGAGAAGCTCAGACAGCAACTGTGACGGACAAGCATTAGCTATTTCCTGGCTGGCTACAGTGTTAGCCGTTAGCTCAGCAGCTGCAGTAGTTTACCAATTCAACATGCTTCTAGGACCCCAATATTCCTCGAAAAAGCACAGATGAATTTCACTGTACCACTTTCTGATGTGACCAGGCCCTAAGAAAAATATTGAACATTTTAGTTCACAGACAATTTGGACGACTATGTACTGTGCTAGCATGTTGTCACCGCTAAGCCCTGTCTCTCTGTGTGTATCTGTAGCTTTAGGAGAGGAAAACAATGCAGTATGAGTAACAAAGACTTTAGCTTAAAACCCATAACAACAAATGCTCAACTACTATTAACAAATGGTTCAAAAAAATTTGCTGTACAAGCCCTGGTAACATTCAGGAGCGGCTGCAGAAGAAAACAGATTGAAAAATACAGACTGATCCCAACAGAGCGGAAAATCACGGGAAACAATATTTTGAAGATTTGCCTCTAAATCCCTCGCTGGTTGGACAGTCGTGGACGCAGACAGTGAAAGGAGGGGATGGAGAGGAGGTCGGTTGTAAAGGTATTGTCTGAAACAACTTTTCTTTACAGAGATACACATACTTTCACTGACACTCACACACACGCACACTAAACCAACACTTGTCCCCTCCCAAAAGCTTCCATGTTGCCGTTGCAGGCGTCTGGTAACCCAGAGAGGACACAAATAGCACCAGTATGAAATAAAGCTAATTCTGCAGCAGAGACTCTCACAAGCAGTCAGACGGGTCGGTCTGACTGAAAACCAGAGGTAGGATTTCCTCAATCCCCTCTTCTCTCCTCTCCGCCATCTTTGTCTCTCATCCGCATTCCCTTTCCTGAAATATCACTCCATCGATAGCATTTAACACACAAATTAAACAGTATGACAGAAAGAAGCTACACACACACACACACACACACACACACAAAGTTGTTTCAGACAACAACCAGCCAGGATGACATCTTCCCCACCACACCCCTCCATCCTCTGCTCGGTGATCTTCTCCTCCTCTTTCCAACTTTTTTGGTGTTGGTTGGATATCTTGTCGTCTGTCTGTCTCTTTGTCGCTTTAGCTTGATCAAATTACTCCCACGTCCATCTGATCGTTCCTCTTGTGTGTTTTCTTCTGCTGTTTGTTTGTTTGTCGCTTTTGGCACTCTGCTTCCCCCCTGACTGGATTACATAAACTGCATCTGAATAGACAGAAGAGAAAATTTTGAACCAATGCATCAAAAACGACTTTGGCACTGTGAGAAACAGGTTGCACTAGTGGCAAAATAGAGGGGGCGTGAAACAGTTAACAGCACAGGAAACCAGAAAAACAACCGTTAAGCTACACAATAATAAATATACAGTATATTTTCATACTGCATTTCTCTAATCTGTTCTTCTTTTCTTGGGAATTATGGAAGCATTTCACCTCCTCAAGCTTCGCAAAAATATTCAAATAAAGCAGGGGGGAAATCATTCTTTATTTGACTTGGTCACAAGGTTTAATTCCTCAAATCATTCTCTCAGTGATTTTGGATATATTGACTTCTTCCCTTGACAGTTTTTTCTATATATCTGTTGCTTTTGAGAGGGTGCTACATAATTTACTATGTGCAAAATGTTAGTTTATAACTGTACTATTGATTTTGTCAGGCTTGGAGCTGTGTACTGATCCTGCAAGAGCTCGGGCTTCAAATGTTAATAAATGTTTTAATAGGATGTGTAACAGTGTTGTTAGTCAGCACAAGCAGAAACCACAGCTACGGTTGTTGTTAAGAAACAAAATTAATGCGTTTTCAGGTCATAACCCATAGAGGTACAACTGGTGATGATGGGTCATAAGTAGATTTTAAGGGATCACAAGCCAAAAAAAAAGTTGGGAACCTTTGGGTCACACGAAAAAAGGAAATCATAGAAATCCCTTATTTGACATTATTCCTGACTGTTTGACGAGAAACATAGTGAACATGACACTTAAAGCAACTATTAATGTCAGAATTGCCAAAACACGATAGGTAAACTCAATATGTTACAAAATGTCCTAATAACACATATGTAAAACAAACGTCAATACATAGTGCTCCCATTAACACAAACAACAACATGACTGTACAAATCCACCTCACGATTACTTTTGTTTTGTTACGTCAACAAAATATTATCACATTATCAGATTTGTGTTGTCTTTACATTTTGTAAAACCCATAATGTCATTGCATGAATTAGCTTGTGTTGTTTTTAATTATGTCAAATTTTTTGAACTGATGTCGTAATAATGTTGACTAACTGTTGTAAATCACAAGAAAATGGACCTTGGGCTGACTCAGGTTTTAGCTCATATGAGGACACAGCTGTCTGATTGAATGGGAAACATCACATTAAAGAGGTTTTATTACATTTTCAACCCTTTCACTGAGGTGTAATAAACAGTACATTAGTAGCAATTTAATACCTTTTCAGCTGTATCATTTTGTGTGCATGAACGCACAAATACTGCATAGTGTGGATTAATGTGTGCGTGTGTTTCTAAGGGCTCACCTGGGCTCCGGGCATGGGTACGAAGGGGTTGGTGGGTCTGAGAACAGGCTGGTTGTACATCATAGGCTGAGGAGCCATCACTGGTACCCCGCCCATCTGACCCATCTGGGGAGGGACCTGGAGAGAGAGCGAGAGATTTGTTTTTCTTTTTTATAAGTAACTTTATTTTAACAATATTTCAACAAGCCATTTAAAAAAGTACAATAATCATGAAGACACAAACAATAAATAAAATAAATAAATAAATTAGTATCAAAAAAGGGCACAACTCCACAGGAAAAATTAGTTGGTTTGCTCTTACAGAGTACAGAAAATCGCCGTAAATCCAGATTATGCAGAACTAATCTATGACCTTCACTTCTTTGTAATAATTAATCAATCATCATTCCAGCTTTCACCATCCCAGTAAACAGTAATTTTACATCAACATCCACTGAATCATCAATCTTTCTTTTCCTGCTTACATAAATGGCCATCTTTGTTTGTCCCAAGATAAAGTTCAGGAGTTGAGAGAGAGAGAGAGGGATTGGGTTCAGATTGAGGAAGAGGGACACAAAAACAAGAATGAAAAACAACAAGACGAAAAAGAAGGTGAGAAAACAAAACAAAATAGAAATAAAGGGATGAAAAGGAGGATAAAGAAAGGTGGGAGGGAATAGGTAGATAGAGAGGAAAAAAGACAAAGGAAATCGTCAAGTGAAAGTAGTTACAGTACTTGCGGGCACTTCAGTAGCTTCTGGGATTAAGGTCTTTTCACACGGGAAGCGACACTCCGCCTGCGGAGTCGCCTGGCACTGCGTGGGTCGCTCTGCGCTTCTCATGTGAACAGACACCGACCGAGACAAGCGCTCAGCGAGTAAACGGAAAGGGGCTCAACAGATTGTAACCACGGAACGACTTCTGGCGGGAACACGCACGCTTGTTGCTACGCCTTTGAAAATGAATTACGAGGTGTGTAAATTGCTTCCCGTGTGAAAAGGCCTTTAGAGCTAAAACCATGAGTTGATTAATTAAAGAAAATCAAGAGAGAAAAAAAATCAACTAATCCTTTGAATTGATCAACAAGCAAAAGAGCCAAACAATGTGAGGATTTGTCACTTGTGAACTGTGTAAGTGTAAACTGAATATCTTTTGGTTTTGAACTGCTGGTCATTTTACAGACCAAATTATTTACCAATTTACCAAAAAGAAAAAATCTACAGATGAATTTAATAATGATAATCCTTAGCTGCAGCCTTAATGTGCATGTACGTGAGTAACGTGTGTGACTGTATGCACATGAACGGCACGTTTTACGCGCATCTGCGCACACTCACCATTCCATACACAGGCACTTGCGGTGTGGTCATGGGAAAAGCCATGGGAGCTGGAGCCTAGAAGTGAAGCAGAAAAGGACTGGAATCAGCTTAAAGCAGGGGGGGAAGCAGGACGTCACTGCCAACATGACCAAAAACACACCTGGGTCAAACATATTATGGCTTGTGTCAGCCTGCAGGTGTGCAAAGCTACTGCGGTTGCCGGAGCGTAGTATAGCTATAAGGACTTAAACGAACACCAGAACATTTAGACAACTGTAGTGTCTTTTGTCTGACAAGTGTCTCATCTGTCTGTATTAGACTGAGGCATGTGTGAGGAGAATACATTTAATGTGGATGAAGTGTGTACAGCATGCAGGGGTACTCAGAGGAATCCCACTGGGAGCGATCATTACCACGGCTTTAAAAGGGGTGGCTCAGTAGGACAGCGTTTAGGCCTGCCCTCCGCACTCCCCAAATCAAATCCTCTATGGCTGAATGGGCCTCAAATCCAACGTGACGGGCAATTTGTAGCCGTCGTTTACAACCCATGCACAACCTCAGTTAAGCAGCCAATCGCTGCTCGACACATTGGTCATTTGAGTGTCCGTGGTGCATCACAGTGAATGTCAAGGAGGAAAATCCGTTTACAACAGTAGAAGTGCACAACAGTAGAAGTGAAATGTTAACATTAAGAGATGCTAAATGAGTTATCTATCACCTGCAGTAATCTCAGTGTGTGAAGTTAAATATCGCAGAGGCAGACAACTTCCCTCTAATAGAACAAATAAGGATCTGCACTTCTCGGTGGGATTTGGGAATACCTGCAAGCATGTGCAGGATAATACCAGTGTGATTCACCCCCCCCCACCACATATAGTTATTCAGTATTTGCTGCAGTCAGAAGTTGTGACTGTTTGCTCCGCTGCGAGTCAACCTGCTCACCCGGAAGTCGCAGGCTCCCACTGTTTTAAAAAAAAAAACCATTAAAAACAGCTTGCAGAAACGCACTGCTGCCTTCACGAACCTAATCCATCACCGTAAATGAGACGACTGAGGCATTTTCCTCAGCATTACTTTATAACGCTTCAATCATTGCAGAGAGCACTGAAAGCAGTCTCCACTCTGTCAGAGTTGGAAGTCTCCAGCTGGAGGACATTACAGTGCACATGTGCAAAAGGTACAGCGTTTCCATTAAATGCAGTAATTAGCTGTGTGAAATCATATATTACCGTAGCACCATTATTTCAAATGATGGATTACATTCATCAAGGCAATACAATGGTGGGTTTAGATTTGTACGTAGAAAAATAAAACACTAGCATTATCCTTTAATTGCTACTTATGCAACAAAGCATTAATCAATGCTTTAAACAAATGGCATGTTATGCAGGTTGATCCATAAAGAGTCTGGATATTTCAGGATTTTTCAATTGTTTTAACTCATTTTTCAATGTGCAAATAATGGATTACATTCATTGTAAGAATTTCTCCTTCTTTTATTTAATTACAATTTCTAGCAATATTTTCTTGTCAGTAGTGAAAGAAAAGGATAAAGAAACTATTCACACAGTGAATTCAGTGTTTGTTACAGTAAAGTGTAGCTTTGAAACATCATAGTATCACTGTGACATACTACTAACTTCCATGCTTGAAATACATAACAAAAATAACAGTTAATTCAAGCAGCAAAGAGTAGTCTTTTGCCAGTATTTGTTTACATTAAGGAAAATTGACACCATTAAAGTATGCAGAATTAGTTATTAGCGGTTCCTGTCTGCAATGTACCTAAGGATGTGCATACAAGTATCGCTGGATAAACTTAAAAACCTGATGATTTCCCCGTAAGTTCTGGAGTCAAAATGACCATCGTTCTGTACGGTTTTGAAGAGGATTTATTCTTTATAATGATATCATTGAGACGTGCAAGTCACACTGAATCTAAAACATGTGTATTAATATTTCTGTGTGTACACATGTGATGACTTTTTATTGTCATTTCCTTTTGGACAGAGGAGTTGCCTCAGCAGCATCTTGACAAAAGACTTTATCTACATTTACAGTAATACAATATATCCAGTAAATTAAATTATGTAGTCTGCAGCTTTTCAGCCTTGAGCTGCTTGTAAATCTTGTATCAATCCAACTTGTATAATCTTAAAGAAATGAGCACTGCAGACTGTGTTTTGATGAAAATTATTTACAGTTTGACAGCATTTTTAGATCATGACCATTTTTTTGAACATACAAAATGCTGTGATGATCTTAGGCCTTAGTGTATTACCTCTTTTGAGAAGTTCGTATTTTGAGAACTGAAACTCTGCTTTGAAAATGAAACCAAAGCAAATGTAAATTACCGTCACAGCCAAATGTCACATGTACTTTCCAAGGGAGTTTAGGAAGTGACTCTCTGCCAAGAGATCTAAAGCTAAAAAGATTTCTGGTCAGGTCAGGTGAACCAGTGAACTGATCTCAGGAGGTAATCAATAGGATTCCTCCAGAGAGCAGGCTGTGAAAGCTGATCAAATCCATTGATCAACCTGATCTTTTCTAGCAGCAGAGCTTGGCCAGCAGCCACGGAGAGACCGATTCAAGGCAAAAGACTCGATTCATCAGTCAAATTTGTTTATTGCTCACTTAAGAGATATACACTAGTGGGTTAGCGGTTTTAGTATTTGAAACCATGATTAAAGATTTAGAGTTTTCCCATCATCTGCACCTGAAGCACGCTTTAGTTAGCAAACCATCTGTCTCAGAGTTTGACTGGTCTGTCTGTCTTTATGCCAGCTTGAGCAAAATGACAGGGGGCATCACTTTATTTTAGTTTTTAAGCATGACAAGATGATACAAAAAACACAGGTGAGACAGTTTATGCACCACTACACCTTCTCTATCAGTATTTTTGTCTATCTGTCTTTCAGCCCAGCTGTCGGGCCCTCCATGCATCATGCATTACATTCATATGTTTGGCTGTATCTGTGTTTTTATGCTCAACCTCTCTCCTGCTGTTTCTTTCCCTCTGTCTGTCTCTAAGGCGCCTCCTCTCTCTGCCTGCCTGTGTATCTTTTTTTTTTTTTTTTTAAATCTCTTTTGTCTGCGCCTTTAATCCAGAGTTTTAGTGATTCAGAGCTGAACTTTTGCTATTCCCTTTGCCATCTCCCTCTAAAAAAAAAAAAAGGGTGATTCTCTTCTTTCTATGCTTTCGTTGCAAAGTCAGACTTCTGATCTTAAGATGACCTGCATGGTTAAGTAGAGGTTAAATAAGTAGAAGGCTTTGCAGGATTTCTGGCTGGCATTTTAAGTATTAAGCGAGCACAGACCGTTGCAACCTTGCCCTTCTGCTGAGAATCTCAGGTGTGGAGTGTTACTTATCATGCGTGATGCACGACAGCCTACTTATTCACTGCTCTGCTACCTGTGATGTCATATATTACAGCCACATGCCGCTATGACTTATTTATTATGTTACGGCTTATGGAGGTTATGTTTGCTGTTTTTATTGACTTGTATATTTATGAGAGACGATATATTTTCTTTCTCAGGGTCAATAATGAGCAGCTCTATTAACGTTTTCTCTTTCTAAGCTGTATTTGTTCGTGGTCAAAGCTGGTGCACTTTTTTGTGTTTGCTTGTCTTGCTAAATGTACATTGAAGGCAGGATTCAGTTCACTGCTGACCAAACAATGTACTTTTTGTATTGGAGGGAAAAATACAGTTGTTTGTTTTGCTGAGAGAACGGTGACTTCATTTCTTTTTGTTTATTGTGCTACTGAATTAATCCCTATGGGCAGTTACTGTTTTTTCAGGCCTAGTCAGTGAGAGTCAAAGGTGAAATAATGCAGTCAATAACATGCCTTGACAGTTTAGTGTTAGTTTCCCAAGTCTTTGGGATTTGACTTTTTTTCGTATTGTCAACAAATCCCATAAAAACACCAAACCCAACGATGTGTTAGTCTGTGAATACTGTCTGACTTCCCTATGCTGTCTTTGTTCCTACAATAGATGTGGATCTTTACAAACTGAGTCAAGATTAAAAAAAACAACAAACATAGTTCAGTTTTTAAAGACTCAGTAACTTCCTAAAACAACAGCAAATATTACTCTAATGGCACAATATAGTGCATTTTATGAGGGGCTGTTAGGGACACTATTCAGAATTAACATGCATACACTTACATACACAAACCAAACTCATTCACATACTATACCGAAAACCTCACACACATACCAGTGAAATGTATGTTGTATGAGAGGATTTCAGTCGTTTGTGTGACAGTGTTTCAGTTGTGTATGTAAAAAGCATTTCACTTGTATGTGTGAGCTTTTCAGTATAGTGTGTGAATTAGTTTGTTTTCATATGTGTAGAGGAAATTTACATGTATATGCATGCTAATTCTGAATTATGCTTTCTTGGCGCCATTTTTACCACTGCAGGACAGAGTCTTTTGTGTAGACTGAAATTAAACAGTGCAACAGCAAGGGTTAGTGATTTTCAGGCAAATATTTCTATGGCACAGGGAAACAGTCTATATCAGGCTTTGGATGAACAGGCAAATCTCATTAAAAGGATACATTCATTGTTGTTTTTTGTCTTTTAAATGGCATGTGATGACAATAAGAAAATACAGATCATCACAAGACCTCCTTTAAGGAAGATGTACAAGAGACAAATAAGACACCACCTGATGTTAAGAAATTTGTGGAAAGAACAAAATCTTTTAGAAACAACTGCCTCCGAAAAGGGAAAGAAAGAAAGGAGTGACAGAGAAAGAGATGAAGAGGACAACAGCGAGAAGGGAGGTTGGAATCACATTATAAAAGTCATTGAGCAGCTGGTTAAGACTTGTTTTACTAAACGGGGATAAGTACTTACATAACTAGTATAGAACATTCCATTCTGCATCAGGACGCAACAGGGAAAAAAGACAGGAGACACAGAAGAAGACAGACGGAGAGAAAATGGAGAGGGGAGGGAGAGTGGGACGAAAGAGGCAAAGATGAAGCAACAGAGGAGACACAGGAAGGCAGAGGATGAGAGAAAGTGACAATGTGAGAGTGAAAGGGAGAATCCAAGAAAACGAGGAGATGATGAAAGAGGGAAGCAAAGAAAGGATTTAACGAGATAAGAGATGAAGAAAAGGTGCAAGAGAAAAAAGGGATGGAATGAGAGAATTATGAGGAAAAGAAATAAGGATGGAGTGATTTGTTGCAATAGAGAAAGTGAGGATTAGCATAAAAAGAAAGGAGGGTAGGAAGGAAAAAAGGAAGAATGATAGAAAGACAACAGAAAGCACATAAAAAAAGAGAGAAAAAAGGTCAGAACCACATCGTAGGCAAAGATGGAGGACCAACAGCAACAAGTAAAGGAAACAAAAGCAGAGAAAAAAAAGAATGAGGGGTCAAAATACGGACGGGCAGATGTCAAATGCAGTGTAGCGAAAACAGGACGAGCAGATGACGACGCAAAACAGAGACGTGATAAAAACAGAACGCGGGCGAAGAGGGGAAGGAAGACGAGTGGATGACAGTGCAGAAACAGATGGAAGAAATGCATGAAAGGGACGAGCAGGACAGGAAAGGAGAGGTCAGAGAAAATGACAGCAGGGGTGAGGGGGGACAGTGAGGGAAGAAAGAAGCATAGGACCAACAGGAGAGCAAAGAGAGAAAAAAAAGGGAGAAAGAGAGGAAGCGGAGAGTTAGTGACAGTTTGTCCTCGTCAGCCAGAAATTGCTGTCCAGAGATCAGGAGGACAATCAAGCGCTGCCAAGATCAGCACTCACTTACACACACACACACACACACACACACACACACACAGAGCATGCACAGGCAGCTACACACTGCACCAAGACTTCCATCTATATACGGGACACAACAAAGTACAAAACATTCACATGCACACAGACAGCATTCAGTGTGCGGACTGCAACAACTTTAGATTTGATATTTCAATAGCAAGGTGTCCGCAAGTCATGTTAACTTAACAATTTTCCACTAGCAGATAAGTGGAAAGAGAAAACCTCATGTTCTATGCAGCTACACTGATTTTTCACTGCTAAAGGAATAGTTACACATTTTGGGAAATGTGCTTACTGTAGAGTGTTAGAGGTGAAGATCAACACCACTCTTGTGGCAGATTTTGTTACCATTTCACAGAGCAAAGCTAGCTGTTTGCCCCTGTTTCAAGGCTTTATGCTAAGCTAAGCTAACCGGCTGCTGGTCTACATTAAGTAGACAGAGTGATGAGTGATCTTCATCTTCTTATCCAACTCTCATCAAGAGAGTAGTAGAATGACGAACTATTCCTTTAATGATTAGAAAGCAGCCCCTACATTAAAATTTACTATTTATCTAATTTACTTATTACTTTAAAGAGCCAGAACATCATCCAGTGACACACTTTTTGACTTACAGACACCTCGACTGAGTCTCATGAAGGATAATCCTGGTCTTTTACAACTTGGGTCTTATTCTCAGTTTTGACCATCATTTCTGAGTTCTCGGAACAGCGACATCTCCACAAGTGCATGTGCATTAAAACAATCAGGCAGATTGTTGACATGCCAACATTTTACTTTTACTATCAATTATCTAAACCCATTTATTCGGAGGGAAAACTGAAAGTGAGTGCACCCAAAATGTCGGTAATAATACTTCTTTACACAGGAAATGATCGTCTGACTGGCGGTTAGTTCAATGTTATTATTACCGCCCACCTTAATTACATAAATAAGATCCAAGTTGTAATAAACCGCAGGACTTTCAGAGACCTCTGCTGGATCCTTTCAGGGCAGATTCTCTTGGTGTACAATCACCGCACCACATGGGTCACATTCTGCCCGTGTGTTTGCGTGCTCAGTGCGAGTTTCTGTCTCCTTACCACGTGTTGCACAGGCATGGGCTGCGGGGCCATGGGCGCGGGGCTCCACTGTGTGGTCGACATGGTCTTATTCTGCCAGTTCTGGCCCCCGGTCAGCTTCTTCTCTCCGGGCTGGCTCCAATGCATATCTGGCCTGGTGAGGGACGAGCAGAGCAACAACACAAACACACCATCAGGCTTTTTCTTTTTTTTCTTGCTCAACCTGAGGCCAATTTCTCAAACACCAAAAACCATGTCTTTCTTTTTACTTTCTTTTATGTTTTAAACCCTGTGAGGCGCATCATGAATTTATTTAAAGACAAATATTGCAAATACGGCAGAAACACGAGTGAATCCGTGTACTGCAGCCTCTTGCCTTTAACACTAAGCAGTTCAAAGCAATAAAATACTTCATGATAAATTTGATTTTGAGTTTAAGTAGTTAAAAGTTATGTGTTGGCAGTAGGTGGGAATGCTGGCAACAGTAAAAGAACAGGGAGGTGTATTTGTTTTGCCAGTGGATAAATCCTCTAGACTACAAGCACAACTTAAAAATGGTATCATCACAACTCAAGACACTTACTTCTTGGCTGGGGTCCCACCAAACTGCAGATCTGAGGAGGGACAGAACCACAGAGAAACTGAGTGATCACGGTTGAAAGAGAGTAAATGAAAGACAGTGAGGCAGGTATTTCAGCCTTAGATAAGGTTTTTCATAAGGTTCTTTGTTCTCTTGTCATTTTTTCTCTTTAGTTTGCAACATTCAGACATGTTTAATCAATATTCTTCATGAAGGGAAGTGTAAAATTTTGCAAGCTAGGGAGTACAGATTCCAACCAAGTAGAAAAGGTTATTGATTGACTGAATGGTTGGTTGTTAAAAAGGGGGGAGAGAGGCAAAGAAAAAAGGTTTAATGTTTCCACATGAAAGGGATAGAAGGAAAGTATGTATGCATGCGTGCCATCCATCTATATACTCAATAAATATGAATGATTATAAAAGAAATATGGTCTAAGTGTGTGTGTATGCATTCGTAAATTACATAAATGTTCAAACAACAAAATGCTGCTTCACAGATAATCCAGCTAGTGTTTTTTTCCCCCTTGTTGTGCACTTGGATCAGGACACTCACTGCCCACGAGGTTGGCCAGAGAGGAGTCAAGGTCGTTGGCTAGCAGCTTTCCTCCAGGATGGATGACCATTTGAGGAGGAGGAGGATGAGGTGCAGTGTGTGTGGGAATTGTAGGCTTCAACAGGTCTCCTAGAGCATCAAAACCTGGAGGAGAAATGCACTCACGTATGTAAATAAGCTGAAAACTAGCTGCTAACAAACAAAACAAAGGGGTTAGAGCACACCACACAGACGTAGAGGAAAGAGACAATGTAGATGGAGTAGAGGAGTACACTGAACATAAACTCTTGCCCCTAAAGCACGGTAGGCCTGTGAATCTTTTAATCTTCTCCACATGTTGAAGAACTGTGCATTGGGCTGTAGTAAGAAAGATGCTCAGCATTTAAAGAGTTTGGAGTGGGCTTATATGCACTTATATGAAAAAAGATAGCTTGGCAGGCGTAGCAACAGTAACGAAGAACAAAATGTAGCAGCAAAACTCAAAAAACAGGGAAGGAAATTTGTGTTTAAGGTGAAGGAAGCTAAAAGAAATAAAATAATTTGATCCTGAATCTTATGCGAACAGACCCAACTTTCAGCCTAATACTCCAAACTTTTCAAAAATCGTCCACTCACAATTTGACCACTTTAATGAAGCAGAACTGAACAGTTTTGATCTGAGAATACTGCTGAGCTGTACATCCTTAATGTGAACTTCAATCTATCCGCTATCCTTCCTGTTAATTTAATTTTACCTGCCCTATTTTCTTTAGCATTTACCTACATGGACAGAGATTCTGGTTTAAAGCAGATATACTCTCCACAGACTCTTTTTCTTTCTTTCTTTTTTTTACTGTCATACAGCAGCCTCATTCTATCAGCAGCGAGTTTATAAGCCCTGACTCAGTAGCTTGCAGCACTCGTTCCAGATGATTGATTTATCTGTTCGTAGCTGTCATGTATACACTCTGACTCTGAACAGTGATTAGTTTTGAACATGCATGTGTGAGAGTGTGTGTGTGTATGAGAGAGAGCAGGAAAACTGGTGGTGTGTGTCTTCCCATGTCAGCACTCATTCAGCTAATGGCTCAGTATTACTCTACTGGTAGAACCAGGAGGTGTGACTGTGTAGGTGTGTGTTTACATGTGTGTATTTGGTGGGAGAAAAGGTCAACATGGCGAAGGGTAGTAGAAAACACAAGCATAAAAAGGGGGATTGAAAGCGTAACCTCAAGATAAGATGTAGATTTTTTACATAATGGTATGTATGGATGGGAACTGAACCCCTGCTTCTTGCAATATTGTTTCCTCAATTTATCAAATAACTATTAGGGGTCAAAAATGAATACATGTAGACGAGTAGCAGAAATGAAATGGGAAGGCGGTGATGCAAAGCTGGAAAGAAGCAAAACAAGAAGGAGCAAGTACACGTGAATGCAAGACAAGCGCTGTAAATGTACAGTGTCCCTGCAAAACACAGGAGGAGGAGGAAAAAAAAGAGAGAGAGGCAGCTGATGGTGGAAAAAAAGGAGGGAGGAATAATATTTAGTTAGGAAGCGGTGTGTAAGTCTGACAGCGGTGCTGACACAAGAGATTCAGAAAACCCTTTTCCTGCTAGCTTGGCAGATGAGAGAAAAAGAGAGGGAGGTGAAGCATTCGGAGACAGAAAGAAGAAGAAGAAAAGCAAAGAAAGAAATGAAGAAAGTGGACAGGGCAGCAAGGAGGAGATGGGGAAGGAAACCTTGTTTTGCCCACTATCTTTGTAATTCTCTTGACTAATTTCACTGCCCACTGACGGCATTCCCATTATTGTTGTCTCTGTGATAAAACAGTTCAGCGACGTGGGTGATTTTTTTGTTTCTTAAACCAGTGTGCCCGTAAAGCCCCCTGAATTAAATTGAACCACGAGAGCAATAGAAGAAAGGCAGAGATAAAAAGGGGGAGAGAGGGAGTGGGGAAAAAAGAATCAAGCTCTCTCAGTAAATCACACACACACCACAGTTGTATTGAACTGGGAGGATAATGCTATCAGTGTTAGCTTAGGTGTTTCAGCAGAGGATTTGACAGTCAATAGAGTTTAAGATCAAAGGGGAGGAAGGAAGTAAATCCATGTCAAGGGATCAATTCCAAAACACTGGGAGGGAGAAATCTGTTACTCACTACTAAATGTGACAGAAATTTAAAAAGGTTGGCTTACCTAAAGCCCTTTACTGACATGGGATACGCAACATTGCAATCTTGAAGTTTTATCACAGGGATGGATTTTTAAAGTTATGTGGCGGATGAAGCCTTAATTAACGACCACTGTGAGTGCGGATGGATGCTCAGTTCCTCTTCCCAAAATGAAAAAATATTTCAGTTCAAGAACCGAACGTTCACTAAGCTCCAGCCCCAACAGGATTCTCCTTTCTAACTGGTGACTACTGATTTTGTCTGGTGAAATAAAATCTGTTGCAGGCAGATTTTAAGCAAGTTAATTACACCAATCTTAGCTTCAAGAGCTTTATTACACCATCTCCGGCTGACTTTTTAATGTTTCCAGCTGACTCATTTTTAAACGACAACCCTGCAAAAGGGTCTTAAAAATGACGTTAATGGCTACATAAATTATACTGTGCTAACAGACTGAAGCTAAAGCTAGCGCAGTCAAAACGTCAGCATCCACACCACCTGATGATCCATTTAAAACATAAAGAAACAGCACTGTTCATGTGTTGCAGTGCAGAGCTACTTAGTCATATTATTATAAGAAGGAAAATGTAAGATTAGACTCCTATTTCCGGTTTCTTTACTCCAGTATGACAGCAAAGTGAATCTCTTTGGGTTGTGGACAAAACAAGACGTAATTTTGGGCTTTGGAAAACAGTGATCGACATTTTTGACAATTTATAGACCAAACAACTAATAGATTAATTGAGAAAATATACTATAATAGTATATTTATAGTAATAAAGTAATAGACTTTATAAATAATCATTAGTTGCAGCCCAATTGACCATGAGCAGACTGAGACAGTATATGATACGGATATTAGCAAAGCATAAAGGGAAGAAAAAACATATACATGCCATTAAAATGAATAGAATTTGCAAATCCAAAAATATGAAGTCTGATTTATAAATAAATTCCCTCCAAAGGTGAGGAAAGATATAAAAAGGTACCTAATGCTGTGTAGCACATAAATAGAGAGATTCATCTGCTCAGAATCACAAAGAGGCATAAATAAACACAGCAATCTGCAATTTAAATAAAATGGAAGCAAAATTGCATTCCAGAGTCTGCATAGACAAAAGGGCAGAAATAATTGCAGGGACTGTCAAAAAAGACAGCAGAAAACAGATTATAAAGTCATCACAAAAACAGTAAGCTTCAGCAACACAAATATGAAATGTGCTCTGCCTTTAAAAAAAAACAAACCTCAATATAAAAAGGAGTATGCAGTCAAATCAGTTAGAAGTGGAAAAAAAAATAAAATAAAAACAGACAAAGGATAGACTTCGCAGAGGAAGGAGAAAGGGCTTTGAATTGAAAGGAGAGATTGAGAAAAGAGGAGGAGGAGAGCAGATGGAAAGGAGTTGCCTGGGTGATTCTTGCCTTGTGAAGTGTGATGGGGAGACGATGAGGCAAATACAGAGAGAGAGATGAAACAAACAGAGGGAGGGAGGAGAGGGGAATGGTGTGAACAGCAACAAACAACACAGACGAGCAGAAGCAGACAGATGGGACGGAGCAAAATCAAAATGACAGACGACATGCGAACAGACGCAGACACACATGGTTATAAACACTAACAAATTTAAGGACACACGTGGACGCAGAGCGATGCGCAGACAACGCATGGGCGCACGCACTCAGAAGGAAACACAGAAATACAGTACAATAGCTGTACACACACACACACATATACAGAGGGAGTTTTGTGAGATGCTGCCAGTTGCCCAGATTGTGTATTGGTAGTTGTAGTGGCAGCTTCAATACAGGCACTATTAATAGAAGGAAGTTAGTCTGTCCAGAGCCGGAACCAGTGCTGCACACTGGAGCCACAAGCTTTCCACTGTTACTTGTAAGCAGAGCAGAAGAGATAGTTAAACTAGATTACCAGAAATCAGCTGCCCCTAAACAGAACCTGCACTCTGGACCAGAACATTATAAAAAAAATAAAATAAATAAAATAAAAATAACCCGAAATAAGTAATGCTCGGGCAAATAATGCAAATAACACAAATAATGCTCCTAATGATGATGACAACGTGACAGTAATGCCTCACAAAATAATTCATTCTTACTGCCTGAAAAATCTAATACTTTTGGTGTCCATTTGGAGGATTTAAGACAGCCCTTTTCCAGATTTGTGATTAGTGAGCTAGCGCTTGATAATACTGTTTTGATCAAGTCATACAAACGAGTTTGAGCGGCATGTGCAGTGCCTGCTGGGGAGAAACAGCTGGCTGATTAATCCTGGAAAATTCCCCCTGAATGCTGATTGATTGGCGCCGTTAGAGTGAGACCTTACTTTGGAGAAAGAAACTGATAGATGCTTTATCAGTTATTGGCAAATAAGGACAATTAAATAGATTAAAATGCTATATAAATGACTATGTACACCAGAGAAAACTCTGGGATGAAGGGATTGTTTTCACAGAAATGTGAAGGATAACTCTGGCAAAATTCAAATTTTTCCCCCAACTAACAATCCAGAAGTACGCCTCTCAGTAGTTTTCCGACTATCCTCGCCCATATGTGGCACTCAGCCCCAAGCCCACTAGGTCCTACTGATGATGTAAATCTATAAAAAAGACTAAATCAGTTACTAAAACAGTTGGGGACTGTAGTCTTTAGCAAACATTACATATACAGGAGTAAATCGTGTTGCTGTACAGATACACTGACAGTGACTGTGGGATCGAATCTAAAAATAAGAAACTACAGTATCCATGTTCATCATGGTGAAGCCACATGTCACGTAGGGCAACAGTGTGGCTCATGGATCATCATTTTTAACGGTGTTTGTGTAACGGTGTAGCTCTATGACACACACAGGAAATAGTTACATAAGGCGTTTGCTAGAAAGACAATACTTGTTGTTAATAGGATCAATTCATTGTTGGTCTTCCCACAGCTTGTTATTGACAATCTGATATAACCCGACTCACTCTTTAAATGAATCAAAAATAAATCTTAAAAGGCCCACGCTGTAACTTCCTCTGAACTATTGCAGTTTAAACCTTCACTGCTTACTGAACTTCTTTCTCCCTTTATGATGAAAATAGTCTTTAGATGACCTCTGCAGGTAGCCGCTCCTATCTGCCGTGCCTTGGAGCTGTCGATAACTCACCGTGCCTTAAAATGATATGCTTTGCAGGAGTGTCTTGGGACCCAAACGGGTTGAGAAGCGCAGAGATTGACTGTGTCAGTTGCTGAGAGGTTAAAAGAAAGTGAGCTAATAAGAGGGCTCTAAGCCAAAGTCTCAGACCTGCAACACTTACGAGCAATCGAGTCTAAAGCTTTTACCGTAACAGGCAGGAAACCACAACAAGAGAAGCTGAAGTAGTTGGAGGGAGGGTTCCTACATATTGTCTTTTCCATTCAGGACTTCTAGACATTTATTTTTGTAATGGATTGGAAGATTTTGGTTGGTGATCAAATAACGTATCGCTAAAAATGTACTGGAAATAACTAGCGGCTCTCCTTCTAGGTTCATCATCTGAACAAAGTTTTGTTTAATTTGTCATATTTGTAGAATTTGACCTGCGTAGGAACCCTGAAAGAAAAGACGAGTTACTGAGGAAAATCAGGACTAGGATCAGTTAACTCTATCAAGTAGGAAATGTGTACACTGATGCGTAATACCCTAAACTTCACACTATTACTGAAAGAGATCAGGGGCTTTAAATCTATTTCTCAAAACATCCATCTGAATAGAAAGTTAACTGATCCCCCTGAATCTGGGTTGTGAACTTGCGTTGTAGAGTTAGAGTTGCTGTCATTACAGTATTAGACTTTATGTAAGAAGTCAAACAACAGGCGTGTGACAGAGCTACAGAAAGCTGCAAACACCCACCCAGTAGCGGGAACAATCACAGGATGCTGGATCTAGTCAGAGGGTTAGTTAAGTGCTACGCCTGTGCTGCCAGCAAAGCCGAAAAAAAAAATAGAAAGGTTTGAGTTTTTCAGTCTGGCTCTGTCTGGACAGTCAGACAGAGCGGGCTTTACCGGCTGCAGGTTGTGGGCCGTTGTTACTGGGCGCGGCCTTATTCCCAAACACAGCATCGAAATCTACAGTCATGGCTGGGGCAGTCTGCTGCAGAGGCTGGCTCTCCATTCCTGAGGGATGCAGTTAAATATGACCGATTAAAAACCCAGTTTGGATGTTTAAACTGCACAAGATAACCGGGCTAGCTTTTATCTGACACAGCTTTAAAATAACTGTAGATACATACATCGTGTTGGGATTTATCCTCGATGGAAATCATGGCTTTGCTCTAGTAAGGATTCCACCACCTAGCGCTAAACTAATCCTATTAGATTAGGAACATGGACATTACAGTCTCCGGCGTGCTGCCATTGTTGTTGCTTAGTAACTTGAGATTCTGTGCAGGCTGTCGAGGATGTCGGGCTTTCAGAGGAGAGTTAAGCCTGTGCACGAGCAAATCCAGTGACGGCACCTTTTGTTTTTTGTTTTTTTGTCTTCATCCACATCCCTGTTGGGGATTAGGGCTTGAAGCCTCAGAGAGGGGTTGTCTTTGTGGACCAAACGAAGATACACGGCAAATACACCACAGTATCTAAAAACAGACGTGATGCAACTGATACGACTGAGCTGTGAAGAAACAGTGATTCGTAAAGATGATCTAGAATTGATTTAAAAGTAGATAGAAAATGGTATATTACTAGAGTTTGTGAGTAAGAATCACCGGTTTCTACTGTGACTACCACATTGCTTTTCATGTACACGTAAAAATGTTTTATTGGGAATATTGCCATGGACTACATTACTTGTGAAACATATGCCATGACTAAATGAGATGAGAAGGCTGATATCACTATCATTTGTCTGTTAAATATGAAGCTACACGCATCAGCTTAGTTTAGCACAAACCAGCACCTCTAAAGTTCACTAAATAACATGTTATACATTGTTTTATTTGTATGAAAGTGTAAAAACAACAACTTGCCGTTTTTACAAGGGGTTATGCACCAAACAAATTTGGTAAAGCACAGTAACTTCCCTGCCTTGCAATTCCTCAGAGTCAAGAAATAGTCCGGGATTCCTCTTTGGCTTTTGTATAGATTAGGATTTAATTAGTGAGCTCAAGAGGTGCTGGTTGGTGAATTCAGTTAGATTAGACAAAGCCAGTCTAGCCGTTTCCCTCTGTTTACAGTCTTTGTGCTAAGCTAGGCTAACCGGCTGCTGTATGTATCTTCATATTTAACAGATATCTATAAGAGCCATATTAATCTTCTCATCTAATCCAATCCACGTTACGTTTGTGTTTCAGACATTTACAGCCATGGCCGTTCACTAAGGTAAGCATCCTTTGTGTTATTTTTGAGAAATGAACAGAGACAGTTATCTCAGGCTCCTGTGTCAGAGCCACTGATGGCATAAGGGGCTGACATTTGTGGTACGAAGTAGCTCAGACTCTGAAGTCTGGCCAAACTCTTTATAAATGGCTTTAGCTTAATCCTCTGTCATAAAGCTTGTAATACTCCGCGTTAACAGTGCGGCCAGATGCATCTTTGTGCTGCTTTTTTGATTTGAGCTAGCTGATCTTAAGCTGTAACGTCAACTTTTTTTTCCCCAGACATCCGAGGAAAAACATCCTGTGAAAGTCAGTGTTGTTGCTCAGCATTTCTGCCTTCTACATTTTCCACACTGACAAACAGGAAAACGAAGAGATGGTGGTTGAATCCTGGCTGACATTTCCTCGGACTGGTTTATTGAGTCTGAGCACACGGTTACAGGATTTATTATTACAAATTACTGTGAGCATTTACAGTGAAAACACCTGCGCCCAAAAACACGTTTAACTGTGTCTCTACACACTCTACACAAGACACCGGCTGGGTCATGCAACATTAGCTTCTGAAGAAAAGGAGGGAATGATGGTGGGTGGATGGATGGTTTACATAAAAAGACAAATGAATGGCTCGACAGATGGATGGGCAGACATGTGAATGACTGGCCAGAGGGAATATTTATCCCCAGAATGCCAGAAACACACTTTGAAGAATGATACACTGACTTTTTGCTCAGACATAAATTCATTTGTCTCTCTATCTTTATCTGCATGTGTGCGTGTAGACAGGTGTCTGCCTTATTTGCATGTCTGCATCCCTGCTGTTACCTTCATATATGTGTAAATGCAGGTGTGTGTGTGTGTGCGTGCGCAGGTAGCGTACCTCCCCAGGCACTGTTGGCGGTGGAGATTGAAGGAGTGCTCTGCACAGCGGGGATGAAGGCCGGCTGAAGATCAAACAGGTCACTGTTCAGATTGGGCACACTGAGAGAGAGAGAGAGAGAGAAAAGAGGGGGATAATGAGAGAGGAAGGAGACGGACAAAAGTGGTAGGAAGAAGAGATTAAAAAAAAGTGAGCGAGAAAAAGAGGTGGGATGAGAATAAGAGGTAGGGAGGGAGAGGAGAATAAGGGATAGAAAGATGAGAGGAACAGAAATCAAGTGAAAAAAGTCAGCGAGAGAAGAAAAACAAAATAACGAGGTACAGAAAGACAGATGAGATAGAGCATTAATATTTGATCAATTGCGCATAAATAGCTAAAGTCGCCACTAAAATGTTCGTTTGTCACAGATAAAGATTAATCCTTGCTCTCTGAAGGGCTTTAAAAACTTCCACGGAGCAATAAAACAGTTAGGAGCAGTAAATTCAGAGTGTGAAACAGTGTGTGCATGTTGAGTATAAATCCTGTGCTGATTATCGAGAATAGTAAATCGTGCTTAGTAACTATCACAGCTGAAAAGTCAGGACTGCGATACAAGGATTAGTTTTGTTGTGAACAGAAAATTAAAAAAGTTTTCTAATGCATGCTGACTTTACATTCAGCGATGGGTTAATCAATAATAACCATTCATAAGGGTTGTTTTGTTAGTTTGTATTGTTTCACATGTCTTAACCATTCTGACTTGACTTAAAGAGCTGTCACCTTCCTCTTTCCTCATTTTAAGTCCAACCACATATTTGATTCATGATCCGTGCATTTTCTGTAAATTCCTCTCTATATAGCAGTTTTCACTGTTTGTGGCGGGGTCCGCCGTTCAGATTGCCTTCACATGAACGAGGGATTCACAGGAAACGAAGCATGTGTGCAATCCAGCGTTACTGTTTGTAAACTTATCTTGTTCCTGTTTCACTGTTCACTCTCCTAACACATCTCTATTATAAAGTTGAGGTGCTCCTAATGCAATCTGAACTTCACTACTGCTGCTAGTTCACATTAAAAGCATTCAACTGGTGAAACAATAAGTGGATTTTATTGTGAAGCGTCGTTCATCAAAACTACAGCCTCATTTTCTGTATTTTTTTTTAATCAGTGGATCAGTATTAAATATTGCAAACAGTAATGGAAGGAGCAGCCACAGTGAGCTGAGTTGCAGGAGACACGCTGCACGCCTAATTATGTTGTGTGGGAAACTACTTGCGCTGTGCAACTCAGATCTCGGTTGGTTATGGCATGAGGAGAGAAAGCCGATTATTGATTGATGTCTTTATTACAACTATCTGAATTTGTTTGGGTGCACCAGAACCACAGGTGTCACAACCGATATCCGTCTGTCTACGCATCTACCTATCTGTGCATAATATTCAATATCTCAAAAACGTAGTCATGCTGGTTTTAAATGGTGAACGTCTTGCTGTACATGGAGTGAAACATTTGGGCTGACGGGTGTTTGTTTGCGCGCACCTGTTGGCAGACAGCGTGGTGCCGAACAACTCCGGGGTTTGTGAGATGTGGTTGTTGTTGGCGCTGCCCATCGACTGGCTGCTTGGGGAGGCAGAGGGCGGGGTATGCATGTTGATCTCCTTCAGGCGCTGGTCCTGGAAGACAAAGACACACACACACACACCAGAAAGAAAAACCACACTGTGATCAGGAAGACGAAGGTTAAACAGCCATTTCCCATTGGAAATGATTAAGAGTTTTGTTTCCAGTACACTCAAATCCTGGAAAATGGCAAACACATTCTCTCGCATGTAAATTTAAGGATATACAAATCAATATTCTCGCATAGAGGAAAAAACACCCATAATTCCTACGCTGTCCTCCTGTAACTTCTTGTGTTAAGTGCCCTTTGGTCCATTTGAGCCACGTTGTTTGGAGATCCTTGGCAAATATCTCATCGCAAACATTCCCAATATCGGGTCATTGGGAGTAAAGCTTAAAACTGTGTGCTCTGGTGATATTATATTATATGTTGGCTTTAGATTTAAGACCAAAAACCAGGCCTGCATCCAACTGAATTTCAAAAGTCAGTTTCATTGCTCTGTATTGTTTGCCAAGGTTGCCTGGTGGTGTTGGATACATACACATTATGATGATAGACGATTAGTTTCAAGCACTTTAAAACTAATGATGCTGGTTTCTAGTGACAAACTCTCCAGCCCTGTTATTGTGTGGTGCTAAAACAAAAACTCAGCTTATCTCAAACAGTATCTGCCTCTGTCCTGCTGAGACCCAGGTGCAGGGGAAATGTGACAGATACGCAAACATCAGCAAAGTCCAGCCACCGCTAAAGCTAAATTGAAGTAAAGCCAAGAACAAACAATCAGTTTTGATTTTTTGCGTTGTTTTCAGTCCATTCATGCTGATCAAATCAAGACATAAGAAGCCTGATGTGGCTGTGCCGGCAAGTCACTTTCATTTAGCACCAACGGTGGCAAAATACTGCTGATATTTGCAAGACAACAACCAGTTAACCAAACGCTGAAGTCTCAGACTGCTCTCAGGTCAGAAACCCGCCTACTTAACGCAGTAAAACTACCAGAAGTTATTTGACCTGCTGATCCAAGATGAACACTCCAGCACTTTGAAGGTGCTCCAACACATTTCCAATCTCCCTATGCCTCCCTGCCCAGACTCTCATTCCTTGCATGAATTTTGCTTCAGGGCTAGTTTGATGCACCCTGCTAACAGCGGGGACATGACTGTCAACAGCTTCCTCTCTCTGTAGCTTAAAGATGACGCTGTATGACAACACATTTCAACATTGTGTTACATGACAATGAGTGTAAATCTAAACAAAACACATTAAATATAGTATAAGTAATCCATAATGTTTCTCACTGCAGTCTATATAACATATTCAACCTCCCACAAGTGACTAAATAAAAAGTCATTGCTTTATTGATTGATTTTTATCATTCTTGCCGTTTTGCTTATTTCTTGTGCTTATGTTCCATCTGCCTACATTTCCCGCAGGAACTTATTACTTTTGCTGCGGCAGTGACCTTAATATCTCCACAGGGATCAATACATTTGTGTCTTATCGTGTGGGAACATGTACCGAGATATAACAACAGTTTTTTTTTTTTTTATCAGAATATGTACTGTTTGGTAGACAAGGGAAGCAATTTACAGCCCAACAAAAGGTGTAGATTTTCTAGTATGGATTCCCACAAAGGGAATGGAAATACTGCTCTCACAGCGCCTTTGCCTATTTAATTTACACATGGCCATTCACTTACACAACCCTCTTCCCACCTTTAAAGGAATTTGGACTTTGATCAGATTAATAAACACAATCTCCTGCTGTACCAGTCTCAGCCGGGCCGAGTCCTCTTCATTCATATTCTGTCAGTGAAGCGAGAAACAAATGGCAACTGCTGTTATTGTTTGGGCTGAGGCCCCAGCTGGACAGTAGCTGAGCGTGCAAGTGTGTGTGTGTTGAGTCCATATGGACACCAGAGCGCTCAGACAGCTGGACTAGAGTATTTGGACGAACCCTGCTCACCCCGGCTCTCTCACTCGGTTCCTTACTCTGTTGTGTTCTCACTCTCACTTTGTCTTCCCTCCCCCCTTTCTAACTAAACCCAAAGGTAATCAGCGGACCTTGGCAGAAACAGGGCAACCAAGGGCACAAAGCAAACAGCGCGCTAAAATCCAATCAACAGCGCACACAAACAAACACACCAAGACGCACTGGCGGCGCTCACAGCGCCTAATCTACCACGATATACACATGCTCCATTCACACAAACACAGATCAACAAAAGCTCACAGAGATACCGGCAACACTGCTAGACACATACTGTATCTTCTCTGTCAAGATGCAAGCATGCTTAACATGGACACACACGCGCACGCACACTCACACCGAGCCGCTGTGTGCCTGCTCTGTAGTTTCACTGCTCTTACTCAATTACAGTTTGCTGTAAGGCAGGACTCCCAGGGCTGGAGCAAGAAATGTCAACACATTTTACACTTGACTTTTCTATTGCTCGGCTCACCACAGAGACTCCCGCCCTTTATCCTCAAATGGAGTTGAGAACTCACCCAACAGCAAAAGTTGCTTGGCAATCTATCAGCAACAACAAAATCAGTCTGATTTCTACAGTACAGCAAAATGGAGCACTATATGTTTTTATGTTTTGTTTTAACAAGTTGTGCCATTTTGCAGGGTTCTAGCGTTATGTAGTTGCTGCAGATATGAAGTTTCATTGCGGCTCTGCTAGCACAGTCATGGCATGGTCTTAAATCAGGGTCATGACTGCAGTTACAATCAAAACCCCGTGTACAAATACTCAACCTGAAAGTGGCCGCTGTTCTTCCCTGTATCACACTCATCCTTACCTTCGTCTTACAAGTAGGTTAAATCATACAACAGGTTTATAACGCCATGTCTAGTACAATGTGTTTATCCAGTCTAGCTACCTTAACTTATCAGTGGCACAACTAAATAATGTAAGGGGACATTAAAATGACAAAAAGGGGTCCATACAAACTACAAGATGTTACTATGCATGTAAACATATGTAGATCAGAACCCCTGTTATTGGCCTTGCGTCCTGACACAAACAAGAAATTTGACTTCGGCTCTCAGCAGGTCTCTGTGCTTTCACGCAATGCAAACAAAAAATATATACAGCAGGAATATTTTCACAGACATACACTTACAAAAAAAATAAAAAAAACACACAGACAAAAGCTAGACAAGGATAAACAATGTGGTTTGGATCTATTGCATTAAATGTCATGTTAAAGAGCCCATTTACACATGGTATTAATAAGTGATCTGTATGGATATCCAATGTGCTTTTAACACATGTTAAAAGGGGTAGAGTGCACTGTATAAAGGCCTTTATGGTTCACGAGGGAGCTGCGGGAATTCTGATAGATTGCCTCAAGTGATCAAGTGTAACTTCAGTCAGCGTTGGTTGGGGCTCAAGACTACAAGATTTACAATAAAATAAAAATCTGTGGGTGTGGATTTAGAAAGAAGCGAGCTTACCAGACCTCTATAGCCCGCTCCTCATCTATGCTTGAGGCTCTAGATTACATTAGCCGCTACTAATATAACAGATCCAAATCTCCAACTGAAATGTTGGCAGCCAACTTGAATTGTGGGTTATGTAGGTGACAGGTTTTGACAAGGAAGAAGTTTTGATACTCTGTTTTATATTTCTCCAGTGTAAATCTGCCAATATTACATAAGTGCAATGCTAAATCAGTGGTGTACTCTTTCAATGCACAGTAGACAGTCTAAAGGAGGTCTGGCTTGCAATGTGATTGGAGGTTATCCCAGTGTTAATGTAGTCAATACAGCATGACCACATTCTTTATTAATTACAATAATTTTATTTTTTTTAAATCACCCAGTTAGTTGAAAAGTCAGTTAACTCCCCCTTCTTCCTGCTAGCTTAAGCAACGGCAGGAAAAGCTACAAGTATTAACACTAGCTTGTAAACGATCCCTCGCAAAGACTGATTGACAATATTGAGATCCGATCACAATGGGGGCAGAATGGAGATAATGCCAACACTTATTACTATCAGGTTTACACTCAAACGCCGGTGATCAGAAATCATTGTCCAAACGAGACTTGCCTTTCCAGAATAAAATGCATTGGAGTCCAAAAAAAACAAGAGGGGGCCAGAGGGCCGCACGAGACTACAAATGAATGTGTTTGATATGATAACAACACAACTCCCAGAAACAAGCTGACAATTTCTTAAGGAGAAGTGTAACTGCCCATACTAATTCATTTAGCTGTGTCAGCAGGAGTAGAGGGTGTATAGTTTGGTTACATCCGGTTAAAATGAAAGGGGAATCTGCAAGTTAAAGAAAAGGAAACGTAGAGAAGGATTAGGTCAGCAGTTTTTGTGCCAGTGAAGAGGAAGGACAGGTTTAAGCAGCACTGACCATACGACCATAAACTATTTAGAAGTACTTTGAGGTAAAAATGACTCAACAAAAATAAATTATGGCATGGTAAAGATAACAAGCGTGGCAAAGGCCAGCGCTCACACAGTAATGTATCTATATACAAATCACATGTTAATACCTGCTTTAAATGAGGCCTAACTCATAGATTTACATTTAGGACGTTTGTAGCAGCTGAGAGCTGCTTGAATCGGGCAAAGAGGCGATGAAAGGGTGACAGCAGCAACTAGTAGACCTGCTGGCATTTCTGCTGCAACAGCACTGACTCTGACCCCCTGATTCAGAGGTGATTTGGTACAAAAAGTACAAAACATGTTACCTTAAGCGCCTGCAGTCTGGCCTGTTCCTCCTCCAAGGCCTGCTGTTTCTCCTTCTCATCCATGCGGCTGAAGGACATGCCAGTGGAGGAGAGGGATGAGACGGCGCTGGACAGGGTGGACGCTCTGCAAGACACAAGCCAAACTTAAATATTTCTCTCTTTTTTTCCCCCCTCACAGGTCTTGACTTGAGATGTTTCAGGAAGACCTTATGTAACTGGCAGGAAATTAAGATGTTTACCTGGTGTCTGCATTCAACTCCTTTGTCTTCTTGCCCTCCAGAGAGGCCAGGTGCTGCTCCAAAGCCTCCAGGAGGCTGCTGGGGGCCTGGCAGAGAAAAGGGATTAAAAGGAATTCAGCAATCAACTCAAGTTTTTTGAGAATCTCTTCTCACTTTCTGTCTCTCTCATATGCTCAAAAAAAGACCCGCCTACACACACACACACACACTTAACATACACACAAACACACAGCACCCAGAGTTAGTTGGTCTCACAGGAAGGTAAGAGAGTGCATCAGGCTCCAAGAATAGCCATGGCAACATGCAGCAAACACTCACGCTGTTAGCAGGAGACTCAAAGGAGAAAGAGAGAGACAGAGAGAACAAAGAAGGAGGTTGAAAAACAAAGAGCGAGGTAAAAGGTGGAGTGCGGAGGAGAGGTCACGCCACTTCTGCTCCCGACTTCACATTAGCAGAGGGCAATCATTTCTGGGCTCTCTTTCATTTTTCCATTGTTCCCTTTGCTGTGCCCTTTGCTTATCTTGAAGTGCCCCCCTCCTCCCCCCGCACTGTGAGGTCCCATCACACTTGAACAATGAGTGCCAGGATGCACTGGCTTGTCAGCGTGTCTCTGCTCTAATTTAACAAGTCTCTGCGCATGTATTCCATGTGGGGATTGAGATTAAAGTCTTACTCTTTCTTAACTTTTTCTTCAAATTTTTGTAAGAAAAAATGAGGCCAAGAGTCTCTAAACTGCTGTTTGTTGTGAGATGACACAAGGCAGCTGCATTAAATTTGAGCCCAACTATTAGTGAGCAGGTTACTTGGGGATTGTTGCTACGTTACTACAGAAAACACAGTTCAGCCACAAATTCAAGTTCAGCTCCAAATGTTCACATCGCACAACACGATGTATCCAGCTCTCGTTAGATGCCTCATTAATGCTCAAGAACCGCGGGAAACAAGAAGGGAAAAAGCGAGCGAGGCAGCTCCATTATTAAGTGTTACAATCTCAAACTTTAACTCACAAAAAAAGAAATAGCTCAGCTCTCTTCTGGCCAAGGAGAGAGCAGAGGAAATTCTTCCACTGAGAAAATATGACAACGTCATGTCTGTCTCTCCATCCGCAAGAATGCTAAGTCTGCTGTCAGTAGGGCTGCAGACATGCACGCAAACACACACACACACACACACACACACACACACACTTGGGAGTGTTTTGGCTTCCGAGTCCTTTGCGGCTGGCTAGACAGCGGGTTCTTGCCAAGCTGTTGCCTGGCTGTTAAAGAAACAGTGCCTCACAGAAGAGAAAGAGACCATTTTAACTGTCAGTGGGTCTGAATAGGTGAAAAGAAGACCTCGTGCACACCCAGTCAATATTAGCTCTGACACACACACTCAACAGGGTGTCTCCTCATCGCTTGCCTGTCTTCCTTTTGACATATTGTGTACTTTGCTTTCATCTAAACATGTTCAGAGATGGCTCTAACTTTGGAAGGCAAGGAGAAAAAAAATAAAGAAGAAAAGGAAGAATCCCCCCCTTTCTCCTCTCTCATGTTTCCTTAATATGTTTTTAAAACAATTACGACAGGGTAATGCTCGGGTCGTTCACTATTAAAGCGCCTCCTCCATGCATGTTGGAGCAATGATGCAGTGCATGACAATATGAAATAAACAACATCTAAAAAAGGAGAAGGGGGGAATTTAAATGAGCGAGTCGACTTTCATGCAGATGAAGACGGAGGGCTGAAGCCTCATTTCCTATTCATGGAGGTTTCATGGCCTTTAGCTTGTCATGCCAGAGCTCTGGGTGTGTGTGTGTGTGTGTGGGTGTGTGTTTGAGAGCTACAGGCAATCCACCTGAGGCCAACACACATACATACACACACACATTGTACTCAGTCAACGCCATATCACTCCACACTGGAAACAATAAACTAGGGCATGCCAGGGAGTGTATGGGGGGAGTGTGTGTATTGTTGCGCACACACACACGAGCATATATGATGTTCATGCAAGGGGTTAAGCAGGTTGGAGGGGGTAAGCAGTACAGTATGCAACCCACCACCTACAATGTATGATCCTTTTGTTTTCTGCGGCAGACGAGGAAGAAGGAAAAAAACGTCTATTTAACGACCAAAGCGAAGTGTGCAGTTTCACGACGACACCAACACAGTCAGTCCACTTGCTGTTAACCTCCAGTTCTACACTCTGAGTTTCAGTGAGACATGACCACGTCCCACTGCGGCTGTAATAACTTAGAGTTGTATTTGTGCGTGGGGGATTTTTATAAAGATTTCTAGAGACAGAAAAACACCAATGTGACAACTTTTCAACCCAATCCAGGCTGCAACTAATTATTTTTTGCCCATTATTGCTAAATCAGTCAGTTATTGGTAGAGATTCCTGATTCTGATACCCAGGGTGCTGACCAAAGTCTGAACCAAATGTTTCTTTCTTCTTGGCAATAAAAATTATGTCAGCTGCATACAGTGACTGAAAGCATAGCAGAAAGCAAGAAATAGAAGAAGGCGAATGTCAAACTGTATTAAAAATGTATCTCCTGGGTAAATTATAGGTAAAGATGCACTTGGTTGCTATGAGACATTAGAGTGGCTGTTTTCTTTGTCGTCCTTTTGAACCTGTCTCCCAACAGGAATTCAATCAACTGCCCGCCAAAAAGTCAAAAATGTTAAAAATACTATAGAAAATCGGCAAAGCAGCAAATCTCACATTTCAAAACCTCTAACTAATAAATATTTGACATTTGTGTTTAAATAATTCACACAGAATTACTATAAATCCATTCAACTGATTAGTCGTTTGACAGAAAATTTATCAGCAACTTTTTTTAGTTTAGCCATTTTACGAGCAAATATGCTCTGGTTCCTGCTTCACAGCTGCACGGATTTGTGACGTTTCTGTTACCTAAATACCTTTGAGTTTTGGACTGTTGGTTGAACAGAACAAGACATTTAAAGACATTATTTAGGACTTCTTAAAAGCAACCGATTAACAGAGACAATAATCAACAGACTGACTGATAATGAATTATCGTTAGTTGCGGCCTTATTGTTGATAGATACATCTTCTGTCCATTGAATAATCCTTTAATCCACTAATCATTTCAACACTAAACCGGATGTCTAAAATTATTACACATGACTGGAGTTTTAAAGCTGTGAGAAGATAAAAAAAAGCTGATCTACAAATGACAGTTTATCGTACTGCGCTGAATTTTAAACAGCTGTTTTTCCAGAATCAAATACAAACTCATTGTTTCTCAGCCTGCTATGTCACTTCACGTGTGCCTGCCTAACCAGAGACATCAATCTCTCTTAGGTCCTCCCATAAACCATTAGGAAGATGAAAACCATGCTTGAAACAAATCCTCTGAATTAACAATTAGACAAAAGGCCAACTGTATCCTTGACAATTAAAAACAGAAATCATGTAGTCTTTATTCCCTTGTAGCGACGCTGTCTTGTTTAAGCCCCTTGTTGATGCAATTATCATTATTTTTGTAGATGCAAGGTCAAAAGGTCATTGTTCGCCAGTTGCTCAGGGTTTCAAATCCACGTGATGAAACCTGCAGCTGGCCAGCTGATGGTGCAGTGTTTAAGCGGGACAACCTCACACCTTGGCCTGTTGTTGGATCTATAGTGAGCGTTTAGAAGTGAAAGAGAAAGCAGGAAATCAATCAAACCAGAGGGGAGTTGCCTAGACTACGATCGGGTCAGACGAGATGGCTGAAATAAAAACGAGTGGGCGGAGGAGAGAGAATGGGTGAACACATTCGGTAAGGGGGGTGGGGAAGGGCGGCACAGGTATATGTAGGGGTGAGATGTGGTGTGAGTAGTCGGATGAAAGCACAGAGGGAGTAATGAAACCATGTGGTGTTGAAGGAAAGTCAGACAGAAAGGTGAAAAGGTAGGAAAGTAAGAAAAGGAGTGAGAAACCGCAAAAGAGCAGAGGAAGTGGAAGTGGAAGGTGAGATGTACACTGACCTGTGAGAGATCTGGGATGTCACCCTGATCTATTCCAACTTGCTGTCGTCAAAAAACAAACAAATCAGCAAAATAAAAAGGGGAGAAAGGTAGGTGGGATAAAATGGAGAAGAAAACAAAACAAAGAAGAGGGCAGGATCCATTAAAAAAAAAAGAAAAGAAAAAGAAGATGAGAAAAAGAAAAAAAAAAACAGGGGAGTCATTACTTCATGCAGTGGCAGTGTCAACATAAACGACAACAGAAATAAACAAGAAAAAGTTTTCGACATCTGGATTGGCCGGACGAAACGGCCAATCCTCACAGTGAATGACGATGATGATTGGACAGTGATAAATATGTTTGACCAATGAGGGAGAGCGACCGTGGCAACTGATGAATAATGACGTGACAACACTAAAAACATTCATAAAAAAATATATATATATAAATAAAAAGAGGACAGCTACGCCAAAGTCATCTCCAAAAGACAATTTACAACTCAAGACAGATAACATTTGTGTGTGAACATGTCGACTTTTCAGGACACAGATAAAGAACATTAAGCCCCGGGGGGCTTTTGAATAATCATCAACATGACCTTGGTTTTCTTGCTAAGCAGTTGTTAAAACACACCAGTCGCCATCGTCAGGTTTATCAGCAGAAAATATAAATAACAGTTGATAAGAGTGTACTCCCGCTTCTTTGAAGATGCCATTCTAGACGTCTAACTCCTGCTTTGAAGCTTTGTTTTTTTTTGGACTCTTAAATATTCATTAAGTTGTTACACATGATCACAAAAAAGGCAAACAACAAACATAACAAACAAGCTATTTTTGATCACTGGACCCTTATAATGAATTTGTACATAATGTTTTCTGCTATAATACATTGATGGTAAAGAGACATGGTACTTTAAGGCCCCTTTATGTACACTTGCATGCATGTAGATGGATTATTTTAAAAAATATTGTTTTGTTTGTAAAAAAACAAAACAAAAAACTCAATAAATGTTAAGATAAGAATCAAATCTGTCAAAAAATACATATATTTTATGTTCATGTAACTTTTCAAAGTACCAGCAGTTTGTGGAAGTGGGCGAAGAAGAGTGGGTGGTAAAAAGTTAGTTCACCTCTACCACTGTGCAAAGTAACGCAAAATCTACTGAGAAAGTTGTCAACATAGGACCTAATATATACTATATATGTCTTTTTAGTGGGTGTGCCAACAACAGATGATCTACAGTGACCGAATATGATTAGAAAACAGACTTCAGATCAGAGTTTAGCTTAAAAAAAAAAAAGAAAAAAGAATTCATGACATGTTTGAGACGTGTACTGTCAAAAACAGAGCAACTCATCAGTTTATTCACTGAATGTGTGCGGGTCTTTTTACTAAGCACTACTGTTTTAAATTATGTCTAAAAAACACACTTAATTATTCAGGTAGCGCCTTAAAACCGAATTAGAAAAAGACAAATGGACCATTTATTCAAATGTACGTTAACGCAGAGAACACGAAAGACCAATGTAGTTCCTTCAGCTGAAGTTACAGCAGCTGATTCCCAGTTTCTTGTCTGCTAAACAAAGGAGGGAGGGAAGGACGATGGCACGAGAGGAAAGAGAAAAAAAAAAGAGCGATGATCTGTGGGCACTGGGCGAAGGAGAGCCACATGAGTATCTATCTTTGTCAGGCCGAGAGGGAAGAGAGCGGGAGAAGAAAGAATTAGATGGAGGAGTGTGGGGAGCCGAGGGAGAGAGACCTAACGGAGCACCTAACCACATCCTCGGGTTATTTTGGGTTTGTGTGTGCACGCATATATATATATATATATATATGTATGTGTGTGTGTGTAAGTGTCTGTACAGCAGATTTAGGGCAGTGAGAGTAAAGTCGAGCACTCTTGTCTGCACACAGTACAGTAGCTGTGTGAGCAAAATTGTGGCATCTTTATGTGGAAAAATGGAGCCTTTATGTGGAAAACACACAATTCAAGTGGTGTTTGAAAATGTGATGTGTGTACATACATGTGTTAATAATGTTTAAATATGTGCGTTCAGGGGATGTGGTCAGGACAAGACACAGACGAGAAATTGTGGGGAATAGCTCATTTAAATTAGAGCTACTCTTCCAAAAAAAAAAAAATCTGTGGGCAGAAACTAACAAAAAGAAAATCTAATTCCTGATGTGTGTGTGCATGTACTTTTCTGTGTACTGTGTGTTTGTGTGCGACTATACCTCAGCCACTTTGAGGAACTCTGACAGCTTCGTCATCCTGTAAAGAAATTTCTTGTAGATGTCCAGAGCATCTTTGCACTGGTTCTTCTTCATGTCAAAGTATTTCTCTACAGAGACAGGGAAGTGAGGGCAGGGATGAAAACAAAACAGAGAAACACAGATTAACAACAAAAAAAAGAGGAAAGGAAGGAAGGGAGAAAGGAGGCAGGAACAATCAGAGCATGATTGAGTGGAGACAACAGAAGCACTTAGCGGCTACATGACAGCTTGTCAAAATGTGTGTGTGTGTTGCTGTTAAGTTTGTGTTTACATATTTGACAGACATGAGGGTGTACACACAAAACAAACTGTAGCTGCACTTACACCTCATAATTTGTGACACATGTAGCAGAGAGCATCAGTTGGCTCACTGCTGTAGGCTGCGTTTATCCTAGGAGATATATAGTGTGTGTGTGTGTGTGTGTGTGTGTTACCCAATAGGTTGATGACCCCTTCGTTGTAGGCAGCAAAGAGCCTGATGGAGTCTTTGAAGAGCAACATGAAGGCTGAGTTGATCACTCCGTTGGTCAGCTCATTAGGGTTGGCCTGAAGAGATGAAAGGGAGAGGGAGAGAGAGAGAGAGAGAGAAAAGGTAAACGAGGCATCTCTGTCACATCTTGCCAAGACTTAAAAAAAAGAAAGAAAACATCTCTTTCAGATATCCACAAACATCTTTTTCAAAATACCAGCACCCCTTGGTATTGATACACTTTAGGTGGGAAAGAACATCATGCGGAGACACACACACACACAAAGAAAGACTATCAAACAGCAAACACGCATTCCAATGAGAAACGTCACCCTCCATTTTTATTGCTCTTTGAAGCTCGCTGGCACAAACCACAATGCACCCACCAATTTCTCCAAATCCCCACCCAATTCCCTTCTGCGCACGCGCGCACACACACACACACAAACAATAAACCTTTAAATCTGTTGCCATAATGTGCTCCTTATACTCCATCAATAAAAATAAAAAAAAAGGTTTCAAACTGTGGTTTTAATTTACATTTTGATTGGAAAGTGAATCGACCACAGCTTTGACAAGCATGCATCGAGACACTCGTGCATGCAAAACACAAACACACACACAAACACGCACACACACTTAGTACCTGGAAATCCAGCAGTGCATCCAGCTGGTTCTGAATGATGGGCAGCGTCTTGATCAGCTTCTCTGTGTTCATGGTACGCATCACACCGTCAATCCTGACAAAACAGGAAACACACACAAACACAACATTGCAGCAGGCACCTTTGTTGAGGGAAATTCTTATGCAAATTCTGATGCAAATTGGGAAAACGCACGAAAAAGTAATGAAGAAATGATGGGAAACGAAGAAAGAAAACTCGTGTTTTGCATACAAAAGTTTTCACAGTAATGCAAAGTTGTAACAGCTTCCAGAGGTGAAAGGCTTGCAGCAAATGGCGACTGAAACACATAGCTTAAATAAATAATGACAGTCTGTTCTGCGGGATAAACATGACAACAGATTCAGTGTCATTCCACAACAGTTGGACTTTCTGAAAACTGGGGGCCATGTGCTGAACTGTTACTCAGCCTGGAGCAGTGACTCCCTGGCAACACTTGAGAAGGGTCCAACCTTCCTCAAGACCTCAAGTCCAGGGTCACCAGGGGTCGTATTACAGAAAGTTCCTATCTTAAGTCTTAAGTTAAGATAGGAGGAGTCTAAGATAGAATTTTTTCCAAGTTGCTATTAAAGAAGCAAATTCTAACTTCGTAAAATCTTAAATAAACTCTCCTAACTTAACTTTAGTATTATTAACTTTCCAGAGAAGAGTACGGGTTTCTGCCACCGTCAGTGAGGAAACACAGGAGGAGCCACCACCAGTTCACCTCTGCTCTTTGGGCACAAGAGTTGCCTTTCTCTTCATATCACTTGTCAGTGGACTTATTTTCTTTTTCACAGCATCATCCGCTGGTTGCCGGATATATGACGGAGACTGTGTCTGCTATTTTAGCCCACTCTCTTCACATAACGCTGAACTCGGGAGATTAATACTTTAGTTATGCAATTTTGGATTTCTCGACGGAGGTCACCAACACCTCGAAGTCACGTGACTTGAAGTTCAATGATAGCTGTTGTTTCTGCCCCATTTTTCAGTTTCATTAAAAAAAAATCTACAAAAAAACAGCGATCAAAAGTCATTTAGCTCGGCTAGGTGAGAAAAGTGGCATCGGTTGCTTGGTAACAGACTTAAAGGTTCATAAGCAATTTAGGATCCTAACCTGAGATAAGATAGGATGACTAAAGTTATTGACCTAGGAAGGAGCAAAGACAGCCAAATGGTTTTATGGGGCTAAAAATTAGAATCTCCAATAAGCTAGTACTTTTTAGGTAATGTAGCAAAGTAGTTCTTTCACATCTACCACACTAGATGACAGAATATTTAGCTGTATTTAAAAGCCAGAGAAACATGAACATTTTTAAATCTGGTAAAATATTTTAATAAAAAATATGATGCACTTCATGTCAAGGATCGGCAGTTGGACCCTCGTCTTTGTGCTAAGCTCAGCTCAATACTGAATACTGTCGTCGTAAATAAAAAGGTTTTGTCAGCTTGTGTCTATTGTTGTTCTCTCACTTTAGTGCCAAAAGCTAAACACCCATCTCCCAGTGTGCGGCAAGATGAGTGTGAAGTAATGAGTGGGGTTGTCATTTGTGTGTGTGTGTGTGTGTGTGTGTGTGTGTGTGTGTGTGTGTGTGTGTGTGTGTGTGTGTGTGTGTGTGTGTGTGTGTGTGTGTGTGTGCGCCCTCCCATACCCCCTCTTCATCTTGGTGAAATCCACAGCCACCAGTCTGTAGGACATGGCCTTCTCATTCAGGTAACGGCTGTATCGCCTGATGAAGGTTGACATGTCGTAACCTGAGACAGAAAACAAGAGAGAGGAAATATACGGAGTTTGTTGTGTTGTCCTATAAACTGTCTATATGTTTTTATATTATACTGTATATGTGCACTGCATCAGATGCATTTTAATCAAGTAATCAATCCCACTGAATTACCCATTTTAACTTATAAATACTTTGTTTTTTGCTTAAAACATTCTAGTGCTCTGTGTGACGTGCTTTACAAACCAAAAATGCTCTGAATTGTTTTTCCACACTGCTTTTGGGGGAATGAGAGTTGGGTGCTTTACCTTGCAGAGCTCCCTTGTCCAGGAAGTTGTTCAGGTTAAACAGGGTGTTTCTGGAGGCCAGGTACTGGGTGAAACGCTGAGATAAGAGAGACAGAAAACACAAGTTAATGCAGGGTTTGAGAGAGCTTTATCCAACAATAAATATGAAACTTAAACAAACCAAATTTACTTTGTTAATATCACATTTTTGGATTGTAGGTTTAATTTCCACGCTAGTGGGAAAAATCTGGCTGCTTGTGAATGAGGGATAATTTCCTCTCCAACAACAACCAAAAAGATTCACCCCAAGTTAGGAACTAAGGAGGCTATTAACATCCAGCAGCAACAGTAGAGAAGATATTTTTAGATAAGTTTATGACAAAAAAAATATATATATGTTGGACCTTCTTGGACAAATGTAATTTTGACCAGATGATGGGACAAAACGTGAGTTTTAGTAGCATCTAGTGGGCAGGGTTGCCAATTGCAACAAATGGCTCACTGCGCATTCGCTTGTTCCTTGGACAAAGTAAGTACTTCATAATAAATGTATTAAATCTAATGGAAATTGTAAATTCAACAGTTCCACACAACTTGAATGCATCATCAGTCACCAGTCACTGCTCACCCCCCTCTATCCAAGTGTACAGGAGAAGCTACGGTGGCCGACACGCTCTGTCAGCGCTTGTGCTAAATAATACGTGTGGTCCTCCATTTCACTTCTCTTCTTACTTCTAATAAACCAGACGCATACTAGAACCACTACTTCTCCCTTCTTCTTCATACGGTTTTAATGTAGGCTGAAAATGGCTAAAAATGCCATGAACCCTTCAGCAAAAGCCATTTCCTCCCTCTTATTCTAAAGATTATTTAGATAAGTAAAAAGATAAAAGGGATCTACTGAAACACATGCACACCGGCTGACAGATGGTAAAACCTTGTACTCATTAGCCAACAGCTAATAACGAAGAATGATATGATTCATCACTGCCATGAAGTGAAGTCTCTATTAAAATGCAGCGCGCAGCTATCTCTGCTATGACTCAAATACTTAATCTGTCAAGATGTTGAAAAGCACTGTGATGATTAAATACTCATTTTATGTTCTTAGAAATGGTCTTTTCTTGTCGCTTGTTGCCCTTTTCCTTCCTGCAGAGGGGTCAGAGGTCGGCTACAGAACACCAACCCCAGAACTGGCGGGGACGCAGTTCCCTGCTCTAAAACACCAGCAGGAAGGACGGTTTAACCTCGTCTCCCTACTGCTACCCCTGCTGCTTTAGATGGTTTAGCCTCATCTCCTCGGGCTGTTTAAAAATCTGCTGTTTTTTCCCCAGTCATTTATTAGGACTTCTTTTGAGTAGCTCACACAGAACTGGAGAGGGAGGACAAATGGCAAGAGGAAGCAGTCAGAAAAAAAAATTAATTAACCTTTGGGAAGCAGCAGCAGATTAGCAGCACAATATAATACATTATGTAACAAACTCCTTGAAAATGTTAATGAGATCAAATCTAAAGCTAAAACTTGGTCACCAGAAAGTGATGAATCATGTCATTCCTGTCATTTACAGACTTCCTGACGTTAGATAAAAACCCACAACCAGAAGACATACAAAAGGTAAAATAAACATACAAAATACAAATTACCAATACATTTTAAATATAAAAGTGCATTCAAAAATTCAAAGTAGAAGTAATTGAACAACAGTTTCTAATAGCAATCATTATTGTTTTTACAGTCTACTTTTCTACGTATCCAATGACTGTGCATGTGCACATTTTCATTCCATAAGATAACTACACGATATTTAAGAAAAAACTGACCACAGGATGTTTTATACGAAGGAAGATGGAAGATATTTAGTCTGTCTAGTTGCATAACCATGTTAACAAAATAATATTTAAAGCTACATAGTAAATTTTCTTATCATCTGACTTTAAAAACAAATGTACAGGTGTATAGTCAACGCATTAATTAAAAAAACAAAGAGAGGTTCCTTTGGTATAATGGCTTTGGGAAAAGTTGCTAATCTAATAAGCCGTTTCTGTAGCAGCAGTATTTTGTACTGCTGTGTAACAGAACAGAAACTTGGTCCTTTGTTACTTTCCCTTCCCTCTCAACACTAGTTACTGATTAGTTTTGACACATCTGATGTTACTAAGCAGGTGCTGGAAGCTCTTCACTTCCCATTTTCCAGGGAAGGGTCTGCTCTTTTTCCACAACCACCTTTCTTCACACTTCACACTCTCACACATGGAGACGCCCTGCACAACCTCTGTCTTTTACTGTGGGCCACTTAACGGCTCCTATAACTTTTTTTTTTTAAAAGAGATTTTTTCCTTGCTTGAGACAGTGTTGATGTTGAGAGGAGAGGTGACAGCTGCACACTGATTCAGTTGACAGTGCCTTACTAATCTTTTTTAAGTCACATCTAGGGTTAGCGATGAGTTGAAAATCACATTGAATCTCATGATCAAGCCAGAAAAATCTGAGTTGGAGAAAGTGATAAGTAACCCCACAGGTGTGTGAAAACAAAACAAGCTGAGAAGGTAAAGGGTGGTCACATCAAATATTGATTCGATTTAGTATTTTCTTCTGTTCATTTACTATGCATTTTGTTAATTGATAGATATAATCTCTTAACATGTCTATTTTTGAAAGCATTCTTACTTTACAGCCAGGGCTGGAAATTAACACCCGCCAAGCACCAAATGCAGGTAGATTTTCCGTTTGGCAGCAAAATGTTGGAAGGCTAGCCGCCACATTGGTGGATGAACGTATTTGGTACGATATCGCTATATAAAAGCTTTTTGACGGTAGCTAACAGCGGATCCGTTGTTTTTGTTTATGTTCATTTCAGGTTTCTTGTGGTAAGGTATAATAAACGTACAAAATATAAATTACCAATACAGTGTTGTGTTTAATTGGCATAGATGTGCAAGGGAGTGGAGACAGGAGCTGTCGAGTTGTGCTTGGAGTGTTTCTAGCTAGCTAGCTACCACCGTAATGTGCATACTTGACAACCCTCCCGTTTTCCTCGGGTTTCTCCCGTATTTTACCGTTCTCTCCCAGTGTCCTCCCGTTAAAATATTTCCCCGTAATTTTCCCGTTTATTTATACCCGCTGTTTACTACGTTGCCCTCCGTCAAAGCCAGTGGCAGCATGTAGAACAGCTCAGTAACAGTGAAGGGAAGTCAACAGGAAGGAACAGAACATAAAAAAATTTAATTAATGAGAAGGTTTAAGTTGAATGATTAATAAGCATCTTGTAAGCTTACCTTATTATCTCAATTAAAAGTACTGAAACAATTGTTTACGTGACATAAAAAGGCAAGTTATTATTTTGGCCGGTAAAAAATATGTTTGGCCGGTGGATTTTTTCCATCTACCAGTCCCATTGGCAGGTGAGCCAAAAGGTTAATTTCCACCCATGTTTACAGCACTGTTTCACACCAGCCTAAACCTTTTGCACAGTACTGTACATCCTTTGAATTGTAGTATTTCAAAACTTCAAACCATGGGCTAAGTAGATAACTGTATTGTGAACAGATCGGGGAAACAGTCCAACTACATTCAACTGTTTAAGCACCTAGAAAACATGTACACAAGTGTAAGACAGTGCTAAATCAACCTTGAGCTCACACTACTAAACTATAAAGTGAAATGGTTCTGTAACGTCACTCTTTGTGCTTCGTCTTGTTGTTTGATATTATTCAAGTGTTGTCATGCCATGTCTTCTTCTGAAAGATGGTATTTTCAAAGTTGTGATGGAGGTTATGAAACAAGTTAGCTTGCCTTATTAGTCAAAAGATGCAACACTTTTATCCACTATTTTACTTACCTAATTGTAGTTGTAGTGTCTATTGATTATCTATAAAGATTTTGCTCATAGGTAAATCAGATTTTACAGCTGTTTTACATGATCAAGATGTAAGAAGCTAACAGTAGCTTTAAAGCTGGGGTAGGCATTGTTGCAGAACTAGCAAGAGACAGCTAGATATTTTTATAGCCCTGTGACAGCCACTGAAAACGGATTTTTTCATTTTTGCGTCAGAACATTTTATTTATTGATTGCTGTGGAGATGTAAAGGGAATTTCAACAGAGAGAATTTAAAAATGCATCTACTACTAATTGCTTTGTCTTTTTACTTCTTATTACTAACTTTCTTTTTATTGCTTTTATTATTTTTATTCGTATTATATTGACCTGTTTTTTTCTTGTTGTTTTTATCTCATTTTAATTTTTACCTTGCCTTTGTTTGGTTTTCTGTTGTTATATTGCCTTCTGAAAAGTTATTACTCAGATTTGTTGTGTTTTTCCCTTCATTTTAAAAAGAGTATTGAGCGGTCTGAATTGTGTTGCTAATTGTGCTTCTCAATTATCGGCTATCATTTGCAGTAACATTTCTAGAAATATTGTTGCCAAGTTAAAATGTTGGGTAGATGAGAGTACTGAACTCGGGACTCCTAAAACCTTGAGACTTAACCTGGACTCTGTCCCTAAAGACTAGACATGAGCTTGCATTTGGTCCCTTGTGAACATCTTGCACTTCCACACTACACTGAATAACAGTATAACAGTGCAGAGGAATAAGTCTCGACCATCATCCATAGTTTTGGGAACTCAGGCCTGAGGCTTCCCAAAAGCATCTTAACGTTAAGGCTGCCTCTGTCCAACAGACTTAAAATGATCCGAGATTTGCCAGTTTGCCAAGTCCCGATATGGCAGAGAACCAGCCCTCACTGGCTGGTTGGAGCATCAAATTATGTGTGTGTATGTATTTCTGAGCAAGAATATGCTTGCGGGCATGTGTGTTGGATTCAGCTGCACTGACACGTTTCCCAGGGCTCTGGGACTGTTTAAAAAGGCATAAAGAATTTGATTTTGTTCTTATCCTTTTGTGTGTCTATGCTCATGCTGTGGGGACAAAACGTTGTTCACATGTGGGGATTTAGCTCCCATTTGTGGACAGAAATGTTTCCCCAAAAAGGTTAACCATTGATTTTAGGTTTAAGATTTTTTACTATTAAGACATTTTTAGAGTTACAACTAAGTCAAGGTTGAGATAAGGGTTGGGGTGCACGCAGCAGTTATGCTA